CCCTCAGGCATGGGTCCACCCTCAGGCATGGGTCCACCCTCAGGCATTGGTCCACCTTCAGGCATGGGACCTCCTTCAGGTATGGGACCACCCTCTGGAATAGGACCATCCTCGGGAATGGGACCATCCTCAGGTATGGGGCCACCTCCCGGTATGGGACCACCTCCAGGAATGCTGGGCTTGGGGCCCTCTCCGCCTGGCATGGGTCCTCCACCCCCACCTGGACTAGGTCCACCCCCACCAGGCATGGGCCCCCCCATGGGCACACCAATGGGTCCGCCCCCTCCAGGTATGGGGCCTCCTCCTCGCATGATGATGCGTGGAAAGGGTAATTACAATAATCAAATGGAAATGGGGATAGAAATGGGAATGGACATGGGAATGGATATGGGAATGGATATGGGAATGGACATGGGAATGGAAATGGGAATGGAAATGGGGATGGAAATGGGGATGGAAATGGGACCACCTGGGATGGGGCCTCCAGGTATGGCTCATTGGGAAGAACAGGGTTCTACCGGGTGGGGAATGCAGGGTCATGGAGATGGACCACCGGGTTGGGATGAGAGAGGTGATGAAGAAGATGAGCAAGAAGTCGATGATGAAGATGCACAACAAATGGGATCATCATCCTTGCCATCTTTGCTGACTATGAAGATTGACACACCTGAGGAGTTTAGGAATAAACCTATGACTGTAGGGGGTGTAGTGTTGCCTAAAGCCCTAGAGGAGGCCCTGGCTTATAAGGACCAGAGGCAGGCTGCACTTGGAGAAGAAGAGGAAGCCCAGGAAAAAGGTATTTTAATCACATAATTGAATTTCTATTTGCGATTTTTCACTTTTCACACAAAAATGAAGTTGATGATCTAAACTGTGTGATATATTAATTTTAACAGAAGAAGAAGAGGAGCCAGAAGCTCCACCAGCCCCTGTGATCAGCACAGAGTATGATGCTGAGGAGGATGAAGGAGACTCTGATGATGACAACATTCCTGATGCACCACATCCACCTGTCATTTCTAAACAAGAGGTAGGTTGTGTAGGTTTAATCATGTTCTATTTTGAATTCTAATAAAAATGTTATTTTAGTTATTGTGACTTCATAGCATTGTGCATTTAGGTAAAAACAAACTATGACCACAATGTCATGCCAAAAAATTTGAAAAGAAGGTAAACATTTTACATTAACTATGATTATAATATTTTTGATATATGCCAATAAACTTATATATGCCAATTCTAGCATTATTCATATTATGCAATTACTATGTAATGCTAAATGTCGCTAAATGAACTTCCCTGTCTATCATTAAACCTTGTATTTTTTTAAACAAATGATAGATTGATAGATAGATAAAACATTCATTGTCTTGCATCACGCACACAACGATATAATACAGTAAATAAATTAAAAGAGAAACACAAAAATCAAAACTAGAGAAAATGAAACAAAATCAAATAGCAAAAGATAAATTAAACAAAAAAAAATAAAAACAATACTAACCTAATTATCAACAACTTGTGTGTGCTACAGCAAGCCAAATAGGCCATGGCTCAGTTCAAAATTTGCTCAAAGGCAAAGCACTAATGTTCAGCCACCTCCTTTGCGGGTAGCGTGTAATGTCTCCAGAATAAAAGGAAAGTGCAGATAATATAAGTTTATCTTTCTTTCAAAAACCAACCTTGCCCTCAACTATATTGTATTAAATAAAATATAAATCTTTTACAGACAAACACCACAGAAAGGTCATGAGTTAATAATTATTATGGAATATTACATACCATACTCTGATGTACCCAATGGACCCCAAGCTCGTCCATGGTTTAACGCTGATTGTAGTCGTGCTGAAGCACATAAACAGTCCGCGTACCAAGCTTGGCATATGCTCCACTACACAAATCTCCGAGTACTCGGAATTTGAAGAAAGCTTTTAATAAGGCCGCTAAGAAGTGCAAAAGCCTATTACATCATGATGAAGACCATGAACGCCGCATAGGGGCCAAGCTTGCCTCTTATCCAGCAGGTAGCAACTCCTTTTGGTGCCTAGCCAAAGCGGTCGAATCTAACTTTTGTCGGCCATCTTTGCCACCTCTGCTGAGGCCGGATGGCTCGCTGGCTCGTACTGCGGAAGAGAAGGCGAATCTTTTACCTCATTCTTGCAGAGAGTTCACGTCAGGATGCCGCAGGGAACCTACCACCCACCTTACCTCAGGCTGGCTGCACTATGGCGCCAGTTCGCATACGTCAAAAAGAGGTACTTAGAACTTTGCGGAATCTAGACGCGAATAAAGCTAGCGGGCCAGATGGAATTCCAGCAATAGTCCTGTGTAACTGTGCGCCTGAATTGTCTCCTTTTCTCACACGCCAGTACCGCCTCTCACTTGAGACTGGTGTAGTTCCTAGGTCGTGGAAGCTTGCAAACGTGCAACCTGTGCCGAGAAGGGAAGCAGAGCTGACCTTGTCAATTATAGACCTATCTCAGTCACTTCCATACTCTGTAAGACTATGGAACCTGCACTCAACAACTGTCTCCTGTCATACCTTGAAGACAACGACCTCCTCAGTAATCGCCAGTACGGATTCCAACTCAAAATTCCAACAAGGGCGATCTACTGGGGATCTTCTTGTGCATGCCTGCCACATATGGAGCAAGGTTATAGAAAAGCAAGGCGAAGCACTTGCAGTGTCTTTGGACATTTCTAAAGCTTTTGACGGCGTCTGGCACGCAAGCCTATTAAGTAATAATAATAATAACGCACACACTCAACATAGCCCCGCACTAGGGAAACCCTGTGTCGCGGGTGCCATGGACACACACATAGACAACCACAAATTACACCCAAACTCACGAGAGAAATAAATGTAGGTCATACAAATATTTCGCCCGGCCCGGGAATCGAACCTGGGACCTCTGCGTGGCAGTCCGGCATGGTAACCGTTCGGCCACGGAGGTAGTTAAAAGTAAGCTTCCCTCTTATGGGCTTCCCACTGACCTTTGCAATTGGATCTCGGATTTCTTGAGCGAACGTTCGATTCGAGTGGTCTTAGAAGGCTACTTTGCGTATGCTAATGACAGCACAGTTGTAGATAGGTATTTGACCAATGGTCAAATGGAGGGTCAGTGGAGAGGAAATACAGTCTTGTCAAGAGTCCATGGTTAGCCGTTTGACGCTCAAGGCAGTCTCCGTTATGACATTATAATTGAAATTTCAATGGTAATAGTCTTAGCTGCTACCAACGTACCAAGCACAAGTCCGGTCGTGTATGGAGTACTGCTGCCACTTATGAGATGGCTCTGCTACATACCAACTGGCCACTTTGGATTCAATTGACAAACGTGTCATGGGGCTTATAGGTGACTCGGAATTAGTGGAGGCGAAGCTGCAGAGCCTTGAACACGCCCGTAAAGTTGCTTATCGGTATTTTGTAGGATATATGGACGGAGAATGTGCGATTGAATTACACGATTTAATTCCGGCTTCCCCTTTCCATCATCGGGGGATTAGGCGTAGACTTGTGTTCCACCCCTATATTGTGGTTATTCCAAAGATTTGCACGAAGCGTTATGCTTCCTCATTTATATGGCGAACGGCTATGGAGTAGAATTCCCTGCCTGTGGACTTGTTTCCTGAACGTTATAACTTGGGCCTTTTCAAGGCGAGAGTGAATAGTTATTATTTAGGTGTGTATGCTCCATCGTCGACATCATCGTCACTTTCTATCAAGTGAGATGAAGGTCAAATGCGCACTTATAATCTTTAAAAAAAAGGTTGTTAGTAGCAGTAGCCTTATTATATTTATAGTAACCACTGATTATAGGGACATAAAGACTGGAAAATTAAGCCATCAAAATCAATGTGTCAAAACTTAATATTATTCAAAATCATAAATGAAATCAACTAAATTCAAAGATTAATAATAATTATTGTCAAAGTTAAAAATTACCTTAATTTACAAACAAAAAAATCAAATGAAAATTCTAAGTAAAAATAACGATAATTATTAAGTTGAACAGAATTAAAATTACATATATTACAATAACAATTATTGTAAGAGATAAAACATAATTAGGCATCCTACATTTACCTACTCACTATTACATAGTAGGTATTGTTTGCCAATTGTAAAAAAAACACCATTATTGTACTACTGTACTTTGTGTAATGTATACACGAACTTATTTAACAGGGTGCAAACAAGACACAAAAAAACAAACGTAAGAAAAAAAAGAAGAAAGTTGCCAAACAGAAGCGGCGGGAAGAGGAAACCAAGAAGAAGGAACACGAGACCCAACGGGAAGAGCCTAAGAAAGCTGGTGACAAAGAAAAAGAGGTAGAAATTGAGTGAGTATGAGCAATAATCCACACTAAGTTGAATCTAACTAGACAGTGTCGCCAATTTTATGAGTATAAAAAATGATTCATTAGAAAAAGTACACACTCAACGCACACACTCAACATAGAAAAAGTAAAAGAAGAAAAGAAGTTTTTTTTTTATAATATCAATTGACGGAACGAACAAGTCGTGCGCCTGATAGTAAGCTACAGGCCTGTCGATAACAGTTGCAGTGATACTCAGAGCTTTAAATCGCAAAGATCTTAAGGGCACTTTGACAAGTCCCATGTGCCTGTAATTTCACCAATAGACAAGGGAGTTTTTGGCGAGTCGTGAATGTATGTTGCGATCTTCTTGGTATCGCGTCGATACCAAGAAAACGCCACACGTACAAGAAAGGAATGGTACGTCACGCGAGGAGATTCATTTCCTGCACCCCAATTGTATAATAATACGTTGCGGTTCCTTATGAGTTTCCATTTAGCGTCTTGGAGCTAAGATACACACTTATATTTTTGGATACTTTGTACCAACAAGGATGGAATGTTTAACTTTCAAAACAAAATAGCACAATTTGTTTAAATAAAAACCAAACCGCGTATAATGTACATGTGATCTTTTACTGAATCAGATAGCTTTATTTTTAATATGAAGGCAGAATTAGTAATTTTGTGAAGTTTTAATTAAATCTGGTTGTCTAGTTGCCAGACATAGCAAGAAAATGGAGGGTTTTTGTTAGGAAAAAAAAATTATTTTGGGCGACTTACACTTACAGTACTTATAACTAAACATGTAAGTCGAAGTCATATAAAGATTAATAATAACTCACACACTCATAGCCCCGCGCTAAGGAAGCTCTGTATCTCAGGTGCCATGGACACACACATAGGTACACAACCACAAATTGCACCCAGTCATGAGAGAAATAAATGTAGGCCGTACAAATATTTCTCCCGGCCCGGGTATCGAACCCGGGACCTTTTCGTAGCTGTCCAGCATGGTGACCGTTGCCACAGAGGCAGTTATTGATTGAGTCTATTACCGGCCAAAAGTAAGCTGCAGCATTGGACCACAATTCTTTGGGCGGTGACCGTCTCAAATGGTAACCAGCTGATGTTAGAAATTTTGATTCATACTTACTGAACACGTCAATAAAAAATACCGTAACCTCTCGGTTCTATGTAATGTGTTTGTCTGTCCACGAAGTATCCTTTATCTATAATAGTAAGACCTAGACGTGTCCACATTATTTTACATTTGCATTTCCCAGATATGTCCAAGAGAATATTCAGTTCCACGAACTAGAACCGATGTATCGCCAATTCCACCGAGTGTTCGAAGCCTTCAAAATCACTGAGAAGAAGGAGGAAGTGAAAGAGGAAGCTGGGAAAGACGCTCCGAAACCTTCAAATAAGCTCACCGAAAAGGTTCAGGATCAGTTTGCGGCCGACGAAGAGGCTGTTGAGGTTTGTGACTATTGTTTCTTTTAAAATTATCGCATTTGTCGCATCCAGGAGCCCTCAATCCTGGATTTTATGACGAAAAAGATTCAGAGACATTTACAATATGTAAAATACGAACGTTTTACATTTTAAATGTCATCTTGAGTTACAAGTTGAAAAATTAAAGTAATCAAGATTATTTAGGTGTGTAGGTAAGTTATTTTTTTTTATAAATATTTTCAATGCTGAGGAACGCATATTTCAATCTTTTTGTAATAGACACGTGCGCCGATCGTGTAATTGTCAGCGGCGGCGTGTGAAATCTTTTCGATCGTCGATGACGTCGTGATATCGGCAAGGCATATATTTTTCAGGTGTTAGAAAAAACACTATAAAACATACCTTTGTATCAATTTTTCGTACGACAACACAGGAACGTAATTAGGCTCAATTTATATAGCTCCGGAATGGAATGGAAGCGAATTTTTGTAACGCTGTTGAACATAGCATAATGAACTTTATGGTCAATTGTGTAACGTACAAACTAGATACGAGTCAAAACCTTCCGCGGAATTTTTGCGAATGCGTGAGCATTCTCGAGCTCGAAAAGTTCGCTTCCATTCCGTTCCGCCGCAATATAAATCGAGCCTTATAATCTCAATAGTACGGAAATATAGTAAATTAACAACAACTTACTAAGCAGTTGCTATTTCATTAAAATAACCACAAAAATGTAGTAGCAGTAGAGCTCCTTGAGATCGAGTTCGTCCAGGGACTGCCACCTTACCTATTTCTCCCGCTAAGCAGTAACGTGAGTATTACTGTGTTCGGGCTTTGTTAGGGTGCTAGTGGGTAACCTATTACAAACTCGAATATCTTTTTTCCGGATTCCATTACTCCGAAAACGGTTCGACTTTTTTTCATTAGTGCGATGACAGTTTTGGTATAAATTTGCAACACAGAAATGTCTTACAGCAGAAGTATCGTTTGTCCGAAAACCTATTATTAGAATAATTATTACACATCTTTGGGCAGAAGTTTGTTTGATCTAATTTGTTATACTGTCTGTTTTCCATATAAATTAGATTGCTGAAAATATAATATATATAATTTTGTCGTTTCGACAAAATTATTATTCTTAGATAAAATTGTACCGTCATACATTTTTACCACTCCAAAATTCTGGATTGTACTTTGCTGGTGCATAGCCAGTCCACTTACGTAATTTTCGTCATACCATTGTGCTATGTTTTTGCCGTCATTTGGAATGTAATTTAAAAACAATCGGTCTTGAGTATTCAATTAATTGCCGAAAAGAAACCGAAAAAAATAAACCCAATTTGTTTGCATTTCCTAGCTAGGTCGTCCCCCTCCTGTGGGTTCAGGTTAGGTTAGTGTATGAAAAAGCTGCACGATCGGATCGTGCGACTACAACTAGATCAAATTAACTTGCGTCTCGTTTACCATATTTACTAAAGATGCGAGGTGCTTTAATTTGACGAGATGTATTGTGCGACACGTTCTAATTCAAATTGAAGTATCTTTATTTCGGAATACTCATCCATAGAGGTTAGTAACAAAGCAATTATAAATAGAGTTAGTACTATAAATAACAATTTTTCCTAAAACTAATATGCAACCGGGACCAGTGCTCATGAAAAGAACCATGAACCCTGTTTGCAATTATACTCAGGAGGCTGCTGTCGCTGCCACGAACTCTATGCACCAAGGAAGCCGCTCTTTTTAGCATGATAGCTGCAAAGCCATCGACATTCGCTATGGCGAACATTCCCGATGCAATGCAAAATCGTGGCAGCTTCAACAACATCCTGAATATGTTATTGTACAAAATTTGTAGGGCGCTAAGAGATTTTAAGGTGTAGTTGACCCAGAGGCTGCAAGTATAAAAAGACTGGCAATGTGCCTTGAATAGGACAATCTTTACATCATCACTACACCTCGCGAACCTACGGGCCAACATGTTGCCTCTTACTTACTGCCAGCGCCCTACGCTCTGTTTCCAGCTTTAAATTGTCTTTTAAATATTCGGAGACCCAGTGCCCCAGATATTTAAATTCAGTGACTCGTTTAAGTGGAGTGCCACCTAGTATAACTTCTGGTACATTATTCCAGGTTTTGTTACCCGCTTTAAAAACCATTAGTTCGCTCTTAGTCGCATTGTACCGCAATCCATGAGTTTCGACATATACTTATTAATCTACGAAGAGCGCTAGTTGAAGGGCTCAGCAACACCATGTCATCTGCATAACTGATGTTGTTCACCGAAATTTCATCTATCGAGCATCCGACCTTGGTATTGCTAAGCTCATAAAATAATCGATTCATATACACTTTTAATAGACTAGGAGAGCTTAATCCACCTTGTCTACACCACACTCCAATCTATACATGCTCGATAACGAGCCTGCCCATCTAACGTAATTGTCTTGGTTATTGTACCAGTATCTAAACAGGCCTATTACTTCGCTCGGAAGACTAGTCTCCTCCTGCAATTTTTTTTTCCACAACCTGTCGTACGATACAAGATCGAAAGCTTTGGACAGGTCGAGGAAAAACGCATAGATTGGCGTCTTTCTGGAGGTATAATACTGGACAGTGTGTTTGAGGCAAAGAATAGCAGCTTCTGTTGATAGACCAGGTCTAATCCCAAATTGAGCATCATTTAACTTCATGTCCTTTTTTAATTGCTTGTCAAGCAGATTGTCCAGTACCTTACTTATTATCGTAGCCAAAGATATAGGCCTATAGTTATCGATACAAGAAATGTCACCCGTCCTGTTCTTCACAATAGGCATTACCAGAGTTTTCATCAGGTCCTGGGGCAAGTAAGAGTGTCCAACGCACAATGTGAAGAACAAGGCAGTAGTACGTAGCAGCAGGAGTACTCTAGGCAAGTGTACGCTGCTATACTTTAAGTGCTCCACACTATCTCAAAATGATTTTTAAATAATCTAATATTTTAAATATCTGTAATAAGAAATAATTTAACAAAAATGTATCATGAATATCGTTTTTTTTACAAAATAAAAATAGTCCATTAGATACGTTGATCAAACGGTTTGTAGAGAAAATAAAAATCGGGAAAAGAATAACTTGCCAATATGTCAAAATAGTAAAACATTAAATGGTGTAATGAAAAAAACCGTAACTTGTTTTCGGACTCTTCGAAAATCTATTCAATAAAAATCTAAAGGTTTTCGGACCAACAAAATTCTGTAAATCATGTTTCTATCTTGTGATAGGTAACCGTGCTGGTGAAATTACAGGCACTTGGGACTTATCACCTTACGTCTCAGGGTAACGGGCGCGATAGGAGTGCCCCTCAGGTCTGCGATTTAAAGCTCAGAGGCATTGCAACTTCTAAGGACAGGCGTGTCGGTTGGCAGCAGGCGCACAACTTGTTCGTCCCGTCGCGTCGGTAAAATTCGTCGGCAGCGGCTGCGCGGCGCACCCGTCTAGCTGGTACTTTTGAAGGCATAGAAAATATCACAGGTTCTATTTTCTGATATTACAGAAAAACGCAGCCGATGAAAAGGAGCGTCTGTCAAAGCGCAAATTGAAGAAATTATCCCGACTATCAGTCGCAGAGCTGAAGCAACTCGTTTCCCGACCGGATGTAGTCGAGATGTATGATGTCACAGCGAGAGATCCTAAATTGTTGGTGCAATTGAAGGCACATAGGAATACCGTGCAAGTTCCCAGGCATTGGTGTTATAAGAGAAAGGTATGTATTTGTTAAATTTGAGCATATTTCAACAGAAGGAGGGCCAGAGTAGACACAAGCAAATACTTAGCAGCAGTAATAATGTATTGTAAATATGTCTGCAAAGATAACACGTTGGCGAAACAGTGACGGATTAACAATTGAGCTGTTTTCGTTCCGAAAAATCATCATAAAATTTTTACAGATGCGACTTACTTTATTACTTAGTTTTTTTTTATCGAAGTTTAAATATTTTGCTTAGCAGGTGAAAATGTGTGTGTGAAAAGTGACCTTATAGTGACTACTTTTTGCAATTTTTAAGTTTATTGAATTTTACTACTACAATATTCAATTATTGTTTGTGAAATTACTCCACTAGTTTGTTATAATTATTATAACAAAGATCTAAATACTAACAAAAATTAATTCAATCCAACTGGATTCGACCCAGCATCCTCAGGCAATCCGTGCCAGATACTCTGTCAATTAAGCCACGGAACGAACCAGCAGACCTTACAAATTTATCTATATTGCACTTGTTGCAGATCTTTGTTTTTGATTTTTAACGATTTTTGCCGTAGCGCCATCTATGGGAAATTTATTTCTTCACTGAGAGAGGCCCCTTTACAGCTACCATCGTTAACTAGAGATGTCGCTTTAATAATTGTAATTTTTAAGTTTATTGAATGTCACGATATTTTACTATCATGATATTCAATTCTTTTTTGTGAAATTACTCTGATCGTTTGTTATAATAAGTATGAAGAAATTAATTTCTCACAGATGGCGCTCCGTCAAAAAATATTTTTTGTAAATTATGATTTTTTTATTATTAAATATTAAAATAATCAGTAGCAGAGCTGAATGTTTTATCATTATTTTCCAGGACTAACAAGGCCTGATACTTCTAGAGTAATAAATTAAATAATGTGAGACTGTAACAATTTGAAATCTTATTTCACGTATTCTCAAAAAGTGGGGATTTTATATTTCGTTCTAAACAAGTAATTATTTTCGTTATAAATATTAAGCGAGTCACTTTAATTAACCACACTAAGTCGGCCAGAAAAAGCTTCATGTTCATGTAATAAGAGCGAAAATTACGTTGTGCTTTTCGCATTGGCGCAGTCCAAGCGGAAGTCAGCAAAATAATGTCTGCCCTCGTAACGAAAAAAGGCACAACTATGCGTACTTTATACAGCTTTGCCTTTTTCATTCCGAGGACAGATGTGGTGACTCGCTAATACAAAGATGAACACGAGGAAAATTCCTTCAATTTGACTAGATTCGAACCTGCGTCTTTAAGTCAAACCAGAGCCACCGCTCTACCAACTGAGCTACATATCGAGTCAGCAGACCTCCGATTTTTTCTATGTGTTTATTACAGATCTTTTGTTGTTGTTTTTTCGGATTTTACCGCCTTAAGCATAATTATCACAAACAAGTTGAGTCATTTCACAAAAAACAATATTGTAACTTTTTTATTAAAAAACCTGACCTCTAAAGTTTTCTTATCGGGATTTTCATTGGAATTACATCTATTTGCTAAGTTTTATTGCAATCGGTTAACGGAAAGTGTGCGAAACCGGATTCATCCCCTAGTTTGCCACCCTGAGAGGTGGAATATTTTCTTCAAATTTAAATGGGACTAATTAAGCTGCAGGTCGAGTTTACTAAGTTTTTTTTTTTTTTTTTTTATTGTGACTCGGCAAAATGACTGCACCGCGCCTGATGGAAAGTACGAATACAGTCCAGAGATGAGAGTAACGGATGGAAAACACAAATATCTTCACTCCGTCACTATCATTTTGCCGGTCTGGCCAAATGCTTCTTCACACTACGTTTGAAGGACCCGATGTTATAGAGGGGAGGGAATACATGCGCCGGGAGTTGGTTCCACAATTTGATGGTTCGACATAAAAACGAATTGCCAAACTTTTTAGTGCGGGACGGTATTGAACTGACCGTCCATCTGTGGCAACGCAGTCCGGCACGGGTGGTCCGCTGATGGAAAGGAGAGGAAGGGATAAGGTTGAATAAGTCGACGAATTTCTTTTAAGTATTTGTTATCTATAGATCTTTGCATTTAGTTTTCGGCTTTCGACATCGTATATTTCTTCGGAGTTATTGCGCAAAAAATATACAAATCAATAATACAATTATTAATACAAAGACCGAACACTCAGAAAAAATTCCTTCGATCCGGCCGGATTCGAACCGACATCTTCTTAATTCACAAAAATAAAATCTTAATTTCACAAATATAATTGAATATCAATTCAATAAAAATTTAAAATCAATAATACATTTTTATTTATTTATTTTTATTGCATATCATATTGTACATTTCTAATGGTAGGTAAGTTATAAATCAACTTCACTATTTATACTATTCACTTCACTTTTTATTTTTATGGCTCCATCAATATGAGAACTGATGATTTTGCCAATGTCACTATAGTTAATACAATGTGACGTCCCGTAAGGGCATGGCAATATCAACGGAGATGGTCTCGCGCTGTTACATTGTAAGTACAGATGGCAGCACATCAAGCCACACTTTGACGTATCCTGTTCTATTGAGCTGGAGGTGATATTCGAACTCAAGCTCTGTTAAACCTGAAGCGCTTGACTGTACCTATGACAACATATTTAATTATTCAAGTTAATTTAATTTAGTTATTTACATTTAAAATAACACACTAACACTCAAAGTCATATTGACGTACACATGCATTACATTTCTAATTACAACTATCCCAATAATAATAATAACGGACACATTCAACATGGTCCCGTACTAGGGAAACCCTGTGTTTGTTGGTGTCATGGACACACATGGATAACCACAAATTACACCCAAAGTAATGAGAGAAATAAATGTAGGCCATGCAAATTTTCTTCCGGCCCGGGAACCGAACCTGGGACCTCTGCGTGGCAGTCTGGTAGGGTAACCGTTCGACCACGGAGGCAGTCAATACAATAAATTTTATCAATTCACATTTATTAATATCCAAGATTACTTGGTACTTGGTGTAACGGGCTGGTGTCCGCAACTCGACGACAAGGCGCCTATTTTGCGTGTTATATTAATATATTTATATATGTTATATCCAAGATTAATTGATATCACAGATTGTATCCACATCTAAAAGCAAACTAAGACATACCTAAGTTTAAATTTAAATTTATTATTGTTTATATAAAAATGTTTTGGTTTTAGTACTTACAAGGCAAAAGAGGTATAGAAAAACCTCCTTTTGATCTACCGGACTTTATAAAAAAGACAGGCATCATGGAGATGCGAGCTTCACTGCAAGATAAGGAAGAGACCAAAACCCTAAAAGCAAAAATGCGCGAACGGTCAAGACCCAAGCTCGGCAAGATCGACATCGATTATCAGAAGTTGCATGACGCTTTCTTCAAGTAAGTTGCACTTAAAACATAGACAGACTTGTAACTCGATCTTTATTTGCTAGAAAAAAAGTTTCAATAATTTTAAGTACTTATATAAATTAATTGTTGTCTGTTAGAAGCAGTTATAGAAATTGAGAGAGTTAATTTACCTAAAGTATGAAAATTTTATTAGTACGGACATACCTATTTCGTTATCAATGCGTATGAAATTTCTTTTTTCACTGTTTATTTTCTAAACATTCCTAAATATAGGTTGCCTCATGTTTATTTTTTTAAATGGCTAAAGTATTTAAATACGTAAGTACATATAGAAAGATAGCTACAATGTTATATTCGTGGCACAGTGGCAGTGCCCCTCAGATCTTTGAGATTTAAAGTTCTGCGTGACACTGCAACTGTTACGGACAGGCGTGTAGCTTACGATCGGGCGCACGCTTTGTTCTTCCTGTCACTTTATATGTATGTGTAAAAATATATATTTTGAGACAATTTGTAGCAAATACTTAATATGAAATAATAGTGCTCAAATTTCAATAAATAATTTCGCATATACAAACATAATTAGTTCCGAGAACTCCCGGAGTTTGTAAAAGGGAATGTCCACATTATTCTTTAGTAGCTAAATTAATTCCCTCAATTCCGATCACTGGGTATAAGTTAGACCGGGCTCCCACTGCCAGGACTTGATTTTTAGGTGACGAATAATAATATACTTCAATGTTATGACATTATAGTTGAAATTTCAATGATAATAGTCTTAGCTGCTACTAACGTACCAAGCACAAGTCCGGTCGTGTATGGAGTACTGCTGCCACTTATGGGATGGCTCTGCTAAATACCAACTGGCCACCTTGGATTCAATAGACAAGCGTGCTAAGAGGCTAATATGTGACTCAGAACTAGTAGCGGCGAAGCTGCAGAGCCTTGAACACCGCCGTAGAGTTGCCAGCTTATCGGTATTCTACAGGATATATCACGGAGAGTGTGCGATAGAATTGCATAATTTGATTCCGCCTTCCCCTTTCCATCATCGGGAGACTAGACGTGGGCAGGGATTCCACCCCTATGTTGTGTCGCGGATTCGTACGGAAGTGGAATTCCCTGCCTGCAGACTTGTTCCCCGAACGCGATAACTTGGACCTTTTCAAGGCGAGAGTGAATAGACATTATTTAGGTTTGCATGCTACATCCTCGACCTCATCGTCACTTTCCATCAGGTGAGATAGAGGTCAAATGCGCACTTGTTGTTTATAAATTAAAAAAGAATGCTGCGGCTAGCTTAGGGATTCCGAGCCGTCGGCCCTCGGAATGCTTCGGCAGTCTTCGGGATCCTTCGGTAGGCTTTTACGTTAAGACTGATTTGGCCCTGTGCTCTCGTTCTCCATCCGACATCCGTCAAATAAGTAACATTCGACCACATTAAAAGACGCAAGATGAGAATAAAGCTTCATACTTGACTTTGTTTTTTAATTTGGTCTAATAGAGAGAACGAGAGTAGACCTCCTAGAATAGAGACTAGTTGCGAGCACGATTTCGTGACGGTGTATTTCGGCATAGCTAGGGATATCGCTGCATATTTGCCGTCATTGTGTGCTTGCATGTAGAGATGCCGAAGGATCCCTTGCCATGACATTTCGCCAATGTGCGCCGGGCCTTAGAGAAGACTTACAGGTCTACCCTAACAAAAAACTAATTTCGAAACCCTATTCATGGGTCCTTTGCCTCACTAACATAATGTTCACTTTCAGTACACTAAAAAAAAAAGAAAGTTTTCTATTAGAAATCAGTTTCAGTTTATTATTACGTAGACTGGTCCATTTGAATATATTCGCAAATGACACTTTATTAAAAATGTGATTTTAAAATGGAGTGGTTTCAACTCATACATTTTTGGTCTCATTTGATCAGTGTAACAACTGGCCTCTTAAATAATCTCTATAGGTGCATTGATATCAACATATATTGTTGACGCTTGGTAGACACTGCAGAAGCTTATTATTAATGGTAAGTATATTTTGTTATATTGTTAACACGTATATCGTGTTTGCGTGGCAATTTGGCTAAAACAGAAGGCGAACGATTCGTTCTGGCAGTGAATAAAGTCTACAGTACGTTATGATTATTGAATTAGACATCCCCTCTTGCCTCTTTTACTGGTAACCGAAGACATGGACGCGCGCAAATTTGTCTTCTACATGTTTGTTATCATAACAGTAAATGCACCAGCACATTTATCAGAACACTAGCAAAAACTCCAAAATAGTGCAACTTTTTTTAATAGATTCGCTTACTATAACTCTAGCCAAATTCGATAAATGTCAACAAACAAAAATATACGATTTTTAGGGTATTTGTTATTTCATTCGTAAACTTTAGTTGAAAAAGTTAATTATTTTTTAAACTTTGATTTAATCCATATTTAATTATTACAATTCATTTTTCAGCTGTTTCTGCTTTGTCACGAAATGAAAAAAAAGCATTTTGTTTGAACCGCTTATTACACTACCCGATTTCAAGGGTCCGGATTTAAGGGTGCGTGTGGCCCCTAGTTGGGCGCCGCTGCTTACCCTAACTACCTTTCTCTTATTACACATTATAAGCTTTTGAGTTACATTTTTTTCCGTAAAACTTGGCTAAGGATGCACTAAGTCGATGTTAAAAGATGTTAATTCAATTGCTACTGTATGTCTAATTGTTAGTTATTTAAATATAAGCGTTATTTTTTTATATTCTCAATTTTGTGTGTGTATCAATAAAGTAAAATGTTTATATAGATGGCAAACAAAACCGCGCATGACAATCCACGGCGATTTGTACTATGAGGGTAAGGAATTCGAGACGCGACTGCGAGAGAAGAAGCCTGGAGACTTGTCTGAGGAACTACGTACAGCGCTCGGCATGCCTGTTGGACCAGGATCTCATAAGGTAAAAGAAATAATAATTGCGCGTGTAGTGCTTAGGTCAGGTTATAATTTTTTATTTGTTTGTTTAAATTCGATATAAAAGAAAAACAAAACATGAGCGGCTATGCTATTGCCACTCTAAATATAATCAAGGTGCTTTTCCATCGGCGGCGGCGAGACGAGACGAGAGTTGACACATCTTCGGTAGGAATGGTTTCGACGTTCAGAATTAACGAGGATGGGTGAGGCGATAATTAAAATATTTTTTGATGTAATATTGAATCGTATTGCTGCCTACATAGAGTATTATAATATTCTGCAACGGAAACACTTTTTCTTGCGCGAGCTCGCGAGTGCTTGCACAATCCAGTGCGAGCTCGCGATGGTTATTAATATCAATCGCGGAATTGTGGAGAATACGTACTTATTTGAGATTTAAAAAAAGATCTCTTCATCTGATTCTTCTTTCGTTAACATATTTAATAATAATAATTTACGGGAGACGTTATTTCAGCCGCGTATTTATCGCTAGACAAACTAAGCAGCACTGAATTTCCACTATCCACAACCACAGCGAGAGCTCGCGCGAGTTCACTACCTATTAATAGCAATTTTTGGTGGAAATAGGCCGGCGAGATTTCAGTTCTCGTCTCGCCTTGTCTCGTCTGACCGGTGGTAAATCCACCTTAAAGCTCGCTATTTTTGTTTAGTCGAAGTCAATGTTAGTTTTATAGATCTCAGCTTTAGTATGATTGATTTAAATTCACTTCGTAATCAAATACGAAATATTATGTACTTGGTAAATAAATAAATGTAATAAATCCGATTCTTTAAAATTTTTCGGTTCTACAAAGAGGGTCCAACCCAACAACTAGATACGATCACTGATTTTAGGAGTCCATTGGCTTTGTTGTTTTTGCAGGTGCCACCACCTTGGCTCATAGCCCAACAGCGGTACGGACCCCCACCATCCTACCCGAACCTTAAGATCCCAGGCCTGAACGCCCCTATTCCGGAGAGTTGCGCGTTTGGCTACCACGCCGGCGGGTGGGGCAAGCCGCCCGTGGATGAGAGCGGTAAACCGCTTTACGGTGACGTGTTTGGACATCAAAGTCAGGGACAGGATGTGAGTAAATTAATTTGTCTTTTTAATTACTTCCAATCCAGGATACATTAATATTAAAAAATTTCCACGTTCGTAACAACTCGTCACAAGGTAATGATTTTTGTAAAGAAAAATTGGAGTATGGAGAGATTCGGGCTTTCGTGATGGCAACACTGGTGAGAGAAGCCATGTTGTTGGAATATAGATTTTTACCGGGTGATCTGACAGCGCGCTGTATTTTTGGAGATTGTAAGAAAATACGAAAGATAAAGTTCTTTTGTACACAATTGTAGAGTGCCTAAAAGAATAAAGAAGTAAATGAACAATTTAAAAGTTTCATTTCATTAAAATTCAAAACATCTTTGTTTTGGTAAACAAATTGCGCTCGGAATCGTCAAACTTATTGATCACTACTAAGAAGACAGGGTAACAAACTCTAACCGGTGTTGTTTGTAAATAGGTATTTGTTAGCCTTTATTATTTACAGTATTTATTTCAAAATAGATATGTAGATGCGACCTGAAAGAGCTAAACAGATATTCCAATAGATTTTTGCCATTTAAGAACCAAGACGCTGTGTAATATAATTTTTGCATAAAGTTTATGTTTTACGATCATTGTGAATCTCATAAAAGGTAAATTTTCACAGGATTCATATTATAATGGCATATATTACCCATTGAATGAATTTGTGTCCTGAGTGACTTTCCACGACTGATATTCTCCAATACTTTCGCAAACTTATTATTATATTTTGACAAACTGTTTTGGTTTAATCCACTAATGACTCGATTGTTTAAGGACACCGAAGATCAAGATATTGACAGGACAATGTGGGGAGAACTGGAGTCTGAATCCGAAGAAGAATCTGAAGAAGGTAAGTTAATTAGAAATTATATTTATTGAGATTTTTTGTGAAATAATTCCACTACTTTTATTATGGTTATGAATAAAAAAATTATATGTGTTCGATCTTATTCATAATCATGACAAAACTAGCGGAGTTATTTCTCAAAAAATTTCAATAAATGCATTTGATCGAAAAGCCACATCTGCGTCAGTTGTGATACCTGTAAAGGTTTCGGCTGCAGTGAGAAGGTTATTAAAAAATCTCTCACTAGATGTCACTAGCGGCGACGAATGCCGAAAGTACTGACTTTCGGCATTCGTCGTCGTTGTACTGACAAAGATCTATAACAACATTGGAGACTTTCGACAACTCGGCAACTGGACCCGTAGCTCAGATAGTTAGAGCAATGCTACGGTGCAGCATGGACAGCATGAGACCCATCCCACCGGGTCGACGAAAAATTGTGTGTCCGATATTTGTATTTATAATCTTAATTAGAAATTCTCAACCTTTTCGCAAAAATAACTAGGGGTTTATTTAGGGCCATCGAAAAGTAGTTGGGCCCTGGTGGAGATAATTTAAAAAATATTTCATGAATGCAGAGGAGTCCGAAGGCGAGAATGAAAAAACAGGTGGCGCGGGCACGGCGAGTGAAATCGCCGCGGGCGTGGCCACGCCGGGCGAAGGGCTGGTCACGCCACTCGGCATTAGCAGCGTACCACCAGGCATGGAAACACCAGACACTATTGAGCTTAGGAAGAAGAAAGTCGACACTGATACTGAGGGGCAAGTATTACCGAATGACTCTCGCAATTGTACTTGTATTTAAAAGTTTGTTATGTTGAGTGTGTGCGTTATTATTATTATGTTATATAATGTTCTATTGATGTGTTTTAGTGGCGACACGCCGGCACTGTATCAAGTTCTGCCAGAGCGGCGTGTGGGACTTACGTCGGGCATGATGGCTTCTACTCACGTGTACGATATCAACGCGGCTAATCCAGGTTAGTTTTTCAACGCATCTAAACATATTGGTTAATATTGACTCTATTTGATAGTGTATCTAGCCAATGTGGGGTCTACTGAACTGCAGTAGAATTTTAAAATTGCACGGGTTGTAAAAATTCGTAAAATGTGTCAGCTAACTACAACATCTACCAGGTCTCACTCGAATTTTGTTCTTCTTTATTTTTCTCAGCCTGTTGACTGGTTAGAACCTCACTTACGGACCGAAATATTATTATTATTATTATTGTGTTCATCTTTATTTTTCTCAACCTGTTGGCTGGTTTGAACCACACTTACGGACCGAAATATTATTATTACTATCTTCTTCTTTATTTTTCTCAACCTGCTGGCTGGTTTGAACCACACTTACGGACCGAAATATTATTATTATTATGTTCTTCTTTATTTTCTCAACCTTTTGGCTGGTTTAAACCAGACTTTATTGTTATTATTATTATTATCGCCGTCTTTATTTTTCTCAGCCTGCAGGCTGGTTTGAACCACACTCACGGACCGAAATATTATTATTGTTATGCTCTTCTTTATTTTTCTCAGCCTGTTGGCTAGTTTGAACCACACTTTATTATGATTACTATTATTGTTGCCTTTTTTACTTTTCTTAGCCTGTGGGCTGGTTTGAACCACACTTATCAAGTAAATGCATGTATTATTGCTATTATTATTATTATATTTATTTTACACTCTCGCCTCTCCCAAGGCCCAAAAGATTAATTATTATTATTATTATTATTGTTATGTGGCTTCATTCATATGCAGTCCCTCATAATTGCGACCATTGACTGATATATTGTGATCATCACTATTTACAGTTCAGAGCCAAAGCCGACAGCTTTAAAGTACTGAAGGACTTTCCTGGCTCTGACAGCTTTTATGTCCTCTGGTTGTGGCCGGTGTCACCGCGTATGGAACTTTGTACGCCCGTCAGTGGGCAGCATTCATTGACTGAGATGCACAGCCACAATGCCCTGTTAAGTTTGAGCTGAGTATTCTGATGCCATTCCTGTCGAATGACAGGAATACTCGAACTCTTTGAATACTCGAGACCCTTTCTTGGAACCACACTTCTCGGAGAGGGGTGTTCTCAAGCTCTAGCCTTTGCCTTTCATCCACTGACTCATTGCAGGACCAGTTTTTTCCTTTCCCTGAGAGTATTCAATAAAGTTACACTGCTATTTACTATCCTCGATGTTTGGATGACTGAGGTTAGTGCATGCAGAGCGGCTTGTCTATCAGAGTTTATATAACTTGTCCACGTAGTCTGCAGGTCCAAATCCGCACTATGATTACAAGAGCAATGAATTTCACTCCGGAGCAATATCCAGATACCCAGCCAAAAGTATGGAAATATATATACTACGTATTATGGAAGTGTTTGTTATGAATAAAATTGATGAATAAGAGATACGATCCTTAAAATTCGACCAAAATGCTTTTTCGCAGGTAAACGTGCCGCAGCGGGCACAGGCACGAGCAGCGAGGCGGCGGGCGGCGCGAGCGCAGGCGCCGTCGGCGTCGAGGTGGCGCTGGACCCCAGCGAGCTCGAACTCGAGCCCGAGGCCGTGGCCGCCAGATACGAGCGACATCTCCGGGAGACGCGGCCCCGCCACAAGGAGGACCTTTCCGACATGTTGGCTGACCACGTTGCTAGACAGAAAGTACGTCCGGCTGCAAAATTTAATTAGCTTTTTTTGGAAATGTAACAGGATGGTCTGTAACTGGCAATATTTTCTCGAGTGCTTTTTTCTATTTGTCATCAACTTCATAACAAAATTTATTTCATTATTTGTTCAACATACTGTATTTTTACAGAACAAGCGGAAGCGACAGCAAAACACGGATTCGAAGCAAGCCAAGAAGTACAAAGAATTCAAATTCTAATAGCGATAATTTAAAAATATTTTTAAGAGTATTATAATAATTACTGTTGAATGCCGCGAAAGATTAACTTTCCACGTATTATTATGAAGAAATATAACATGCTCGCTAATTAATACAATGTTTCAATGTCCCATTTGATTTTTTTATTTGTCTCATCACCCCAAGCGTGAAAAATGTAAAGAATGTCTTCCGAGGACAGTCATTAAGGCGTATTAGTGCGTCTACTCAACGCTAGATGCCGTTGCAAAGAGTTTAATAAGCTTGTACATTATTTAGTTTTCAATAGAGGGCGCTAAAAATAATTACTATTCAACTAATATTTTTCATAACGGCAATAATTTGATGATCTGTCAATTTTCTTTAAAAAAAGTGGCAGCATTTTTTTCGGACTTTGTACTGATCGAAGACTCGATTTTCTCTTGTTTTTACTAACTTTATTTAATTAATAATTGTTTGCTTGCAATTAAATATTGTTTTTTACAATCACAATGGCCCGCGTACTTGTTGGAGTGAAGAGAGTCATCGACTATGCCGTCAAAGTAAGTAAATTAACAAGTGCAAAGGTTACCTTCCGTTTGTTATTGTCGAAGTTCATTTAAAAACTTTTCACCAAATTTACATTTATATGAAGTTAATTTACTTTAAAATATCAACCAATGTACTACTTCAGCGATAAAAAAGTTCCGTAATGTTTCTTTCGCAGCGTACATCCAAATTTTTCTTATCAGTTTAGTAATTAAAGTCAAGGGGGTATCAGTGATATGGAATTCTTTGAATTTCAGGGTCCTTAATCAAATCATCACTTAACGATCGTTATGTATGTTAATTTATCCCAAAAATATTTAAATAGATTTTAATTTGTTATGTTGAACGAGAATTATTATTGGTTTAATCCAATGAGTTTATGGTTAATCTCAATATAAATTATATAACTCCAGAAAATTTTAATTTTCTTACCAAGTTACAATCAGAATGTTGGATTCAACCTGCGACAGATATTTGAGACCGAAATGAGTATGTATGCCTGACGGCACCTAAGACAACTATTTCAACTAGTCAAAATGTGCAAACTTATTACCTTAAAATCTACAACTGAAGATTTTAAAACTTTCGTAGTTCTTCACTACATGATTATCACTAATTAAGGGCTGCTTACTACAGTACGATTTCTTTTTGTTTTCTTATTTAGGAACTATAAAATGTGTCTAAAAGTCTGTACTTATATGTGAGGTCTTGCTTCTCACTATGAGGCAACACAATAGAGTAATCCACAAGGATTGACATTACATGGCTGGCATTAACACCTAAGTGTTACAGGCCAGAACAATCGTGCTGCTGCATCGAAACTGACACTGGCCAAAACCCAAGCCGCCATTAATGAAATAATAATAAAAACATGATTTAAAAACTATTTGTTCATTATATGCCACTAGTTTTAACAGTTGAAAACTTTATAAATAAACAATTTTTAAAGTGGTGTTAGTTGATACTATTTATGCACAAAGTATTTTTTAAATCATAATCTGTGTTATGTTTGCAAATGTAATACACATATTACTTTACAATATATTGCATTTTACAATACATCATATCGTCAGATTATTGCAAGAAGTCATTAATTGCCATATAAATGATATAAATTGTATGGCAATTAATGACTTCTTGCAATAAGCTGACGATATGACTTACTACTGTAAAATCTACAATTTGTAGAAGCGAGGATCAGCGAACTAAAGTACATAAATAAAAAAAGTGCTTCATTTGTTAATATACATATAATAATATATTTTTTGTGTTGTTTATAGTAGTTGGAAGATGTGAAGAGAATGATGAATTTGAAAAAACGCCTCTAGAATAAAGTTACAAATTTATGGAGTAATAAATAAATTTGGCTTATGTGCTTTAGCCAGTAGATAGTACTATATTAATTTAAATGAATGATGTTGGACTTTGACTTATGTGCTTTAGTCCGCTGACCCTAGAATTATTTTAATGCATTTGTATTTCTATACAACTGCTGTAAATGGAATTGCTACACTTAATTTAAATTTTGCATTCAGGTTCGTGTGAAACCAGACAAGACTGGCGTTGTTACGGAAGGTGTGAAACACTCCATGAACCCGTTTGATGAGATTGCTGTGGAGGAGGCTGTGCGCCTGAAGGAGAAGAAACTGGCCAGTGAAGTCATAGCTGTATCATGTGGACCAACACAGGCACAAGTGAGTTCAATTTGTTATAGTCTCTAAGTGTATGTCATATAATAAATGAAACAAATAACATGACACTATTTTTTTTTGCCATGTATATATATTTTTTAATCTATTTTTTATTGAGTCTTTAGCCACCTTGAGTGACTATATCAGCCTCATAGGAGAAATACTGGGTTCCCACGCCATGTATATTTGCACGTATATTTGCATCGCACCTCCACCAGTGTGGAGGTGCGATGGCCGTTGTTCAGACGCGACACGCGGTTTTCCTCATTGCGTTGTTGAATTTCGTTGGGAATACACGATTAAGGGGAAATCCTGAAAAGTACCCGACACTGCACCTCAATTAGCCACTTTTTATTCAGTAGAAAAATTCAAAAAAGATACTCTTAATAAAGATACTCTAGATCTTCTGAATTTTTATTTGGATCAGAACAATTTTCTAAATCGCTTGACCGAGGTGGTCTATCGAAAGTGCTTGCTAAACCACAACCGGCAAAAAGAAATGTCTTTTTCGTCTACATCTAAAGGTCAGATCAAATTCCCTTTGAAAAACCAATTCATGCAACCATTTCGTACACCCAACACAGAGCCTTCAAAACCTAGGGGGTTGGCGGCGTCTCGTGGAAAACGAAAGCACGAGATTAGGAGGTCTCGCGAGTGTCGTCACATCGATTCCAAGAGACGCCGCTATGTTTGACTCACATCGCTTCGAAGCGGGTCGCCTACAACACTTTTATCACAGGGGGGTGGGCTCTAAGAGCTCCTCCAGTTATATTGAAAATGATTTCCAATCTTCGAATACCATTTATAAGAAAGCCCCCTTTATTGATACCGGATTTGAACACTTACCAAACACCAGACTCTCCCCAAATGACTGCAGAAACTCGGGCAATGTTAGATTTAAAGGTCTTAGAACTAGCGGAAGTAAGTCCCAGTTATGTGTCACTGATGTTTTTAATTCAAAAAGCAGACCTTTCCTTCCGACCAATTTTAAATTTGAAATATCTAAACAATTATATAACAATAAAGAAATTTTATCTTATATCTCATTTCGAGATTCCAAAGTTTCTGCAACCGGGAGACTGGATGACGAAAGTCGATATATCACAAGCGTATTTTCACGTAAACGTCATGCCACCTCACCAACATTTCCTAAGATTAATATTCAGACATGTACTTTACCAAATGGCCTGCCTTCCATTCGGTATAGCATGTGCCCCGAGGTGTTTTGCAATGTTAACAAACTTTGTGGCGCAGAGACTTCGAGAGGCGGGTGTCCGTATTGTAGTTTATCTCGACGATTTTCTGATCGTCAATCAAGATCGATGTTTGCTTCAGCGGCAAACTTCTTTAATCATAGAATTTCTTCAGGCTCTAGGATGGATTCTCAATTTCAAAAAATCTATTACGAATCCCACACAAAACATCGAATTCTTAGGCATACAATGGAATACCCTACAGAACGAAAAATATCTTCCTCCCAAGAAGATAGTAAAACTACAAACGGAGTTTCAGCGACTTCTTTTGAAGAAGACCTGCTCTCTCAGTGAAGCGAGGTTCATTCTAGGGCGTTTGAATTTTGCCAACTACGTAGTGCCACAGGGTCGATTACATTGCCGCCACTTTCAACGTCACCTTCGCGCGCTACGCAAGGGAAAGCATCCAAAGCAGCAATACATGTTACCGAAGGACGTCCTGTTGGAACTACAGTGGTGGCGGCGTGCGGTAAGCGATTTTTCTATGATTCATTTACCACAGATTACTCACTACTAACAAGATGCTTCCAATTACGGTTGGGGAGCACTACTAAACGACACGTGTCTTGCCGGGACGTGGGAACCTCAACAACAAACTTGGCACAGCAACCTCAAGGAGCTAGTAACGATCCAGAGAGCGATAGAATCAAATACAGAGGGCTCACGCGGGGCCAATTTGCTGATTCAGTCTGACAATGTAACGGCTCTCGCGTACGTAAGGAACGAAGGGGGCACGAAGTCATCAAAATTAATGAGTCAAACCCGCCAGGTATGTCAACTAATTCCAGACTTACAGTTTGTAGTTACTTATCAACATCTACCAGGACGCTTCAACTGTGTGGCCGATCGATTGTCTGGAGGCAAATCGATACCAGAGTGGCATCTCCTACCAGAAGCGACAGACAAAATATTTCAAAAATTCGGTTTACCTCAGGTGGATCTCTTCGCATCAGCGCGAGCCCACGTAGTTCCCCATTATTCTATTCCACAATGCCTTCAGCAGGCGATGGGAGTACCAACTAGCTTGGGCGTTTCCTCCTCCGTTACTCATGCCTCGGGTTTTGACTCACCTAAACAATTGCAGAAGCCAGTATATTGTAGTAGCCCCCCCAAAGTCGTTTTGAATAACCAGATCCACAGAACAGAGCCCTCAGCAGACCAGTTCTAATACACGACCTACAGAGACAGAGAACTCTGATAGACGTAACTACCAACCTACCGCTCCCCAAGGTAACCGATTTGATATTGGAAGTTTGGCTGATTGGAGCTGGGACAGCTTACTGAAAAATTGGACCCCAGCAGAGAAGGCCGTATTGATGAACGGGTGGAGGAAATCTACTTTGATGTCATATAAACCGGCCTGGAATCGATGGGTAAAGTGGTGTTTAAAAAACGAAGTTTCCATTACTACACCGCAAACAAAAGACCTCGTCAAGTTCCTCGCAGATCTCCATATTACAGAAAAGCTTGCGCCATCAACTATACAGTTACATAAATCTGTTGTTTCCACTATTTGCGTACCGCATTTCAGTAAAAAATTAAGTCAAGACACATTTGTGCGGCGAGTGTTAAAATCTGTTTCGATTGCACGCCCCATTAATAGGAAAGTCCTAATTTGGGACCCGCAACAGGTTGTACAATGGCTTCAAAACAATGTGTCGATTAATATTTAATTTTTTGAAGCGTTTCGGCGTTGTGCTACAATATTATTACTTAGATCGGGAAGGAGAGTTCATGATTTAACATTGTTATCCGTTTCACCGGGTCACATACAAGAGGATAATACTAATATTATTTTGTGGCCAATATTTGGTTCGAAAACAGACACCGCACAACACCAACAATCGGAATGGAAACATAGCCCTCATGATGTTCAAGCAATTTGCCCTGTCTACTGGGTAAAAAAGGTCATTGAACTATCGACATCAAGAAGAGGCTCATTTCAACAACTATTCATCACGACTCGGGGAACGCCGAAACCTGCCTCCAGGACGGTAATTGACGGTTGGGTAAGAACTGTTCTTAAATCTGCAGGTATAGACGCTGCACCTGGCAGCAGTCGCTCTGCAGTTGCCTCTTACAACTGGTTATGTAACGTCCCATTGGACACCATACTCGAGAAAGGTAACTGGAGACGGGCTTCGACTTTCCATAAACATTACTGTAGAAAAATAAATAAGACTATCAGTGCTAATAATAATAACACATCAAATGTATCAAATTTATTTAATCCAATTTAGAATATTATTGAATTATTTACAAATGCATGCTTAATACGTAATTGTTGTCTATTTATCAAATTATACAATGTTTCTTACAGAATGTTAGTTTACTTACAAAACTACTATACAAAGATTAACACTAAATAAACATCTTTCTTTTAAACAGTATGAAAACTTTAACGATTCACATCATTTCTATCACATGACATTCACTTATTCACTGTAGTCCGTGTTCACTATTTAGCTTCTCACACCTCTCACCAGGTGGTAACAAATACTTCTCACCAAACCCGGACAAGGCGAGGAATGCACAATGAAAAGGTTTTACCTACCAATAAAACCGCCATTGTGTTCTTAGCCTTGTCCAGGCAATTTAAATTGCAATCAAAATTGGTGGATAGGATCCAGCGACCAATCGGAGGGCAGAAGGAGAAATTCAGTGTTGCCAGTTGTCAAATCGTGTTTTCTACCTAAAATTGATCAATAGCTCTCTCACCAAACCCGGACAAGTCTGGGCCTTATCATTATTGTTGAAAACCAAATACAAAGATCCGACAAACACGCACATAGATAAATTCGTATGGTCCGCTGGTTCGTTCCGTGGCTTAGTTGGCATAGCGCCTGACACGGTTTGCTAGAAGTCGTCGTTTCGAATCCGGCCGGATCGAAGAATTTTTTCTAAGTGTTCGATCCTTGTATTAATAATTATAACAAAATAGATTCATTCAATGTATAGCACTTGTGAAAGCCTAAAAACTCAATAAATCAAGTAAATAAAATATATATAAATTTTTTCCATATATTGTTGGTTCATTTTTTCAGAAAAGAACTTCCTATTTATAAAGAAGTCTTCCTGAAAAAAATTGATATTACGCTACGTGTAGGGCTACCACTACAGGGCGCCACTTGCGCGAGAGCGACATAAAGTGCGAGATATGCTATTCTCGCATGGAGATCCCGCGCTTTATGTCGCTCTAGCGCCAGTTGCGCCCTATTGTGTAGTAGGGCTAGCCCTACTGTTATGTCTTGCTTTGTCTTACTTTTAATGATTCTGTATTTTTATTTTTGTGTGCAGTATTTTTATTCAACACAATTAAATTCCTTTTGTGATCAGGAAACCCTCAGAACAGCTTTAGCAATGGGAGCTGACCGCGCTATCCATGTAGAAGTTGCAGGCTCAGAGTACGATACAATGCAGCCCCTGCATGTGGCCAAGATCCTTGCCAAACTGTCCAAAGACGAGAAAGCTGACATCGTTATTGTTGGCAAACAGGTATCCAAAGTGCTATATAGAAAGAAGTACAATTTATATGTGGAACTCAACATTTCGTCGCTTAGCAAACAACACCGCTCAAGTCAGTAATTCAAGTCCAAATAAAACGTGAATGTCAATAAAAAATTACAAGGAACTCTTATACAATTGTGTCCATATATAGAGCACTTATTACCAATATATAATAGATTAGAAAATCTTGTATGTAATAATATTAGTGCAGTTTTTTCACTTTCCAGTAAAATTACTTCAAATTACTTACTTGGGCAGTGTTGTTTACTAAGTGACGATTTTTTATAGTATGAAGTTAATTTGAAGAAAAAATTATCTCATTTATGTATTTTGCATTACAGGCTATTGATGATGACTCAAATCAAACTGCACAAATGACTGCTGCCCTTCTAGATTGGCCACAGGGCACTTTCGCTTCTAAGGTATTATGAAATAGGTTAACAATGCTATTGTCAACTTCCATGAAACAGGAAAGACCTTATCTTATCCTTATCTTAGACTTGAAATAATAGTACTTTATTTCTATATGTATAATTCTATAAGTATAATTGTGAACCATTTCGATACCTCCAAGGTCACTACGCTACTACTTAATGTTTGGACCTGTTCTGTTTTTATTTTGTTTCTTTTTTTTTCACAAAATACGTTTTTTTCCACAAAATTCGGGGAGCATAATATTAGTAAATAAATGTAGCTGTTTACAAAAATAACTGAAAATGACCAAAAATAAAGTTGGCGTAGTGACCGTTGGAGGTATCGATCTTATAAGACATACCATTATTAAAAAATACACGTACACACTCAGGTAGAGAAAACGGACGCCGGTTTAACGGTGACCCGCGAGATCGACGGCGGACTGGAGGTGATAAAGACCAAGCTGCCAGCCGTAATCAGCGCTGACCTGCGCCTTAATGAACCAAGATATGCCACACTACCTAATATTATGGTATGCCTTTCAACCTGCTTCTGTATTTTTAATTGTGATATTTAAACAGTAATGTTCAATTTACATTGCATCGGAATGGATTGGCTCAGTGGATATAAAGTTTACAATTTCATTATACAAATTGAGTCAAGAAAAGGCTGCTTGTCGGAGATTCAGAACTTCTTTTCAGCTGTGAAAACATGTAATGATTTGTAATTTATTGAAAAAGCAGAGCTCCTTGTGAAAGTTCAGGGAAGTACTGCCACCTTATATTTCTGCCGCCAAGCAGTAATGTGAGCATCATGCGTTTCGGTTTTGAAGCGTAAAGGTGCTGGTAAAATTATAGGCACCTGAGACTTGTCAACTTAATCTTAGGGTGACGTGCACAATGGCAGCCCTACAGATCTTTGCGATGTAAACCTCTGAGTGGTACTGCAACTGCTTAAGTCAGGCGTGTCGCTTACCACCCGGCGCATGACTTGTTCGTCCCGTCACTAGGTATCATAAAAAAGAAAAGAATCATTTTTACGATATCAATTGACAGCACGATTGTCGAGCGCCTGCCGTAATAGTTGCAGTGCCAATTACAGCTTTAAATTGCAAGAGAGAGAAGAAGAAGACCTAAGACCTTGTCACCTTGAGATAAAGACGTCAAATCCCTTGTGTCTGTAGTTTTGCCAGCACTCTCCTCCCAAACCGGAAGCAGTAATGCCGGGTACTCAATATAGTCCATTTCAATAGGGATGATTACGGTGAAGTTTGAAATTTGAAGTTTCTAGAGATAATCGAGATAATTTGTAACGAAGAGGGAATCGATTTACAGAAAATAATTTAAGAACAACTAATGACAAAGTAATGGTGTAAATATATCTGTGGATAAATTTTTCGTTTTACACATTAAGTAGGTAATTAGGGTAATTTATGTTGTGTCTATCCCTAAAAACTACACAACCAAACAAAAAGTGTTGACTTTTTGTTTGGTTGTGTAGTTTTTAATAAAGCATAAAATCAACACAAACGAAACGGAATTTAAACAATTACTCCAAAAAGATCACGCAAAGTTAAAAACAAAATAAAACCCTCTAACAAGGTATGTTAATGCCTCGTATTGACGCGAGTTATACAAAAGCCGATTTGATTTATTGATTCTATGGTGTAAATCTCTATGGATAAATAATCCGTTTTACGCATGAAGCAGTTGGGGTAACTTATTTTTATATTTATTATTTCATTTTTTATCTACACAATATACCACAAATTTGACTTAAAATTACATCTACAACAAATATGTTGTAGATGTAATTTTGTTGAATTGTGTTTGATTTTGGTACATTATAACAAAAATATTTATTTTTGTAACCTGGTTGAAAGATTAGTTATAAATCGTATGCGTGTAACGTAAAAATTAAAAGTGTTACAGAACTCATCCCTAATGAAATGGACTATAATGAGCTGTAACTGTTGCATGTTAATGCATCGACATCATAAGGTTATGATGTCAATGATGTTATGTAACCAAAAATCATAGTGTGTATCATGTGTCATGTGTGTGTGTACGTGGTTCGCGAGCCGAACGCGTGCGGTTCGCAGTGAACTGTCTGATTGAAGACTGTTTCAAGCATACACACAAGAACCTCGTTACTGTGTCTGTCACATTGCAGTTACAGCTTGTTAGTGAGTACCCGGCTTAATATAAACATTATAGCTTGGCGGGTAGAAATAGGTATTGTGGCAGTATTTCCCTGGACGAACTCTTTCACAAGGAGCTCTACTGCTATTCAACAACTTATAACATGTCTTGAAACAAGCGCATGGACAGATTTATTTCGGAGTATACTTTCTAATATAATTTATCATAAGCTGTGATTAACTTATTAACACTGTATTAGTGAAATAATAAAGGTAACATTGAAACCACGTATCATTCTATTTTAAACAGGGTTAAAATTATCTTGACATTTATTAAATTAATTAGAACATCAAAATGCTACCGCTAGCAATGTCGTGGCATGTGTTTATATCAGAGATATATCCAAACATGTCGAACGTCAATCTCAAAAAATAATCTCAGTCCAAAGCTTATGACTATTCCTGTTTTTTTTTTCATCCTCCAAGGTACAGAGTACTAAAAAAACCAACCTCAAAATTTCAAAAAATCTATTTGCCAAGTTTTATTGAAATCGGTTAACGGAAAGTGCGCGAAACCAGATTTATATTGAGATATATTATTTTCTTTAAATTTAAATGGGACCACTTCCTTCCTACAAACTACCTTCTTTCCAACAAAAACAAAATCATACAAAAAAAGAACATACAGTCAAATTGAGTACCTCCTCCTTTTTTGAAGTCGATTTAAAGATCACAAACCAAATCCTTTTCACTGACATTTTTTTTCGTGTTAGCTTAATTTTGTCATTGTTTGTCATTCTTAGTCAAAAATTAAAAGAAAGAAAAATTTATAAATCAGCATGGATAATTGGACGTGGTTAAACAAAAAGGATCCAATGCATATCCAGTCACTTTCGATAAATGGCAGTTTAAAGTTTAAGTGTTTCTCACTCTTGTTTTATTTACAAAACTTATAATGTCATGTAACTCCAAAGATATTTATTTTTGTTTATATGTTGGGTTTTTTTTGCCGATCTAAGAGGTTAGACTTTAGGAACCGTTTCGTACATATAACTCATTTTTTGGTAAGTTTGTGGATTGAATCCTTTTTGCTAACTACAGCCAATTACTATCAAAGAAAATCTTAATAATTTCGAACCCTGATTTTAAACTCTATAAGCGAAACAATGACTATTAGAATACAATGAGTATAACTGCCTCTGTGGCCGAACGGTTACCATGCCGGACTGCCACGCAGAGATCCCAGGTTCGATTCCCGGATCGGAAGAAATATTTGTATGGTCTACATTTATTTCTCTCGTGAGTTCGGGTGTAATTTATGCATGTCTATGTGTGTCCATGGCACCCGCGACACAGGGTTTCTCTAATGCGGGCTATGTTGAGTGTGTGCGTTATTATTATTATTATTTATTCTTTTTAGAAAGCTAAAAAGAAGCCATTGAAGAAAGTGACAGCTAAAGACCTTGGAGTGGATTTAGCGCCGAGAATCAAGATAGTTTCGGTAGAGGACCCACCAGTGCGGCAGGCTGGCACCATCGTTCCAGACGTTGACGCGCTAGTGGCTAAGCTTAAGGAAGGCGGACACATTTGAAAACTCCAACTTCAGAGAAATCCAACATTTATTACATAATAGTGTTTGTTGTATAGCAAAAAAAAACAAAAACAATTTGTACATGATATTTTACATGAATTGTCAATTTAGCTCTATTGTACCATAATGTTGACGTAATTTTGTTGAATATACAATCATCATGTTAAATAAACTACATTTATTCTACATTAATTTATACAAGTTCAATTAATTATACGAGGGGCAGACAAAAAGTAATGACTCCATCGCTGTAACTTTTATTTCTTTCAAAGCTACTAAACTATCATGCATTGTATTATAGGTAACCTTATTCTATTTATATACTCTTGTCATTTTCAGATATCTGATTAGATCTATAGAATTGAAGCTAAAAGAAAGAGCCTTCATTGAGTTTTTGGCAAGAGAAGGTTGTGCACCTAAGGAAACCCATACTCGCTTGAAAAATGTTCATGGAAATGTTGTAATGTACATTCAAAGTTTGTGGTATCGCAAGCTATCAATTCTAGGGTCGCTGGAGTAAAGCACATAAGTCAAAAAGCAACATCTTTCATTTAAATTAATACATGTACCTACTAAAGCACATTAAGTCAAATTCATTTTGTTACGTCGTTAATAAATTTGTAACTTAAATTCTAGCGACATCTTTTTCAAGTAACCATTCTCTTTACATGTCCCAACATTATAAACAACGCAAAAAAATATATAATTATAACATATTAAAATACGAATGGACTTTTTTACTTATTTGCTTTAGTCCGCAGATCCTATAATTATTCTCTGGGCAGACCCATATGACACATTCAATGCTTTAGCAACATTCTGAACGCGTCGGTCTCTTCTCATAATTTCGTTAGCACGTTCTCGATTTGAATCTGTACTCGACGTTATTGGCCGGCCACTTTTTTTTAAATAATATTAAGTGACAGGACGAACAAGTCGTGCGCCCGGTGTTAAGTAACACGCCTGTCCATTACTGTTGCAGTGCCACTCAGAGCTTTAAATTGCAAAGATCTCAGGGTCACTGCCACTGCGCCCGTCACCCTGAGACGTAAGTTGACAAGTCCCATGTGCCTGTAATTTCACCAGCATCCTTTAAAACCGGAACGGTAAAGTGGCAGTACTTCCCTGGACAAACTCTTTTTTGCAAGGAGCTCTATTGCTACTAAAAACCGTTTCTCCGTTTCCAAACTTCCTTACCCATCGCACATTGCTGATGTCCATTACAGCATTCCCAAAAACATCATTCAAGCGATTATGAATTTCCTTAAGTGCTAACCTTTTTTATCCAGAAACTCAATGACGGCTCTTTGTTTTAGCTTCAAATTCATTGATCTAAGGAGTTAATCTGAAAATGACACGGGCATATAATTAGGGTAATGTTACCTCTATGATACCATGCATATAGATAGTTTAATAGCTTTGAAAGAAATATAAGTTAGAGCGATGTAGGTTATTAGATTATTACTTTTTGACTGCCCGTCGCACATCTACAAGGAAGCTCATTTGAAGTGTTTTAGGCGACGTCTTCACAATGATCTATTCTATTTTGATAACATCGATTAAATGCACTTTCTAGTCATCTACTTAGCGTTTCCTCATTGAAATGCAAATTGATAAAAAGGTGAGACAAGATACAAAGGAGATTCTAACCAGACTGTACAGACTCAACACCCTATATAAATCTGAGCTTGACGTTTAAAACTTTAAAGTTGAGCTGGATGACGGAATGAAAGAACACAATGACAATTACTAATCTATTAAGTAACTAATACAACGCTTCCCCGCTGAAAGGCTCGTACCACACGATTTTGCCTTCCAAGCAGCCGGTGACGAGAAGGTGGTATCTTGGACTGAATTTGGTGCTGACGACGAGGTCTTGGTGAACGCCGAGGCTTTGGCCAAGTTCCACCATTGGCGCGGGGCCTTTGAAATCGTTGACGCAGTGGCTTAACTCGCTGCAGTTCTCGTTGAGAGCTAGTAGGCGCATTCCTCTGCCGAAAGGCGAGCAAACGAGGCGACCGTCTGCAGAGTAGCAGAGTTCCTGCAAAATAAACAAGTTTATGAAATTGCAATTGGATCTAATTAATTGAAATTCTAATTGGATTGCAAATTGAAAATCGTTACATATTTTGTCTTCAACGAATTTCTTTTTACAATTGGTTATTGCGTCATGCTTATAATGAAAATAAAAAAGGCATTTAATTTTTGATATTTGTCAAATATCTCTTCTAATTCCCATAAAAAATTGATAAATGAATAATCTTAGTATAGAGTACTAAAAAAACCGACCTCAAAAGTACGTGGAATTACGTCTATTTGCTAAGTTTTATTGAAATATCCCCTAGTTCGCCACTATACAGGACTTGACATTGGAGATAATAAAAATCGGTTCTCACTACTTAGAGTATATTGAGAGAAAAACGCCTTGAATTGGAGAAATAGCAAAATGAACCATTAAAATAAATGCTCCTTAAGTAAAATTTAGGCGCTATTTATAAAAATGAATCTTCATGCGTGAACAACCACCCTTAAAGGTGGATCATTTTCTTCAAAATGAAATGGGACCACATGGAAGTACCCCCTTTCCAACAAAAAAAGAATCGTGAAAATGGTTCCCAAATACCGGAGTTATCGCGTAACAAACATACAAAAAAACATACAGTCGAATTAAGAGCCTCCTCGTTTTTTGAAGTCTGTTAAAAAGAAACAATGTACACCATACCATAGATTTTTCTATATCTATGCACCATACGCACGTAAAATTAACGTCAAATTTAATTTTACCTTGATAAACCCTTTTCCTTCATTGGTCTCTTCAACATAGTACAAGAGTCGGTCTTTGTTCTGACGGATGTAATGCCGTGGTTCCGGGTCGTCGTAGCTTGTGCTGGGGCTTTCCCGCAGCGGCGGTGTCTGCCCCGACGTCGATGGTAACGTACTGTTACAAAATAATAACCGTAATTTAATTAAATGAGCATTTCTCAATTTCTCAGTTAATACAAAATTAACTCAAAAAGTGTATTTTTTCAGAATAGATCAGAAAGGAATTACTTACTTCCCGTGAAAGACTATCAAAATTTATATTGAACTTGAAAAAAATTGGTTAAACTTTATAACAGACATCTAAACAATGTCATACTTGCCAAATATATTTAAAAATAAAAGCGGAAAAATAATTTCATCTTTTTGAGTAAGGACTGTTTTGTACAGAAGTAGCTCAGAAAGTTTCTCTCATTTTGAGTTAAGTAGATATCTTTGAATTGTTTCTCACAATATTCTAATGACGGTGGTACTGACGTGTAGATAATCAAATTTTACGTTCAACAATAGTATAATCTCAAATTTCACATATTTTGAGTTACAACACTATTGTAATAGCAGTGCGACTTGAATAATTGTAACGTTTTTTTAAATAAAAACCGAACTCAATAGTTCGTGGAATTATATCTATTTACCAATTTTGATTGAAATCGGTTATCGGAAAGTGCGCAAAACCGGATTCATCCCATAGTTTGTCACCCTTAGAGATGGAATATTTTCTCCAAAATGAAATGTGATCAATACTGAGGTAACCTCTTTCCAGCAAAACAAGATCATCAAAATCGGTTTACAAATGCCGTTATCGCGTAACACACAAAAAAAAATAGTTAAATTGAGAACCTCCTCCTTTTTTTGAAGTAGGTAGTAGGTTGAGACATAACTTGACAAGTCCCATGTGCCTGTAATTTCACCATCACTTTACTCTTGAAAACCGGAACACAGTAATGGTCACATTACTGCTTGACGGCAGAAATAGGTAAGGCAGCAGTACTTCCCTGGACAAACTCTTTCACAAGGAGTTCTACTGCTACTTATTATTATATAACACTGATTTTTAATATGTCGATTTCACTGAACATGATTTCATCTTTGGTTTGACATGTGTCATTAAATTTAATCAAGCTAAATATATGCCTCTAGTACATAGACGTAACTTTGTTTCACGATATGCATATGAAAGTATTAGATATAATAAATCATCAACAGGCTTCGTCACATAACAATTAACAATGCAAATCGCCAGATTTGGCCATTTTTATCCAACTAGTACAATAAAAAAGTTACGCTCTGAATTTTAGCTGGTTCAAACGTCCCTATAACACTGGCAGCATTACCGTGCTGAATAGCCAACGGAATTTGTTGCACCAAGTAAGATCCAGAGCGTGGATCACAGGCTCTAAGGATAGAGCCGACTACTCCGCACCCTAAGTCCCCGCAGTCTCCACTGCAATTGGCACAAAATCGTACATCGGTTCCAAGGCACAGATATAATTATGTTGCAATATATTTAAGAAATGTAGAGTATACCTTTCATAATGCGCAAACATTGAATGCCTGGGCAGCAATCGCGGGTGCCGTGTGCGCAGACCGGTGGGAGGCGCGATGCCCGTATTGATACCCATGATGCGCTGCATGTTGAAGTTGCGGCCCACCTGGCCCCTGCACGAAGTAAAAGCAATATTTAGCGGGAATGCCTCACAACTCACATCTCGGAATGACAATATATTATTATTGATATAAAGATGTTGACCTGACTGAACTCGAACCAGAGTCTGTTGCCACACCGGGGCCACCGCTCTTCTGTATGTGCTTGTTCCAGATCTTTTTGTGTTTAAATTCAGCGTTACCTGTGAGAAACTTATGAAAGTTTCTAAAGTTGAAAGCTTGTTACCATATTTAAAAACCAGCTCGTTTTTATACGTAATTGTTTTTAGACGAAATTTAAATAAAATGTCTACTAGAAATCGCAAGTCTGCACTTCTTACAAGTAGCTGTTGACTTCTCATGATAATCTGAGTGCAATTACGTGCTGCGCAAATGTAGATAGTTTTGGTTACCGTGGATTCTGTGTGTCTAGTGTAACGGCAACCGGACACAGTCGCCGCTACTTTGGGCACTGGTAACAGTTTGGCGCTTAGTTACAACGCACCACTCACCGCGTTATACAGTGTGTTGATTTGCATTCTCCCCACAATTAAGAAATTAATATTAGAACTAATGCTAAATCATGTAAAAATATTAAAAAATATATTCTGTGCAATATTCTGGCTAATTATATCTAATAAAGTTTTGCAAAACTGTCCATAAATCATAGCGGAGGAGTCACAGCGCGGGCAGTGACTCCTCCGCTCACTTCACCGAGCGATACGTAATCTTTCTCTAAACGACCCCATAAGAAATAGTCTCGCACTTGCCGTCCATAATAGGGCTCAGACATGCCTATTCCACTTATCCCAGTGCGTGAGCGAGCGCGATGCGCGGGCGCTTAATGCGTTTGAGAAAGAGATAGCAACACTTTGGTGGTTTCTTTGTCGGCCCGTAGCGCTATAAATTTTGGTAGCACGTGTGCAAGTTCATGACATTTGGATCAGGTAATTGCGAATCGATATTTACCGCAATTAAATAAAAAATAAGAATTTAGGATAATTCTTTTGGGATTTATTTTTATAGTGATTTGGGTTCAGTTGCGGATATTGAATGACCTCTGTAAATTTGGCGAGAATGCAAATCAACACATTGTACAAAGTGTGACAGGCGTTATCGACTTGGTGTCATTGATGACTACCTTTTAGTATACAGAGTTGCTTACACCGAATAGTTTTTGATTGGCAACCGGTTTATGTCAAGTGGAAGCAACGGAAACAGCGGAGTCTTCGACTGCGCTAAAGTGATCGATTTCATATTAAATGTACATAAATAGAATATTCGCTACTATTTGCCAGTTGCTTGTATCCAACACAAGTAACTAAATTGTCTATGTTTGCGCGGTGCCTTAACGCAGACCAGACCATGGCAGGGCGATGATTTGTTGAGTTTTCCCTCACACGTGTGATAGATTTCTGTAACCGCGCCCGGCAATGTTTTTTCTAAGGCCTTCTAAGAATTAAGTTCGGCGTTGTTTTAAATTAATCGTTGTCTATAAAAATTTCAATTATCTATTACATGTTAAGGCTTCCGAGATTTTGGCCAGTATTGCCTTGCCACCCTGTTGTTACGTTACTGCGGAAACAACTTAAAACGGTTAACCCATAAGGGCGTCACCACATTTATCGACGCGGAATCGGCTTTTGACGACCAATTGGGAAGTGAACTTTTCTAAATCGGTTCTTGTCTGGGTGTTTCGAGTAGTGGTGTCATAGTACAGGGCATTTCCTAGTTTGAGACCAGGTGGTGAGAGGCGGCACTTCATTATGATTAATTTAGTTTATATTGGGTTCTCAGGTTCTGATTATAATGTTAACTACTCTGCCGCGTTTACAACGAAGATGACATTTTTACAAAAATAAATTTTAAAACGACTTTCTAAGAGGCTGTGCCTGCAAAAGGAAAATCGCAAATGTTCTAATTATACCATAAAGTTCAAAAGATTAAACCAATTCTATACGAAAGGAAGCAACTGAAACGAAGAAAACAATGTAGAATGAAATGCTCAATCGTGTTACTAGAAATAGACTAACTATATTGATATCTTATATTGACCAACAAATTCTTTTATAACTATAGTTTTACAGTGAAGAATGTGAACAAAGCGCGCTTTACTAGTTAATTCCGCGTACCTACATTCCATTGAATCTACTAAGCAGCGAACGTAAAACGCGAATAAATGGCGCTTCTACAGAGGCGTACCTGCTATACATCTCTTGAAGCATTCTGTGCTGTTTGATCGTAATAGACGCCTCCCACACGTCATTCTGAATACTGGATAGGCCCTGATCAGAGAAAGATCGGTTAATGGTCTTGTGCGGCGGAGAGGCACCTGATCGAGGGACGCGCGATTTCGGGCCTCACCGCGCCACCGTGGCCTGCGGGCTGCGCGCGCGCCGCGCCGCCTTCCGCCCCGCCGCGCTCCTCGGCCGGCCTCCGGCTTTGGGCCTGCGACGTCGACCTGCAACCACACACACTTGCGCTCAAATATCGTGACCGGATCTTACACATGGTGGAAATTTATTGCAACTACGTTTCATGTGTGTGATTCAGGTTCTAGTAAAGCGAAAAGGCCGTGGCGCCACAAGCGAGTCACTTACGCTGCTTCGGGTGGGGCCAAAACGGAGTGTCCGGAAGAAGAGGGCGGGCTGGCCGTGTTGGACGGCGCGGGGTGCGGGCGCGGGGCGCGGTAGGGGCGCGTGCGAGGGCGCAGGCCTCGCCGCCCCACGGCGCGCCGGGGCGGCGGCGACGCCGGCGCCGAGTCGCGGACCGACGACTCCGACTCGACATTCATTGGCTGGATGTCGTGGATGCACGACCACTGAAACATTCATTAAGAGTTCACGTCAGAGCTGAATTAACTTATTTATTGAGGCATAACTGCCTCCGTGGCCGAACGGTTACCATGCCGGACTGCCACGCAGAGGTCCCAGGTTCGATTCCCGGGCCGGGAGAAATGTTTGTATGGCTTACATTTATTTCTCTCGTGTGTTTGGGTGTAATTTGTGGTTGTCTATGTGTGTGTCCATGGCACCCGTGACACGTTTCCCTAGTGCGGGGCTATGTTGAGTGTGTGCGTTATTTATTTATTCATTTCATAGGTTAACAAATTACATGTGAAATGTCAAATTTACAACCTAAAGATTAGATCTAGGCTTCGTCAATAAGTACTTAAAAAAAATGGGAATAACAAGAGATTTCGCCAAATATTCTAGAATTAGAAACAATTGAAATGATTGTGAAATTACGCAACAATTGGCCAATCACCATCATGGAAAATTAGGCCATGCAAATTTAGTCCTAGTCACAGTAAAAAAAAGAAAGCAGTTCAAATTATTTTTATTTTCGTACGAAAAATACTACTGACACAAATAATAATAAATATAATAATTTCTTTATTCATCAATAACTTTCTCTGTTCTGAGAGACTTCGATCCAAATGAACTTTGTATTAATGTATTAATATATAATCATTTATCGCTGGTTTTCGAGACCCTACCTAGCTATCCATTGGTTAAAATAATCATACATTCGGCATACGATTCGTCACATGTGATCACCATGTTTCAGCTTCCTTCAATTAGATTTTTTCAGTTAGGGTCGCCTCAAATTGGCGCAGCGACGCGATGCATCCTGCCGTCAGCAGCTTGTGCTTTACTTTTTTATGTTAAATGCAAATAGATATTCACTTATTTAGTGTAATTTGCTTGCCTACGAAAATAATGACTTAATAAAAATAAATTAATAAATATCCCTGCTTTTTTGTTAAAACTTGTTTTTTTTTACAAGATAATGATGTGGGGAATTTTTGGTCAATAAGGACTTTGTCAGCGAAAGCGGCAGAGGTCTCGGTGTAAACGACGGGTTGACTACGTCGTCTTCGGCAAGGCGCCGTAGTTTACCAAAGGGGGCAGGCGACCCGATGTATATGCGCCATTACTCTTTTCTTATTTTGCAGTCATAGAAAATATATTCATTTAGTAGAGAATGAGTCCTGTATTAATTATTACAAATGCATTAGCATTTTGCAACGCTTTCTGTATCTTCTTTTCAATTTTTTATTGAAAAAAAAAAGCATCTCAGAAATAACTTTTAGGAAACAAAGTTTATGTTGCATTGTTGGTTGTAATGCAGTGCCACGTCGCGTCGCTGCATATTTGAGGCAAGCCTAAGGTTGCAATTATAGAAAATCATCGACCTATTGCTAGAAATAGCAAAGTGGCTTCTACAAAATCGACTAATTTGCAACAACTGTTACCTCATCCTTAAGGACATTAGAATATAGGAATACGTGATCATATGAACTTACCTCTGATCTATCGTCATGGCTTATATTCCTGCTTAAAGCACTCCAACCCTGGGGATGTACCTATGCCACCAAACAAAATTAATTTTCATAATTAAATTAAAATTAGTAATATTACTATCATTAAAAATAAGTTAGACGAATGGGAGAAGCTAACGTGCCATCTTGGACAATGTACTAAAATTGTAACATAGACAGGTAATATAGAAGATGAAAGCAATCACTGTTGGACGTACACGGAGGAAGGTAGCACATGTCAAAGTGCAATGCAAAAATTTGGAGATTTTGCTGACAGGCATTCCGTCACTAGAGACATGCATAAAGTGACCATACGTCCCGCTTTGATCAGGACAGTCCCGGTTTTAAACTTTGTGTCCCGCTGTCTCCAAAATACTTTAAAAAGTCCCATTTTGACTAAACAGGACAAATATGACAAGAAATTTTAAAAAATGGCGCGAAAAATATATAAAGTCACCACCGGACTACACGGTTTTTTTAAATTTTTAATCATTGAACATTTCTAATCCTTTAAAAAAAATTTAACACTAAACATTTCGTAACTATCACAAACATGTGTTTTATTTATATGTCCCGCACTGAAGAAAAAAATAATGATCACGTTAGACATACATAATACTGCCCTCCTTGTCATAACTAACAATTGGTAATTTTCAAGAACTTTGGCAAGAACAAAAGACTCTTGGCACCTAAAGTTTTATTTCCTTTGTAAAATGTCAATTATGCTCATTTTGCTTAGCAATAAAACTGAAACTAAATAAGATATGAAGAAACGCTTGTAGGGGGTTGTAGACCTTGTTTCGCTTACTCCAGATACGTTAATAACTCTATTGCGCTTAAAATGTCGATTACGTTAGTTATGATAAGGAGGGCAGAATATCAATGCATATCATTATCATATACAAATTGAAAAACAAAATGCGAGTGCAACAAAATGATATGGATCAATTTAATAGTGATTTAAGTTTTTTTTTCCTTCCCGACTTCAAAAAAAGAAGGAGGTTTTCAATTCGACTGTATGTTTTTTTTGTATGTATGTTACGCGATAACTCCGGTATTTGTGAACCGATTTTCATGATTCTTTTTTGTTGGAAAGAGGGTACCTCCATAGGGATCCCATTTCATTATGAAGAAAATAATCCACCTCTAAGAGTGGGTGATCACGCATGAACATTCATTTTCATAAATAGCGCCTAAATTTTACTTAAGGAGCAATTATTTTAATGGTTGGTTTTGGTATTCTCCAATTCAAGGCGTTTTTCTCTCTCAATATACTATGAGTAGTGAGAACCGATTTTTATTATCTCCTGTGTCAAGTCCTGTATAGTGGCGAACTAGGGGATATTTCAATAAAACTTGGCAAATAGATGTGATTCCAAGTACTTTTGAGGTCGGTTTTTTTAGTATTCTGTACTGAGATTATTAATAATATCAAGTGGCGGGACGAACAAAAGTATCGATACTTTTTTATAATATCAAGTTACGAACAAGTCGTGCGCCTGATGGTAAGCTACACGCCTGTCCATAACAGTTGCAGTGCCACTCAGAGCTTTCATAGCAAAGATTTGAGGGGCACTGCCACTGCGCCCGTAATCCTGAGACGTAAGTTGACAAGCCTCGTGTGCCTGTAATTTCACCGGCACCCTTACCCTTCAAAACCAAAACACAGTAATGCTGACATTGCTGCTTGGCGGCAGATATAGGTAAGGTGGCAGTACTTCCCTGGACGACTCTTTCACAAAGTGCTCTACCGGTATTAACAGCTCTACTGCTTAGTAACATTACTATATATTAATCAGTAATATATTAATATTACAGATTATTACGTAATAAATAGTAGGGACTAAAATGTTTTATTGTTGTTATTTATATGCACTATTATTGATAATTGTAAAGCTTTGTACCCACCTGTAAAGAACTCACGACTTCTGCGTCGTTCCCCAATGGAAAATCGGAAACGAATTCAACGCGGTTCTCTGTTCGTTTCCTTTCAAACAAGTGATCGTACATCGACGCTATTGGAATCACCTGTTGGCTCATCTGCATCAATCTGTACAGGTTCGGCTGAAAAAAAAAAATGTTGTGTCAATCAAAAGGTAAACTTAACGGAAAGCTAATCGCGTAGCCGAGAATGATCAGTTAAAGTTTGAAAAATAAAGGCAATATTAACACTGTTCTTCGTCTTACATGGTTATTCAGCATATATAAAAAAAAATTGCTTGCGAGGCTGCTGCCAAACGGATTGCAAGCAGCTACCGCCTTGCACTTAGCTCAGATACTTAGTGTATTTGTTGATATTGAAATGGAAGCACAGATGTTACTTGTAGCTTGTCATTGTATTGATTTACGATTTACGAACATTTACGATTTCAAATGCTGACTTTCTTTTTTATTAAGGAAATAAACACCACTACCAAAGTCCTCCATTTTAATTTGTCAACAAACTCACGGGTTTAATCCCCGACTATACTTTGAAAATTGTTATATTCTTTCGCAATTACAAAAAAAAATTAAGAAACTTGTGCAAATGTGAAATAAATGCGTCGAGAAAATTTTCACCAGCCGTTTTCTTGTTTTACCACTATGTTGATTAAACCCTCAAGACGCCTGCAGTCGAGTACATGACTTCATACAGTTGATCACGACTGCATGTGTGCAACTACAAACATACAGTCCATCTGTAAACAGCCTAAGTTCTGTCATGAAACTCTATTAAACTCTATTAAGCAATTTTTTTGTTTTTACATAAAAATAGTTCAGTATGTGCTCAACATTCGCTCATCCAATTCATTTAAACGAGCAGCCTAATATATATTAACATGTCCTTAACCTTTGTAACGACTTGCCTTAAATCCATGTAAATCTTGAGCCAAAGTTGACAAATTCAAGTCATGTATAATAACTAATAAGCCTCCAGTGGTGCACATAACCATTTGTTTAGCATCCGGTGACAATCTGCATCGCATCAGGCCTGACGCATGAAATACTCTTTGGTATACCAAGTTATATTCTGTGTAAGAGTTGATATCCCACGTGTATATGCTGCCGTCAAGACCAGATGTGACAAGCAACTTGTCTTTCACTGAAAATTCTATATTTTTGACCCAGTTTGAGTGGCCAAGCAGAGAGCGTATCTTCTTGCTTAAGTTTCGGACATCCCATAGAGCTATTGTTGTGTCATCTGAACAAGTAGCGAACATTCTTCCATCTAAGAATCTGTAAATTTATGGAATTGTGTATGCTTAGGAAGTGGATGGTCATCGTCGGAAATATTAATAATCGAAAATAAACACACACATTTCTCGTCTTTAGACAGACTATTTAAAACTGCAGCTTTTAAAAATAAAATTAACATAAATGGCTGTCCAAGATTTTTAATACCAAATCGCTAGATGTCTTCGTGTAGTATTAAATTTTGACCATTTTTAAACACATATTAGCAATAAAAACATTTTTGAAATTTTTTGTGAACAGCTGTTTAGCATTTAAGCAACGATATATTGAAAATGTGGCGGTTCGCAACTTGCACTATACTGGCATTAAACACTTGTCTTCACATACGTGCCTCTACCTCTACCTCTTTACATAGGCTATGAGTTTTCTGTACACAACATGGACAATATACAAAATAAAAGTTTTGAATTGAAAAATGTAATTTTAGTTAATCTGAAAACATACTATACATTTGAGAGTATATAATTTAATATCAGAACTTACTTAACACAGTTTACACAGTCAGAGTGTGCTCCATTGACAGAATGGATCCTCTGATGCGTGAGAGGATCAAATATTTGGATAGATTTCTTTTCACACGCAGCCACCAAAAGAGAACTGCAAAAAAGGAGATTTTGGTGACATATGCAAATTTTCCTACTTATACCATTATAGTATATTTTCTATAGAGGATTTAGTAAAACTGTAACGTCCACAATATGCCGACTTCGTATTGGTCATACTTGCACCCCAGTCCATCTGGCAAAACTTAGAATATGGGATATCTCAATTTGTGAATGTGGCCTGGATGAAGGCACCCCAGATCACACATTTTTCAGCTGCCCTATCAGAACATGTTCCGTATATGATAGTCTTCCACCTTCCATTCCTCGCCCCATGACTTTCAAGTTTCTGTTATCTGTTTTTACAAATCCCCTTGTAGAATTAATATCTGATTTTATTAGTACTAACAAACTTAAATTATAAAACTAATTTACTTATATTAACATATTTTGTAATGGTGATGGTATATTGTGTTGTTTTGTATTGTTCAAAGCCAGAATAGACTAAAGAGCAGTGTTAATCAATTAAACATAAAAAAAATAATTCCCATGACTGACTTGAATTCTTCAAGAAAACCAGAATTTAAAGAATAGAATAGAATACAGTATATTTTAAGCACTACTACCTACTTCATTGTTTACCAATTTTATTAAAACTTAAAAATTAAACTTAAATTAAATTAAACTTTTAAATAATGTTTGTACATGATAACATTCCTATCATAAATTCTTTTACCACAGTCAACAATTATAAATTTTAATCATTAGTATTTGTATAATATTTTATATCTAAATACCTTTGTGCAGCATAATATAAATAAGGTCACCTTTATTTGAATGTCATGAACGATAAATTTATTAATTGAAAATAAATTATGTACCTCTGCAATTATATTACCTTAAAATGATATGTGTAGGCCTTAAGAGGAAAACTATATTACAACATTGAATATAATCAGCTACATTCTGGCTAAAAACCATATGTTTAAATCTTTTTGGCCATTACATTAATAAAAGTTGGATTTAGATTTATTTTGTAAATAGACTGGCAACTTTAAAGCCAAACTCGGCCAATGAATTGTTTTCTTACCCTTCCGGAGAGAATTCAAGGTTGAACACCCCTCCAGTAGGAAGTGAGTTCGCTTGCTCATAGTCCCACGAAGCGATAGGTTTCATGCCGCAGTATAAGCTACGAGCGAGAGCATCTCCAGCCCCCAAAGGCGTCCCGAAGCCGGTTTCCCGTCGAATAAACCGGTACGGGTTAAAGGCAGAATATCTCGCCATAAACGACGAATTATCTGTGCTACCATATACTAAATCTATGGTACTATCCATTGTGATCATAACTTCACGTTACATAGACGAATGACTAAATCACAATAAAACTAACAATTGAGAACATGGCACATCAGTCTAAAGAAATCCTGTGTATGTAGATAGTAAATAGTTTAGGCCTACATTTTATTTTATCGACAAAAATAGAGAAAAATCGATATTCACAAGCTGCTCAAGTTTATGACAGACCAAATAGACATTGCCATTTAAAAATTTAATTATTACCAAAAACAAAAAATTGTGTTGCTATATTGCCATTATTCTAAACTACTAAGACATCAAGTTGTATTACCTTCCTTTATTTTTTCCATCCTCTAAGTATTGCCCACAGAACATGTGGACTTTCACATTTCATTTTTAGCAAGAATTGCATTAACGTCTCATGTTTAACTGCCTCCGTGGCCGAACGGTTACCATGCCGGACTGCCATGCAGAGGTCCCAGGTTCGATTCCCGGGCCGGGAGAAATATTTGTATATTTATTTGTCTCGTGAGTTTGGGTGCAATTTGTAATTGTCTATTTGTGTGTCCATGGCACCCGCGACACAGAATTTCCCTAGTGCGGGGCTATGTCGAGTGTGTGCGTTATTATTATCATGTTATATTCTACCAAGCATAGGTAACACAAAAGGGGTTTTATATCTATTATCAAAGTCTTTATTCAGTTCATTTAGCATTCTATAATCCACTGTATACTTAACATTAGGATAAAAGTAACATTATTTTTCTTAATTCAATTACTTAATAATTACATCTATAAATAATATCAAAATATAAAGCATCATCAGTAGAATGTCACCAAGTGTTGGGAGGTAGGATCCCTGTTGGTGGTGGTATGTGACCAGTATTTAGAACATTTTGCAGAAACACTTCCAGTCGTGTCTTTGGGCCCCCTTCATCAATATTTTGTAGAATAGACAAGTAATCTGTGCTTATTAGTTTTATTATCTTTGTGAATTGTCTTCCATAGCACTTGAAAAATTCTGAACCACAGACATGGAAGAAGTCATGGAGTAATGTAGCACTGATGTCTGGCTCTGGTTTTAAATTTATAAATGAGGCAAGCCACTGCCAACCATATCTTGGACCATGAGGGTTACCAGTGTTTAGAAATCGTGGTGTTTTAGCTATCCAGATGGCACAACGTAGTCTGAAAATTCCTGACATCCTTTTTAGAAATTTATCTTGTTTTTCTACTACCCCTTCGTCATTGTATGTGTAGCCTCTGGATAGATAGAACTCCTTGTCTGTTTGGCCTTCCTTCTGAGGCAGAAACATTGGTACAAGGTAAGGACATTGTCTATGAAAGTAAGCTTCTAATAATTTGCCAAATTCAGGGAATTGGGACCACAGAGCTACAGTTACTGATGCTAGTGGGAATGCAGATTCTGGGTTACTCGATACAAGAAGATCTCCTTGTCTTACTATCTTCTTGGCTAGCAATGCAGTACAATATGCTAAGCCCTGTGGATGTTGTGTAGCAGCTACATAAATATCCAGCACTTGGACTCTTTCTCCTCTGAGTAACTTACACAATTTGTCAAACTTGTCTCTTATATGTGCTCCACTTAGAGAGGATAGAGCATTTACAGGAGTATTTACAGCTTTCTGACAATCAAATCTAAATTTTTTCAAATTAACATTTTCTAGCAATTCCTTGTACTGAGCTTCATAGCTTTCTAGAAACTGTTGAAGTTGTTGATAGTAAGAATAATTTTTTGCAGAATAAAATAGTGGGCCCACTATTTGCTGTGATAACTTTTGTTTTTGTTTAGCTAATTCAGCATCTTTAGCTTCCTGGGCTGCATTTTCTTCCATCTCTTTCCTTCTAGCTGCTTCTTCTTCTTCCTTCTTCTTTAAATTTTCTCTCTGTTGAATTTCATTTAGTTCATCAACTATTTTCTTTCTAATATTTTCTATATTTAAGTACAGTAATTCAGCTTGTTTTACATCATTATCTGAAACAGAGCCTGTTTTGCACAAATCCATGATTCTATTAATGCTGTTGATTACAGCATTGATTGATGTTATATATTTTTCGCATACAGTCTGTGCATGTTCTTCTATCTGCAGGAGTGTGGTGATTTCATTATAGCAGATGCAAATTTTTGTTTGACTGTCTGTGATGGATGCAAATCGAGCTGTTGCTCTGTTTTGCTCTTCTAATATTCTATTCATGTTCTCAATGGTCTGTTGGTTAATCATTTGACTCTTCTGTTGATCTAGTCGGGCCTTTTCCAGTACTGACTCATTGTCATTCTCCTGTAGCTCTTTTAACATCTGAAGCTTCCTAGCTCTCAGTTCAAGGGCTCGGCGCTCGCACTCTTCGCTCTGTTTCATCCAATACTTCCTCATGCTTTCAGCTCTATTTGATATCATCTTTTCAACTAGATTGTTGAACAATTCCTCAGAGCTTTCCTGTAGTTTTGTCTCGTATTCTTTTATAATCATCGACTGTCGAAGGTCATCTCGAATTTTGTCTTCTAACAGGTTTTCTTCATTTTTGTTTTCTTTGTCGTTATTATTACGTGGATCATCAATGAAAGTTTCTTTTTTTACTGGGCTGTTAGGCCCGATGGTGACTTCTTTAACGTAAGGACTAATTTCAGCGGCCTTAGTAAGCGCTGAAATACGCAACCTCTCGAAATCTGCAAGTGCATCGCTGATGCTCACATTGCCTTTTCTGCTACTGCTCTTTATATCACTTACATCGCTGAGATCAGAAAAATAGAAGGAGTCGTTCATTTTTTGGAGTAGTACTATACCGCGTTTTAGAGTTATTTTTCACTTTACGTCATTAACAGATACAATTAATGTGCGTCCAAAGAAAAAATATGGTTGTTATAAATGAAATACCACTCGATTCAAATAAAAGCACACAAGATCATAAACGTTACCGCCGATAGATCATTTTATGACTTAAGTCAATTCAATTTTTGTAGGTTTTGGAAAGATGAGGACAGGACAACATTTGTGTTGAAAAGTTGAAAATGAAAATTGAAGTGACAGATAAATAAGGGTAATTATAAACGACCGATCATGCGGCACATTTTTTGCAGTTATCGTCAGACAGAAGTGAAAAATACAAAATTTATACCACACCAATATAGAACACAAAATTTGAGACTCGTATTTTCGTTCCAAAATGGTAAAAGTTCAAATAATGAATACTTCAATTCAAATGAGATGTATGATATTCGCTGTTTGAAAACATCTGTGCGAGCATGTTGGCCATCATGTAGCCATTATATTATATAGGTATATAATGTTGCCAGACCATAAAAAAGAAATTGGCGCGAATTTCGGTATGACAGATAAACAGCTGTCGTGAAGTGTCGTCTTTCATATGAAAATGAGCTGGCTGCCGAAAAATTGTTAAATTTATCGAAAATGGTTCTTCAAAATACTGGAAAATATAGAGCAGATAGAGAAGATTCTAACAAGAAAGATGCAGGTCCATCCTCGGGTCCCAGGTCTGTGAAATTCTCGATCACACATGCAACTATCTGCAAACTAATTTGAAGTACTTTCGTTGTTATTTCAAAGCGTAAATAATTGTTATTTTGTGTGATCTAGGGAGGAATCTTCGGAGTCTCGTATTCGTGTGGCTTTGGAGAACGATAGAATCGATTTTAAGTATGGATTCGATAGAGTACGGGACGCAAAAGAGAGGACAGGTTACCTGATCAACATGCACACGGTAATCCAAGAAAACTTTCCTCTAAGAAATATATACGAGCTTTTTAGTTTAAAATCCAAGTAGCTTTGTTCTTAAGCAAACTGCTTTATATACACGTTGATTGGGCATTAACGATCTTACTTAAAAAAAGGATTAATCATCAACTTAAGTACAAAACTAACTTCTTTCGTGTTGGTACCATAGGTCTCCTATTGATAGTCTCACTAAGTTCCTTTCTTCATAGTAAGGCTATATTGAAGGCAATGCAGTGTGACTGCTGTTATTTTCTTTCTTTATTAACTGAAAATTAACTCAAATTGTTCAAAGCCTTTTTTGGGTGTGATTGTAGAAGCAGTTATTCTTATGTGCTTTTGAATATAATCAAATAATTGTCCATAAGTGATAGAAAAATGAGTTTTGACATTACAGGCAGAAATTTTAGATGAAGATAAGCGCTTAGTAGCTGCAATGGACTACTACTTCATAGAAATGGATGGTACACGGTTTAAAGTGTCATTATCCTTTCAACCATACTTTCTCATTCTGGCTAGAAAGGAGTGTGAGCAAGAGGTCATACAGTACTTGTCTAAGAAGTTTGCTGGTACTCTGCATAAAATTGATATAATTGAGAAAGAAGATTTGGATTTGGTTGGTATTATTTTGTTTGAATTGCGTGTTCTAGCATAAAAGGTTCTTAAGATACGATAAAAAATTCTTTTTTACACATATTGTTATTATATATTAATCAATTTATGTACTAAGTTGGTATTGATGTTCAGGACTAGTGTAAACCAGCAGATGGGAAGGCATATTAATTATTAGACATTAAATTTATCAATGTATATTCTATGCAATTTCATTTGCAATAAGATATAAATTTCAATGCTCTGGAAGTGACTTTGGAGTATCGCAGCGCATTTTTCTCTGCGGCATTGAAGAGCACGTTGGATACCACAGTGGGCGATGCCGATGCGCATGCGATGTAATACATAGATGGTGCGGCCGAATCTACCTGAATTGAATCTACGCTGGCAGCATTAGGCTAATCGACACATGCATTAACATAAGGGATGTACTCATCAATGTGGTCTCTAGATCCTCTTCGACGCTCTCCCCGCCTTTTGCCGTCTGCGCTAGATCTTGAGTTTTTGTGCCTGTATGTTTGTGTATAGACGACAATGATAACATTAATGTATTTTATAGGTCAATAATATAAATATTGTTAAAATGCCTTTATTTCATAGGTAAGCAAATTACTCTTCAAACACTACTACTCATTAGTAAGGCAGATTTCTCTGTGAAAATTAATAAGAAATTCTAGGGGTTGCTCTTATGTAAATAAACTTTGTTCATCATGTTTATGATTCACAATATTAAATTCAAATATCACTGAAAAAGACAATTTGAAAGTGCTAAATGGGTCACTACCATGGATTTTTGTCATCCAAGTATGCTGCATTAACTATTAGTATAAATAACTTTTAGTATAAAGTTTTTGTTTCATTAGCATTAAAACTAGGTAAAGAAATAGATGCCTATTATCACTATGGATGATGGAAAATGGAATCCAGACAATTCACGTACATTTTTAGTGCTTTTTGTTAATTAAAAACAGATTAAAATGATTTTTAATTATCCTTCTATTGTATCGATGGCATACACTATAATGCTTCCCATCATGGTGAAAGGATTTGCCCAATCGGCGTAGGGTACACGGCGATTGTAGCCCAAGTTGCGCCAGACTTACAGGAAAGGAATAGTACTTCGTGCGGGGAGGTTCTTTTCGTGCACCGCAATTGAAATGATAATAACAATATAATTATTAATTACAGAAGTAAAAGCTACTTTAGGATTATGGTTGTAACTGTTAAACAATAAATAAGTCATTATAGATGTATCATCATCAACCCATTTATATGTCCCACTGCTGGGCACGGGTCTCCTCTTAGGCGAGGGTTTAGGCCATAGTCCGCCATGCTGGCCCAATGCGGTTTGGGGACTTCACACGTTTCCCGAGGTTTGTGAACCTTCTTCGACTTGCCGGTTTCATCACGATGTTTTGAACTCACAGCCTCTACTTGAAAGGCAGCAGATCAAACCATAAAGCTACCACGACTTATAGATGTATCAAATGAAAGATTTTAGTATTCAATATCTAAACTGTTAAACATTGCAGCTGAATCATCTCTCCGGCTTAAAACAGCGGTACATAAAACTCTCATTCATGTCGCAAAACGAAATGATGAAAGTCCGTAGAGAGATTCTTACAGCTGTTAACAAGAACAAGGAGAGGGAGAAGAAAGACGCAATTTATGCTGAAATGTTAACCAACGCTTTGACCAGTGCAGCCGCTATAGAGCATGCTAAGAAAACCACTGATCATATGGAGAATATTTTAGATATAAGGTATACTTATAATTTTTTGTATTTCTTTTTTCAGTTATTTACCAAAACTTAAAATTATAGAGTACTTAAATCTAACCATGTGTGTGTGTGTGTGCACTGACTGGCCACATGACGAATTTGCAAATGCAGTGCTCCAAGTTGTAGCAGTAGTTGTAAAACAATTGTAGAAAGCATCCTGTTTTGGTAATTAATATAGTTTATATTCCGAAAATTTTTCCTCAAAAAATTCTTGCGGCCTATAACATTTTTTTTATCAAATGTGTTTTAAGATGTAAATATACCGCATTAGGGATGAAATGAGATCCTTTTAGTGGGTATATACGTAGACGGCATCAGTCCTTTTTTTTTTTTTTTGATGGGGGAAGTCTTTATGGGATACCCGTGAGCCCAGGGAGACTCCGGGGTTATGTGGGGACTCTCCCTCCAGACTGGAGGGCCTACCCCACTAAAACCCCCCTGGGTTTCCCTCTCGCCGGTTGAGTCGGCGCCGTGGGATCGGTGAACATTCACCACGACGCCGCCCGGCCGCCCTAGCTTGCGCCAGGGCTCCCGCGCCAACGGAGGGGCGAGTCGGTTGTCCTCCGACCCGCTCCCCAGACGAGTGAGGCCGTGCAATGCAGGCTCCGGAGTCCCTTTCCAGAGCCCGCTGGCCTCACTAGGGGATCAGGCGTGCAGCGAACTGCCTTCGCCTTCTCCCCGTACGATGCTAGCTAACCTAACTTAGCTATCTTAACTCACGTAGTTGCATACAAAGCTAAGCCAAAAAAAATACGTAATAAATAGTGACTATGGATATGTACGGGGGTGAAGGGCGGCAGAAAGGCGGCGGAAGAAATGAACTTAGCTTCATTCACAAAAAAAAACAAACTTTAGGTGCCATCTCAAAAGTTGCAAAAATGCAAATGCATTGCTTTTGTTTATGATAAGGATGGCAGTATTGCTTAGCCCAGGTTCTTCATTCAGCATTAGATTTTTCTTCTTATTGTAGAGCTAGGCTCTTATCGGTGAAGTACGACGACTCGAGTTGACGACTTCGGTGGCTTAACGGTTTACACTGTGGGCGCTAGATGTGGAGGTTCCGGGTTCGATTCCCAGTAAGACCAATTTGGGAAATGAATTCTTCAAAATTAATTCGGGTCTGCGTGTTCTGGAAAGTGCCGCACAGTGAATTACGTTGTTCTGGTACTCATAGTACAGGGAATTCCCTAGTTTGAGACCAGACAATTGTTGTGGTTGTCTGGCACATTAAACCGTCTCTGTTTAGCGCCCTAACTTTGATTTCCTGGTACGACATCATATTAACTTTTTCCCTTGTCTGATCTAAATTATTTGGTCTCGGTTGCCCTCTGCCTCTTTCTCCTTCTATGATGGTTCTAAGAAAACTGTCGTGATGTATCAGATGCCCAAACATGTTTCCCCTTTGGTCTCCATCCTCTTTAATAAGCTTCTATTTTCTTGCACTATTCTTAACATCTCATTGGTTTTTCTTTCCGACCAGCTAATTCCCTGCATTCTTCTCCAGCACCACATCACAATTGCTTCCAATCGCTCTCTGTCTCTCCGTGTATCCATGTCTCACTACCATACAATACAATAGTTTCAGAAAAACAAATTACGATAATTAGAAAGAGTACATTCCTACTGTGAAAATTGTTCGATATGTCTTTACGTATAACAAAGTACTTGCTATTGTTTTTTAGAAGACGAGTAGAACATCTATAAGAGTAGAACAAATTATACCTAAGCTCTAAATTTATTTCCAATAACGAATTTTGGTATCAACCTTACTTTTTAAGCAATTACTTTTTAGTCAAAACCCGTTGTGGCCTTTGATAGGCATTTTGGTAATCGTTTTCCCACAATGTCCACAGTGAACAGTGTAGCTGTCCCTACACTAATGATGTCATCAGTCCACTTCTTTATTGGCTCTACGCTTTCCATTTGGATACCTTCATGCTGTTATCGGAAGTTCAATTATGTATTTCCTTTTCTTTCAGGGAACATGATGTACCCTACCATGTAAGAGTGTCAATAGATGTGAAAATATTTTGCGGTACATGGTACACAGTCAAGAGTAGAGGTACTGACCCACCTATATTCACAAAACGAGATGATATCCTTGAAAGACCAGATCCAATTGTACTGGCATTTGATATAGAAACCACTAAATTGCCATTGAAGTTTCCTGATTCACAGACGGATCAGATTATGATGATTTCATATATGATTGATGGACAGGGCTTCTTGATTACTAATAGAGAGATCATTTCTACTGATGTTGAGGACTTTGAGTACACTCCGAAGCCTGAATTTGAAGGGTAAAGCGACAGTTCCTTGAGCTTGTTATTCACACGGCTATTTGTATTTGCGTATTTGACATATTTGGCAAACTGTCATCTTGTGTAGTTAACATGTGTGATAATTTATTTGCCTTGTTTGCCCATTCGAAAAATATAGCAAACACCAAACTCGCGATACCGCTCGATGTTCATTTTCTCGACGCACATCAAAGGAGCCAAAAAGGCAAATACGCAAGTAAACCATCCACACCATTGTCATATTCATTATTTTAACTCCTAAAGGTCTATCCACACATATCCGGGCCTTGCTCCGTCAAGGGCTCAAAAAATATCGTTGTGTATATTTTGTATGAACTCGTTCACACATGTCCGTGTCCGGGCCGACGCCGGCACGGGCCCGCAGTACATACAAACTAGCACGCCCCGTCCACGTCCCGGGCACGGTCCGGATATTTGTGGATAGTCCTTTAATTGGCTCCATGGGTGTAGACGGTCATATTTGTCAGTGTCTACATGTTTGTCTGTACGTCAAATATTTTTCCAAGTACATCATACACCCAATGGCGAAAACAAGTAGCTATGTGAAGTGCCACCATAAGACTGATAAGTTTGTGATTGTTATTTGTATTGTTTGTATGTTACAGGCAATTCATTGTTTTTAATGAGGCTAATGAATTGTCATTGATACAGAAGTTTTTTGATCACATAATGGACGTTAAGCCACACATTTTTGTCACTTACAACGGTGAGTACAAAACAGTTATAATATTATTATTATTAACAAAAATTCGATTGCTTTTATTTTTTGAGAGATTTTTTTGTAGGATTGTAATTTTTCTTAGCATTACGAGTGCACAATACCTACTACGGTCAAATTGGGTAACTTTGAACACTTCCTCAGGTTTTTTACAGATATTAAATTAAAACATTTATTGGTCGAATTAGGTTTTATCGATTAAAAGTGTCATCGCTCCAACGATACAATCAATGATACCGCCAACGTCAATTTAATTAAATACGCTTGCCATAGCGACCAATTTACCATTAATTTGAGGATACCATTTACCAATCAACGTGTACAAACATAATCTGTAGCCCACACACTTTCACTCGTTGAACACCGCGAACGGAAAATGGCCCTAAACTTTCAGAATTTCTAACGAACTTCTAACTGTCAATGTTAAATTTGTAATCGAGAATTTGTCTTTCCGTTTCATGCAGCCGTCAATGTATTCCACAAGTGTTTTCAGAAAAAAAAAGAATCTTCAAACCAGTTTTATTCAAAGTTACACAACTTGCTGGTCCTCCAATCAGATCTATCTATCAAGAACCAGAACTACATTGTGTGTACTTATATTATTTATTCTTGAATACGTTATACTTACGTACGTACGAATACGATGTTTTTACCACCATGACATTCATATATTTTTTTGTGAAAATAGTGTTTAAGATCGAATAACACAAGGAAAAATTCCTACGATCTGCTTGGACTCGAACCAGCGTCTTTTTTTTGAGCTACAGACCAAATCAGCAGATCTTACGATTTTCTCTGTATGCTTGTTGCAGACGTTTTTGAAAAGCAGAAATATTACTCTTTTCTAGGTGACTTCTTCGACTGGCCGTTCGTGGAAGCGCGTGCCGCCGCACACGGGCTCGATATGAAACAGGAGATCGGCTTCAGCAAGGTTACGGCCAGAGACGGCACCTATGCCTGCCGCCCCGCCATGCATATGGATTGCTTATGGTAAATAAGACCACAGTGGCTCAATTCAACACGAGAGATCTCGATTCCCGATTAATTAATAATAATAACGCACTTACTCAACATAGCCCCGCACTAGGGAAACTGTGATTCGTGGGTGCCATGAACATACATAGACAACCACAAATTACACCCAAATTCGCGAGAGAAATAAATGTAGGCCATACAAATATTTCTCCCGGCCAGGGAAACGAACCAGGGACCTCTACGTGGCAGTCCGGCATGGTAACAGTTCGGCCACAGAGGCAGTTAAATCATTCAATTTAAAGGCAATCAATTCATTTCAAGTATGTTAGTTTTTCTGTTGTGACTGTCCTGAGTTTTGGTGATGGTCTATGAAAGTATTTCGTCACCCAGTTAGGTAACTTTACAGCTACCAGCCCTAGCAAGATATGTCGCTATTAACTTTAATTAAATTTGTATTGAATTGATATTTAATTATTTCATAGATTTCATCATAGATGGCGCTACGGCTAAAAAGGCGGTGAAAACCAAATACAAAAATCCGCATGGAAACAAGCACTTGGAAAAATTCGTGAGATCCGTTGGCTCGTTCCGTAGTTTGGTTGGCATAGCGTCTGCCACGGTTTGTTAGAAAACGTCGGTTCGAATCCGGCCGGATCGAAGGAATTTTTTCTAAGTGTCCGATCTTTGTATTAATAATTATAAGAAACTAGTGGAGTAATTTCGCAAAAAATATTCTAATAAAATTGTCCTAACATGTCAAATATTACTTTTGATATTAATATATATTTTTTAACTTTATCTATTTTACATCTTCCTCTCTTTAGTGTTTTGTTATTTCCTCACATTGTGAGAGAAAAGCACTATATAGGCCTCGGCGGGTACGAGGATTGCTTGACTCGTATGAAGTCGTATGGCATTCGGCCTTGTGACTCATACCTTATTTCGCGGCCTCTGCAATAATGTACTATATTTTTCTAATTGAAAACATATTTGTAAATGTATTGACAGCACTGCTAAAAGTAACTGAATTTATATTTTTTTAATTTACCTGGAAACGTTATTTATTACTATTTACAGTTGGGTAAAAAGAGACTCTTACTTGCCGGTTGGATCTCAGGGCTTGAAGGCTGTCGCCAAAGCCAAGTTACGATATGATCCAGTGGAGCTGGATCCTGAAGACATGTGCACAATGGCGGCTGAACAACCACAGGTAAAATTTTGGCTTCAATTTTGCTTAAACTGACACTGAATTATCGAAAGCCCGTATTAGTAAAATACGGTTCTAAATCCGGTTGCAGTTTTTAAGGGAAGGGTGCTAGTGAAAATACAGACACACAATTTACGTCTCAGGGTGACGGGTGTAGTGACAGTACCCCTAAGATTTTTGTAATTTCAAGTTCTGAGTGGCACTGCAACTGTTATGGACAGGCGTGTCGCTTACCACCAGGCGCACGATTTGTTTGTGCCGTCGCTTGGTATTATATAAATAAAATAAAAGCTTCATTTTACACAATTTACACATCTCTATAAAATATTGCAGTTTCGTTGGTAATTGAGGGTCGTCGATGCTATTTCCATTGCTATTTTTTTGTGGAAAAAAAATTAACTTTGTTTTTTTGGTGGCAAATATTTTATAATTAACATATTAGAACTTGAGATTGTAAGAACATAGTTAATCGATTGCTGAAAAAAATGGATCATAAGGTGGGAAATAATTCACCTTTATTTGATTCAGGGTTATGACGTGTCTAAGTAAATCCTGACTTCGAAATCTTCTTATCGTGTCGTTGGCATACACTATAATGCTTGCCATTTACCAGGATTTGCCAATCGGCATAAGATATTCGCCGATTGTTGCCCAGGATGTGCCAAACGTACGGGAAAGGAATGAGATGTCGTGGTGGGGAGACACCTCTCGTGCACTCCACCACTTCGAAATGATTTTCAAAGATTCGACAGAAAATATATGCGTATTATTGATTGCTTATTTACTGCCTCTGTGGCCGAACTGTTACCATGCCGGACTGCCACGCAGAGGTCCCAGGTTCGATTCCCGGGCCGGGAGAAATTCTGTCATGAGTTTGGATGCATTGGGTAGTTTTAAGAACTCTGTGTCATATTTACTGCCTCTGTGGCCGAACAGTTGCCATGTAAGTTAAAAAAATGTTTTTTGCAGGTGCTATCTAACTACTCGGTGTCGGACGCAGTGGCCACGTACTATTTGTACATGAAATACGTGCATCCTTTCATATTCGCTCTCTGCACTATAATTCCTTTGGAGCCAGATGAGGTGAGTGTCAACACCAGCAAACCACCATAGTCTCCTGGTAGATGTTATTATTATTATTTCCTTAATGGCGGCCACTAGGCTTGGGCCAGTGTCAGTTTCGAATAATGCAGTCACTTAATGTTGTTGTTGTTGTTCCATCCTCTAAGGCTAATGTCGATCAACAGTGATATCTCTAAAGTACGAGCATGTCATAATTGACAATAGCAACATTTTTCATAATATTTATTATGAGTGAATCTACATACATCTACATACAAACATATATATTCATCTATTATTAAATTTCTTTATATACACATACGAGTATAATGTTGTTTTCCTATTTAAACTTCAACATCTGAACCAGTTCATTTCGAAAAAGCTTAAGAGTAGTCGTCGGTCTGACGTCACGAGTAGTGATGAGAAAATCGATACTAATCTATGTGAATTTGTATGTTTTCAGCTATTATTTGTTATGTACAATATATAATTTAATTATCTAATAAATTATAAATTATATTAGGACATACTGTTTGTGGAAACTTTTCCACGATTTGGATACGAGAGATATATTTAACAATAACTTGGAATAATGAGTAAAAATACTCTAAAAAGCATTCACCCAAGGCCGTTGAACAAAAAACTTAACACTATTCAAAAACTTGTAATGTCGGTTTTTATTCAGGAATTACGTCATACAGATGGGCGGGTCGTTCAAAACTTCAAAACTCAATTTTACTCTTTTTTTTTTTCAACAACGGCTAGTTAAAAAAAATATGAATATGATACTATTATTCCGGATTTAAATCGCGTATATCTGTTTTTTCAAACAAACCGACGTTTCGGGCCCTTTACAGGTCCCATGGTCACGGTTGACTATGAATATGATGACAAAATATGCGTATACAAAGTGAAATTTTATAAAAGCCTGTTGGAAAAATGTGCTACTGTTAATTGCCACCTTTGGTACCTTTTTTTACCTATTATTTGCTAGCATAGAGAGAATCTACATTTTTGTTCAGTCCGTTTAGTAGTCATCATCATCAACCGTAGTCTACACTAACACTAATCCAAGTGCTTATCGGAGTCGTCCCATGTTATCCTAAGGTTATGAACGTTTCCAACATCAACACACCTTGTCTTTTCCTACAGGTACTCCGCAAGGGTTCCGGTACACTTTGTGAATCCCTACTAATGGTGCAAGCGTTCCACGCCAATATCGTGTTCCCAAACAAACAAGTGGAGGAGTTAAACAAACTGACCACCGACGGGCACGTACTCGAGACCGAGACTTACGTAGGTGGACACGTTGAAGCGCTCGAGTCCGGTATGTAACGCTAATATCAATCTAGCACATAGGTTCAAAAACTTGTTGGCTCACCGCCCACTTCGGCAAGATAAAAAAATTTCAACGCACAACACCACAAAAAATAATTGAAAACACGTATTTTTTTATATTAAGTTAACACAAAAAAAACACAAGAAAATTTATTATATATTATATAATGTATATTACAGAGCTATTTTTAAAATACTAACACCGAAAAAGTGTCAAATAGTACAACAAAAACTTAAAAATATTTTTTGGTAAATTTATTGTTTTGTAAAAAGTTATGGAACAAAAGTTGTTGTTTATGATGTTAGTAATATAGTCCTGCGAGGTTGTTAATATATTAAAAATAACCCTGTATATGTAGGTAGTGTAGTTTATATAGATAATTCAGGTTTTTTTTTTAAATGCGGTAGCACCCTCTGGTCAGCATCAAAGCCCCCCAATTGTTTCAGAGGCCCCTACAACCCCCCTAAGACTCTTTAGCGCCTACTGTAGGGACCATTTTGGGAATCTATGATCTAGCAGGATAGTTCATAAGGTATTTCCCCAATATTAAAACCTAGACGATCTTGGTGACTTAACGGTTTGCCCTGTTGGCGTGGGATGAGGACGTCTTCGTTTTGAGTTTTGGTAGGACCAATTTCGGAAATTAATTTTTCAGGTTCTGGTTTGGGTGTTTAAGGTCCCGGAGTGAATTCCGTTGCTCTAATATTATACATGGAATACGTAGTACATGGAATTTCCTAGTTTGAGACCAAGTAATCGATGTGGTTATCTGGTACATTATTATTATTTTTATTATTTGACATTTAGACTTTTTTAAATAAATTTTCACCCATTTATTTGGGTAGGCAATGGTTCCACCATACAGCTTCTTCATATATTTAATATCTTTCCTTGTTTTGTTGGAAAACGCGGTTTTTGACATGTAGGTTTTCTCACTTTTCACTATAAGCTGTTAAGGTTCGTACAATCACCAAAAGGGATGAGTTCATTTAAATGTATAACAAACATTTTATTTTATATCCAAACCCAGAGATTACATTTCAGTAATATGTTTCCTTAATCATGTATTTTGTTAGGAAATGAATCTATTTTTTTGTTTGAAAAAACAAATATACGTGATTTAAATTAGGAAAAATAGTTTCATTTCCTATGTGTAACAATCGCGAAAACCTAAGAACTCGACATGTATTTTGTTATTAGGAGTATTCCGAGCGGATATCAAATGTAAGTTCCGCATAGTACCATCCGCAATAGACAAGCTAATAGAATCCATAGAGAAGACAATGAAACATGCTATAGAGGTCGAAGAAGGTATACCATTAGAGCTAGTGACGAATTTCGATGACGTATGTGCGGAGATACGCGGAAAGTTGCAGCACATGAAAGATCATCCACGAAGAGATGAAAATCCATTGATATACCATTTGGATGTGGGTGCCATGTACCCTAATATTATTTTAACTAACAGGTATGTACAAATTAGTTTCGAGTGTTTTTGGGGCAGGCATGTTCGCGGAAGTTCACACGGATGGCTTCCACGCCAAATTATATTTAAATATATTGACTGTGATGATAAAAAATAGTTTGCGTCATTTATATAGCATCTGGTTTATTAAATAAAAATACGTAGTTTTTAAATATTTTTATTACACACGTTTGTACGTACACTACGTATTTTTATTTAAGAAACCAGATGCTATATAAGTGATTTTCTCTTCGTCCTGTAAAGTTGTCAAAATTGGATAGTACCGGTTGCCAGTTCACAGTCGATATAATAATATTAATACATTGCGCCATCGACTCGCCATTGAAGAGCAGAATACCAAAATATTTCAATGGCAGTTGAATAGTATCTCGATGGCTAGACATTGACAAGCCACTAATCTTAACTTCTAGCAGAATACCAAACGTACAAAGTCCTGCCATTGACACTTTATTCACACATAACTGAGATGATTTAAAATTAGTGATCATTTAGTGAATTAGTATGAAACTGATTTTTAGGTGGATAAACGTGATCGATGAATGAGTGAAGTTTAATCAATCGTATTTTAGGCCCTCACTATATATCGGTATCTCCCGTTTTCATTATGAATAAAAAAAATATCTCAGCACAGAGTACTAAAAAACCGACATCAAAAGTGCGTGGAATTACATCTATTTGCCAAGTTTTATTCAAATCGGTTACCGGAAAGTGCGTGAAACCGGGTTCATCCCCTAGTTTCTCACACTTGGAGGTGGATAATTTTTGTTCAAATTTATACGGGGTTACTACTGAGGTACCCTCTTAGTAACAAAAAAAGAATCATTAAAATCCGTTGACAAATACAAAATACAAAAAAGTACAATCGAATTGAGAACCTCCTCCTTTTTTGAAATCGGTTAAAAAGAAGTTGATTTCGTATTTTTTAACGTCTGACAACATTTTTCTTATGGTCAATATTTTTCTTTTTTACCTGTTTAATATGTAAATAAAGTATGGAAATATGTGTGTGTAATAATAGTAGTAGACTTGTGAAAGGGTTCCTCTAGGGAAGTAATGGCACCTTACCTTTTTCTGCCGCCAAGCGGTAATGAGCATTACTGCGTTCCGGTTTTAAAGAGTAATGGTGCAGGTGAAATTACAGGTACATGGGACTGTCAACTTGTGTCTTCTGGTGACGGGTGCAGTGGCAATGCCTTTTAGATCTTTGCGATTTAAAGCTCTGATGTCCACTTGCCCTAAACTTAAGGACGTCGTAAACCAATGCTTGAAATGCAAAAGACGCATTATAATCAATTTACGCATTGGTTTAAGACAACATTAAGTTTAGTGCAAGTGGACATGAATGGCACTACAACTGTTATGGACAGACGTGTCGCTTCCCGTTACTAGATATCATAAAAAAGTCAAAATATCTTATTTTGGGTTTCACTTCGTCTTAATCATTTTCGAGTTGTGTGTATTGTGTTAGATTGCAGCCATCAGCGATGGTGAACCCAAGCATCTGCGCGGTGTGCGACTTCAATCGACCCGGTGCCACCTGCCAGCGCAGCATGGAATGGATGTGGCGAGGAGAGTACTGTAAGAATTATTTTCGAAACTACTTTTTTAGCGAAAAGTTAGAAAAAAAAGTAGAAACAATTTTGGTGCCCTTGTTTCAATTTCTCAGTGATGTTGCATTGAGATTATACAAATTTATTTGGCGTGTCTAAATCTGAATCATATTCACACAGTTTTTAAATAACTCTTAGGTGATGTACACGGGGTGTGGGTTTAAGTGTGGCTTCAATTCAACGTTAATGTTAAGAGCATATTCGACGGTTGAAATTTCAAATGTTCTAAGGAACATCTGGTAAAAGGAAAATGTCCCTTACTACAAAATATACGACTTTTGAAAATTCCAGACATCGACAAAATTATTTCACTTACATAGAAATTAGAAATGTCATTAAAGACGTTAAGGTCATTTTCATTTTTTTTTTTCATTTCATGTCGAAGTGTTCTTTGTAAATCTGTCATCTCATAAAACCATAAGTAGGTACTTTGTATTACGTTCAGTGTTTGTAATGCAATGTGAATACCAATTCCAGTTAACAAAGATTATTCTGTCCAAAGCATAAGCCTTCCATGATATCGGTGTAAACCTACAGTTTTTAATTAATGCTTGCAGTGCCTGCAACAAGAAGCGAGTACCAGCGCATCCAACAACAATTGGAGACGGAGAAATTCCCCCCTCTCCACCCTGGAGGACCCCCGCGGGCCTTTCACGCTTTACCAAAAGAGGATCAGGTAATGAAAAACTAATTTTGTTTTCAGTATGGATTTTTTCTGTGTTGCGTAGACAAGGAAGACTTCCTTTCGATTATTGATTTTTTTTTCAATAAATTCATCAACTTCAAATGCACACGGCGCTAGTGAGAAACTTTATGAAAAAAATTGATATAAATTTTTGTACATTTTACCGGAATGAAAATGCGTTAGTTATGACAAGGAGAGCAGATTTGATCTCCATCTCATCTGATGATATTTTGTATCGATTTATTTCAATGCGATTTTCAAGCGAATCAATCCAATAGAAAGGCAATTCGAATCGTATATATCAGAAAGCAATAAATATTTTGTAATAATATCATAAAATTTGAACAAACCTCGATTTACAACAAATATTTTGTTATAATTATTAATACAAAGATCGAACACTTAGAAAAAATTCCTTCGATCCGGTCGGATTCGAACCGACGTTTTCTAGCAAACCGTGCCAGACGCTATGCCAACTAAGACACGGAACGAACCACCGGACCTCACGAATTTTTCCATGTGCATGTTTTGGATCTTTGTATTTGGTTTTCAACGACTTTTTAGCCGTAGCGCCGCCATCTATGAGAAATCTATGAAAGTAGTTCGTTACCCAGTTAGGTAACTTTACAGCTACCAGCCCTTTTAATATTTTGTGTAAATAGTTTTGTATAATGGATTTTAACGCGATTTAAACCCGGCTTTAACATACTTACCTCTGTGCACATCTGAATAATACCTTTCACTCTCGCCTTGAAAAGGTCCTAATTATAACGTTCAGGGGAAAAGTCTGCATATAAATGTGGAAACATAACACTTCGTGCGAATTCTTGGAAGTATTGATTAAATTATACTGCTACAATAATTGTAATAAACATTTTGTAGGCGGCGTACGAAAAGAAACGTTTAGCCGACTACTGTAGAGTGGCGTACAAGAAAACGAAGTTGACCAGAACCGAAGTGAGGACCACTACTATATGTCAGAAGGAGAATTCTTTCTACGTCGACACTGTGCGTGCATTCCGGTAAGAATTCTCTTCACGCAGGAAACCCGCGCATTAAGACTTTTGATTGTGCTAGAATCATCAGAATGATTGATCATTGTTTATTAATTATAACTCGTTACATTTTATATAACAAATATTTATTTGACCATTTCGGTTTGCACTGTAAGCGATGGATGAGGAGGTCTTGGTTTCCAAAAATTATGTTTAATGAATTTGTAAGTAATAAATAAATTAAAAAATATATAATTTGTCTTCATAGACTTTTAAACTTTAGCGTTGTGTCATTGCATTTGCACACGGGAATAAATTTTATAGTTGTTTGCACACATACTTGTTATCCCGAAGTTTCAGTCAGGTTGCACAGGCTGACTGGAGATCCTATGTTACGTCTCCGTCTCGGCGGTAAACTATATTACATAGAATAATAGGTAGGTGTGCAAATACCTTATAATTTTTTTAAATCGCGTTTATTCCTTGTTAGATGTTGATGAAATGTTAGATTTTGTGTTTGTTTTAATTCATGAGTGTGTTTATTTTATCCTTCCGCTTCAGCCAATGACTTAATAATATATTTCCATACAGAGATCGCCGTTACGAGTACAAAGCGCTAAACAAGCAGGCCAAGGCGAAAGTCGCGGAAGCAGTAGCAAGTGGCGACGCCACAGAGATCAAAATCGCGAAAAGCCGAGAAGTGCTGTTCGATTCGCTGCAACTTGCACACAAATGTATCCTTAATTCGTTTTATGGATACGTTATGAGGAGAGGGTAAGTTGCGATTACATTTATTACAATAAGTACAGTTTTTTTATGATTATCAAGTAATGGGTCGACCTAATCATGCACTCTGGTTATAAGCACCGCCTGAATTAAAAATTAAAGTGGGTCACAACACTTTTGCGCTGATAGCGTCAATTGTTTTAATATGAGCATTGCTGAGTTCCGATTTTCAAGGGTAAGCCTTGGTTCACACGGCATTGTCTTGCACGTTTTTTAACTTAGTCGATTATAAACGGATAGACAGCGGGGTGTTCACACGATATGTTTTCAAGCGTTTAGAAGACGGATTGCCGCAGTATTCACACAGCAATGGACCTGAGAACACGTCTGTGCGCGTTTTTTTACAGGACAAACACCGTGTGAATGGTTCTATACCTAATGTGTGCGCCATTGTTTATTCGGTAAGATTTATACTGCAAAACATCCTGCAGTACAATACCGTGTGAACGCGGGGTAAGGGTACTGGTGAAATTACATGCACATGGGACTTGTTATGTCTCAAGGTGACGGGCGCAGTGGCAGTGCCCCTCAAATCTTTGCGATTTAAAACTCTGAGTAGAATTGCATCTGTTATGGACGTACTTACCACCAGGCGTACGACTTGTTTGTCACATCACTTAATAGGTTACTTATTAAGTCCGAAATGACATTTTCCAGAAATAACGTTTGGTCGAAATTTCATAACCTCGAAAGTAATTTTGAGAGGAAAATGTTTTTTCTTTTAAACCTAACGTAACCTAACCTAACCGAACCTAATCGTGTCTTTGCGATAAACATTCAACATATCCTGAAAGAACGACTGTTTCGTTATAATGCGGTTATCGGTGTAATGAAAATTCGAACAAACAAATATATAATATATTTCGGAAAAACAATTTTCGACTTTGTGATACGTTACCCACTTAATACCATAAAAAAGCCTCCACTAGTCTCTATTCGCTGATCGTTCCAGAGCCCGATGGCACAGTATGGAGATGGCCGGAATTGTGTGCTACACTGGAGCCAATATCATCATGCGAGCTAGGGAGATCATAGAGCAAGTCGGAAGACCGCTCGAGTTGGATACTGATGGTAAACATGTCTTTACATTCTTTTTAAAGTAAATAGACATATGTATATGTGTAATGTTTAAACAGGTCTGAAACCGTTTACAAACCATTCACTATCGCAATTAATGTACGTACTTGCTCAGAGCAATGGGGTACGTGACGTACTTTGTGTGCGTGATTTAAAATATTGTTGAATATCTTCAGCGTAATCATTGTGTTTTGTAGAAAGGGCGTACGTGACGTTTCGTAGATTGCATACAGCCATGTTTTAGGTTTTAAACATCGAGTATATAACTAGAAACAGAGATGAAATAAGGGCCATATATTCCTGGTAACACATTAGCGATACAGCTCTTATAAATATCAACTCCAGTTTGCACTGAAATATAGACAGGCCAACTACTGACCCGTGTGTACGTCTCCGTATATTCCAAAAAATATTCTGTATTTATTGTAATACAGATAATATCACTAACAATGCCGTGCTGTTCTATTCGGTGGTATGAAAAAAACAGCAAAACATCTAATTACAAAACAAACGGAATCAAATTTCATCGGTAATTAAATATTAAATATGTAATTTTGCAATTTCGTCAATTATAGCAAAGCTCAAGTTAACCGGTCGATTTGAAGCGAAACAGTTGACGACACCCGTCAATTGTTTCGAACTCGGGCTAGCTAGCTAATCGGAGCGCAGTTGTCACAGTAATGATATGTCAGAATAGTTTTCAAACAAATTAAATGACATTTCGCCTCTATTTCTGGTTATATACTCGATGGGTTTTAACGACTGTTTTAAAATATTTACGTTCTGTTTTAAAATTCTTTTTTGGTAAGTTTTAAAATTGAATTTTAAAACAGGATGCAAATATTTTGAAACAGCCGTTAGAACCTAAAAAACATTGTCCTCTGAAAATACAACGAAGTTTTGCCCTTTCTACAAACACCGAAGATATAATGGTTCATACAAACTGTACTGTGTACACGAATGTAATTTAACAGGTTTCAGGATTTCGTTGAATACTGGAATGAGCTGGAAATCCATTTTGGAATTACATACAAATACAAAATTTCGGTTTGTTTGTTGGAAACGACATTTTAGATAAATCATTTGACTCAACACGGGCAACGGTTCCGCCGAACATCAGGGGCGTTTCGTTACTGTATGGAAGATATTATATACAATGGCACCTGTTCAGATTGTATTTACTTAGTTAATTATTCGATAACACTTGCAAATTTCTGTCATTTTAATTTATGTTACAAGTTAAACTGCTTGGACATGGACAACAATAAAAGAAACTTGATCCTATTTTACAAAAATTTAAAAAAAAGTATTTACAATTTTGTCTCGTTTTGTCAACAAGTTTTAAAATTTGGCGATCAGTACACAATCGAAAATTTATTTATTCCATCATTTGAATTATCTATGTTGTAAATTATCAATATGTGTACGATATACTTTTGCACATCCTTCAGGTATCTGGTGCGTTCTACCCTCATCGTTCCCCGAGAACGTGACCGTCCACACGACGCACAATAAAAAGAAGAAGATTAATATGTCATACCCCAACGCGGTCCTCAACTCTATGGTCAAGGACCATTTCACCAACGATCAGTATTTTGAACTCACTGACCCTGAAAATAAAATTTATGAACAAAGGTACGTTATTATTATATTAGAATAGAATAGAATTCATTTATTACATAACGGCACAACACAATAATACACAGTAAATAATAAAAAGTAAAAAAAAATAAAAAAATAAAACAGAACTAAATTAAAACTAAAACAAACTAAATTAAAACAAACAGAAAATAGAATAACAAAAAAACTAAATAAAATTAATTAGAAATAAAATCTTAGTAATAAATAATTAAGCGACCACAAAGCTAGTCAACACTTGTACTAAGTAGATGTCCTGTGCGGCTGTGGCGTGTGTAATAGGATACACTCAGCTAATGTCACCGCCGGGAAAAGGCTGTGACGCTGATTTTTCAGTGAACCCTAAATATATTCATGCTATGCATACTTTTAAAAGCAATTATTTACTTTGATGACCTGGATACACTGGATGCTCCCCGGGACCTCCGGGTTCGATTCCCGGTAGGACCATTTTTGGAAATTATTTTTTCTAAATTGGTTTGGTCTGGGTATTCTGGGAAGTGACCCAGAATTAGTTTCGTTGCCCTGGTACAGGTCATAGTACAGGGAATTCCCTAGTTTGAGACAGGCAATTGGTGTGGTTATCTAGCACGTATATAAAAAATCAAAATGCTAGAACACTTGTATTCTGCGACAAAATGTAACGATAATTTTTAGTTGTATTTGTGGTAATTCTTTTCCTATGTATGAATCGATATGTTGGATGCATAATGTCGTGTTGTTGGATCTACAGAGTTACTTGTTATTTCGATAAATTGTACCACCCTGTTTCATTTATTAGGTCAGAAAACTCCATATTCTTTGAAGTGGATGGTCCATACTTGGCGATGGTACTGCCAGCGTCCAAAGAAGAAGGAAAGCGGTTGAAGAAGCGATACGCTGTATTTAACTTCGACGGCTCGCTGGCCGAATTAAAAGGTATATTAATGTTTTTTCTTTCATCTCAAAGACATTAAACACATACGTACATTAGTCAATTATTTCCAATATTTCCCAAGAAAACCTCTTCTACGAATTATTCATCGTACTATTTATTGTACTTGTTTTTATTTATTTACTTTAACCCAATATACCTATCGTTTGGCCCGACATATACTACATATTTTCAAAGGAATTTCTGTAACATGTGCGTAAAATTATACATATAATGTATTACTGGACGATATAAAAATGTTACCTACGTCTAGATTTAGGAAAGTACTATTTAAATTGCTCCTGACAAATTGTTTTTATAATGGAAATAAGTTTTTGACATTTAAATTTTGAAGCCTGTGACCCTCTACATATTTATTGCTTCGACATGCGTTCCTCTTTTTTATTAAAACATAATTTTTCTTTAATTACATTATATAATGAACAAAATTAAATTTTATAATATAATACGATATGATTTTAATTATATAAGTAATATGTAATGAATGGGAACAATGTATAATATTTGCTATTAATATTTGTATGCCAGTTACTGGCGCAACACGCTGAACCCTAAGTGTAATCTTAAATATGTGAACTATATTTACCGTGTATGCTTACAAATAAGTATATCTCTATCTTTATCTATCTCTTCATAATAAGATAACGCCTGACACAAAAGGTAAAACGTTATTTTTGAACCCTGGAGATATATCGAATTTTATATTGCCATTGTCTTCTACTGATGGCACGAATATTGCTGTCTAAATTCGACACTAGCGCCACCATTTATGCGTTCAACTAGTTGGTCTATAAAAGCTGGTGTTGTTTGAGAGCCCCCACTGGGTGTCCTCGGTGGCCCAACTGCTTATACTGTGGGCGCTGGATGAGGAAGTTCTGGACGTTTTCGAGTTCCGACTAAATTGAGAAATGATGTTTTCTAAAATTATTATCTATTTAAACTCTATTACACACCAAAACAGTACAAATGGCGGAATTAATGCCATTAGGCATTCTCTAAATTGGTTCTGGTCTAGGTTTTCTGGGAAGCGCCCCAGAGTGAATTCCGTGGACATTATTTTGATCTCCAGTTCTGGGTGCAACGCGCTGCTAATAACTCAAATTTGATCCTTACAAAATGTTACGCCATACTAAGATAACTTATCATTAAGAGCGTGTACGTTATTATTATGGGTAATTCTTCGGTACACCTTAATGGGTGATGATAGAGGTAGTGTGAGCTAAACAGGCAACATAGTACCTAACTATTGCTTGCTAAGGTGGCGACGTACGATTGACGTCCTCCGGATTATTCAGTCTTTTGAATTTTCATTTATTTTTTATTTTATCCAAGTGCCGGAAGGTCCAGCTTAGCTAAACTCTACGACAGACTCCATATTATTACTATTTGTTTCGAAATGCAGGTTTCGAAGTAAAACGCCGCGGAGAGTTGCAGCTGATAAAAATCTTCCAATCATCAGTGTTCGAAGCTTTCCTCAAAGGAAATGATTTAAAATCGTGCTACAGTGCTGTCGCCAAAGTTGCTGATTATTGGCTAGACGTGTTGTACAGCAAAGGTTCAAATATGCCCGATTCTGAATTGTTTGAGCTCATTTCGGAGAACAGATCGATGTCCAAGAAGTTGGAAGACTATGGAGGACAAAAGTCCACGTCGATATCCACGGCTAAGAGATTGGCAGAATTTTTGGGCGATCAGATGGTGAAGGATGCTGGGTTGGCTTGCAAGTGAGTAAATAGGGTTTTTATCGAATATGTCATCACATACAACTAAATAATAAATAAAAATAAAAAACATGGATGCATGTTGCACTATTTTTCATTGTTATGACATACAATTGCGCTTATCCGATCTTTTCGGTTATTAATCGGATAAGTTTCCTCCAAATGTTCGAGTAAATGTTCTCATATTAACATTGAGAAGTGCCTAGAACTTATTTTTCATATATTCATGTTTTTATTTCATGAAATATTACTTTATTCGTTTTGTCACAAAATTTCGTCTGTTTGTATATAGATATAGAGGGTGTAATCGTTAAGTGTGCCCAGGCGGTAATTTCGTAAATTTTGTATTCAATGTAGTTGTTCGAAGGAGGGAAACTAAAACCCTCTACGAATGTCGTATTAAATGTATGAGAACGTTTAAATTTTGAATATTTGTAGTTTTATTTAAAAAAGTTATGGATGTCGTTTTACTCACTAGGTAACGTACTTTCGGTATTAATTTAAGGGTTCCTTGATATCTCTTATATTTACGGAGTCGTCACCTGGGCACACTTAAAAATTACACCTGTATATGTGGAGACAGATGTGTATAGATATTTTTTATCACACGGTAGTAGTCAACCGTATTCAACATCCCGCAATGTAGTGTGTGCCAATAATATTTTTTACAACAGGTTCATAATATCACGTAAACCCGAAGGCGCACCAGTAACAGAGCGCGCTGTACCACTGGCTATATTCCAGTCACCCTCAGCTGTCAAACGGCACCACTTGCGGCGATGGTTGAAGGACAACACTATCTCAGAGGATATTGACATTAGGGATGTGCTGGATTGGGCTTATTATATCGAGCGTCTCAGTGGAGCTATACAGAAGATTATTACCATACCCGCAGCGATGCAAGGCGTGAGTATATTTTGCACCCTGGGTGTTCATAACCCTGTCCCAATCCGCCTTGAACGGACCAGAAACGCCTTCGGTATCCTTTTTTTCTTCAATAGAACTCCTTTGACATTTAAATCTTCTGGTTTATTGATTCAGGAAATACTACTGTACATTTCCATAAAACTCATTTCTATGTCCATCTGACTTACCGAATATCGAAAGTCAACTGAACATGATTACAAAAATTACGAATGAGACAATGACAATAATTTTCACTTATATTTATACCGATACGGTGTCTCCCACACCGTACCGGCCCTATCAATTCGCCGCGGACGCCGTTCGACTCATCAGAGCTCCTGAATTACTCATTATTGCTGACCGCCCAGGCGTTTACGGCCGTCTGTAACACTGGGCGTGATAAAACCGCATGTGATAATAAGTCAAAAGTGCTTTTACGTAAAAGTCATAAAAATAATATGAAAAACTTGAAACATATTACGTATATGTGTAATTTTATAGCTCTTCTATTTACGTATAAAAATATTGTCGACTAATTTCGTTCGTTGAATCTTTAAATCAGCATCCCTATGTTGTGGATATAGCCCAGGTTTCGTACGAAGCGTTTAGCTTCCACGTTTATATGGCAAGCGGCTAGAGAGTGGAATTCCCTACCTGCGGACTTTTTCCCCGAACGCTATAATTTGGACCTTTTCAAGGCGAGAGTGAATAGGCATGTCCCACATTGTATTCGTGATTAAATATAGATATATTTAATTGCAGATGCCTTCTGCATGATTGTTTTTCTTAATTCGTCCTTAGACAAAAACAATCTGCTAGCCAGATCCATTCATAATTCGCTCCAAAAAAGAAGCCACCACCTTGCAACGGTATTTGGTTTACTTTCGTTTCTTGTAATCAACAAATGATTACGATAAACATAAAAATTTAAAGTTTTTTAAAATTAAATAAAATAAAGACTTAATGATGATACGAAACACCACCATAGATAATGTTACAAGTGCGACTATCACTATCACTGTTGTGTTTTGATATCATCACTGCTGTCTCCCAATCCTGAGCCAGCTACGATCCTCCACTAGCACCAGTCTTTTATATAAGTTCTGGATATGTCTAAAAATTCGAGAAAAATGTTATTCATGATTCCGCTAGAGGTGTTGCTATATTTGACGCATTACTGTTCGTACTCTCTTAGTTTGTTGGATGGGTGCTACCGACCATGTTCATTAACCTATTTGATAGATCTTGTTCACACTATTGAAGGTACAGATTTGAAAAATGAAAATACTTTTGGTAAATATCTTTGATTGAGTTATTCTATCCCCTCTAGCGAAATAATAATTTTTTTTTCTTTCTCGACGACACATGGGCAATCTAAAAGATTTTAAACAAAAAAATCGTTTCTTTAGCTGGACAATCCCGTCCCCCGCGTGCAATACCCCGACTGGCTGCACAAGAAGATGCTGGCCAAACAAGATAAATACAAGACGCGAAAGATCACTGACATGTTCTCCGCCGCGCCCAAGGACAAGACTACGAGGGAAGAAGGCGAAACATCTGAATGCAATGATGGGGCTGCTGTAAGTTCACAGTTCTATAATGCTGTATTATAACAAAATTGAGGTTGAAAATAATTATCGCACCTTGGAAACAGTATGGGTCAGCAACCGCCTAAATTATTTGTTTAAAAAATTTTACTTATACATATAGTGTTGTATAATTTTACAAACACCAAAGATATCAAAGTTTACTTAAGTACATCAAGTTTATAGAGAAACCTATACGTAACACTTGCGTGCGTGCGTGCGATTTGCACTGTTTAATGTGTGTTTTCGTTAGGGAATAGAACTGGTTGACATTATTTTGGGTTGAATAGTTTTACTGATGTAGTAATTGAAGTGATTGTTATTCTAATTAAACAATTTTGTCTCTCAGAACCTGTCACATAATATTCTAACCATATTTTAAGTATGCATACGCTTCTAACAACGGCACTAGTGTAGGTACTCTAACTATATGTTACAAACAAATATACGAAATCTTAAACTAACTTCAGTGATATTGACATTCGCTAATAACTTGTAATAATTTTACAATTATTACAAGTTATTAGCGTTAATCTTTTAATGAAATTGTTTTCACATATTAAAATATGTTAGACGTCTCACGCCTCTAAATAAAAACTCATTGTTAACTTGTAGGAAACTGAAGTAGACATGGAAGACATAGGTAAAGAATCTGTGAAACGTGATATCATCAGGCCTATAGTCCACACCGTTAAGCGTAAAAGGGAGGAATCCCCTCCTAAAGAGTTCGCGACGTGGAGGGAGGCATTTGGACCGCCGCCGCCTTTTGGAACAACTAAGGTAAAGTAAAGCCAAAAAGTGTAAAACAAAACGACTTGCGTGCAAATTAAGGTGGACTACACTGCCGACGGCCTGTACTGCTTTGTCGTAACAAATTGCGATTCCTTTAAAACACCACTGCATACGAAACGTGGGCGATCTGGCACATCATAATGCGGCTTTTTTGATAGCTTGAAGACAGAGCTACATACGTCAATATTGTCCCAATAGATGGACACTCAAAATAATCCAGTTTTCTTGGATTTCCAGTTAAATTTTGTGCGTGCCGTCTATAGAGCGTGGCGGGAAAAATAAAGAAATACGTCATATACTTGATATGTGCACAAAATAACTTCATATTTGTGTCATCTGTTTGTAATCTGTGTTTATAATCAATTTATATTATTTTTTAAATTATTATGAAAAGTATTTCATTTTGGATACTTGCCAAATACCGTACTTGTCTAAAGTAACGGTTTTCTGTTTTTGTTGATCGTTTTTGTCGTGTTAAAGCTGAAAATTTGGATTGTGTACCGCACGATAATTACAAAAATGTACAATTAAACAAAGTAAACAATAAATAAAAAATCTAGTTCGTGCTTAAAAAAATTTAACAATTTTTCAAAAATCTTTGACAAAAAATGTTTATGTAATGTAATGTTTCACACTTATAGGCAAGCCTGAATCGTGAGGCCCCAGACATGAGAATGTTACCCTCAAAAAAGAACTGAAATATAGATTATAAGCATGTAAGGAGTAGTTATATAATTTAGTATTTATAAATTAATAAAATCAAATGCTGCTACGACATCAAATTAATCAATCTATTAACAAAGTCATAAGACAAACCAACCAATCAGTATACGGTTAGCTTCGAACTGTTATAATTTATGTAACTTTGAACCGTTGAACTTGTAGGAGGAACGCAAAGCTTGGATTTTGTTCCAAAAGAAGAAGTGGAAATGGCAGATGGAACAAAGAGGGCTTCGTGAAAGAACCAGCAAGAAAGGTGAGGTTGTCAAAGTGTACTTTATTTTGTTTTTTATTTTATTGATACAGTTACAGACATCAGGTACAACATAATACATAAACATTCTTAAACAGCACTATAAAACTGACACCCAAGTACAACTATACACAACATTCGATAACAATAAAATATTACAAAGAACGGAAATATATATTCTCGTGTGTATAAAAAAACAACAAAATATTAATCACATTTCATTATACCAACGACAGATTCTTATACGGTACAACAGTTTAAAAGTACCTGTCTTAAATATACGTATACCTCAGATGTGGTCCCATTTAAATTTCAAGAAAATATTCCATTTCTAAGGGTGGCAAACTGGGGGATGCATGACTTTTGAGGTCGGTTTTTTTAACCGGAGGTTAGGTTATATATTCTCATTTCTAAGGTTGTTATCGGAAATGGAACTGTATTTGTTTTTATGTACAAATAAATTACTTACTTATAATTATGTTATTTTTAGCATTATATTAACTATAATTCTGCGTACTAAATACTGTAAATGTATCCTTAAAACCACTAAACATTTACTGTGAACAGGTAAAGTAGATAACAATGATGCACTGATGCCCCCGCCGCGCAGTGCCGGGCCAGCCAATACGTTGGGCGGATTTATCAGACGTGCGCAACGGACCCTGTTGAATACACCTTGGCAGATTATACAGGTATGAAGTATGGGAAGATGATACAGGTGATGGGCAAGCCTTCCTCCTAACCTAATCTATAGTCAACGGTGGGACAAATAACACAGAATAATAAGAGAAGTATGGTAACTCCATATAAATGTAGCAGCACAGCTTGTGTGTGTGCAACCCCGTTGCGCGCCATACGCACGCACACATCTGTAGATCAAAGTGATCTCTACAACATTATTAAACGCGACAACATTATTTAAATATATAATAATAACGCACACACTCAACATAGCCCCGCACTAGGGAATCAAATTACACCCAAACTCACGAGAAAAATAAATGTATGTCATACAAATATTTCTCCCAGACCGGTATTCGAACCTGGGACTTCCTTGGCAGTCCGACATGGTAACCGTTCGGCCACAGAGGCAGTTAAATAAGTACATATTGTTTGTGAATATACTCCACTAGTTTATTTTTAATATTTATACAAACATCGAACAACACCACGAAAAACTCCTTCGATCTGACGGGGCTTGAACCAGCGTCTGTTGCCAAGCCGTGGCCACTGCTCTTGCCAACTGAGCTGTATATACCAAGTCAGCAGATCTTACTAATTTCTCCAGATGTTTGCTACTTTGTACTGGGTTTAAACGACTTTTTGCCGTCAGCACCACCTGTGAACCTAACTCAGATACAGGAATGCACAAATCGGGTTATTTAACAAAAACTTGTTAAAACATGATTGCCCGCGATCTATTATTATCTACGAAAATTACCTATCTAGGAATACTAATAACTATTAAAATGTGAAGTTTATGAAGTTTATAATAATATTTCATTATATAAAAAATTCAGGTATTAGAAACAGGAGAACCCGGACTCTTCAAACTCTGGGTGTTAGTCGACAAAGAGCTACATCAAATCAAGCTAACGGTGCCCCGGATATTCTACGTGAACCAGCGAGTGGCGCGTGCGACAGATACGGGCGAATATTGGCGCAAATGTAGCCGAATATTGCCACGAGCCCACCCTGTATTGCACTTGTACCAGTATTCAGTGCCTGAACAACTTTATCGGGAACATCAGGAGTGAGTACCTTCATATCCTACTACTATGTTATAACAAGATAATTAGTGCAAGTCCCGCCTGCTCGGCGCATCAATGCCTACACATCATAATATAGTACGATACTAAGTCATGGAAATCAGATTATTCCTAATAAAAACTTTATATAGAGAGGTATTCTGTTCTACAAAATGATTGAAAAGAAAAAGTAGCATAAATAATAATAATACAAAAAAAAACTCTGATATACTGTGTAGTCACACGAGTTGCAATCTGATTGCACACTAGCTGTACCAGCAGTAGGAGTGTTATCGTACCAACAGTAAAAAAAATGTTTTAAAAATTACACGTTCTAAATTGCAACATAGGGTTGTAAAAATCACATTTTCTTAATAGAGAACTGATGGGCGAGCTATCTGCACCGGAGATTGAAGGCATCTACGAGACGCAAATGAGTCTAGAGTTTAGAGTGCTCGTGCAGCTTGGCTGCGTATGCGCAGTCGACACGCAAGAGGCTAGAAAGTACGTATAAACGTATGGTATAAACTTTATTTACTTGACTTCAAGGTGTAGCAAAAAAGTGTTTGATTTTTAGAAACTATGACACAGTAAATGCTTTGGCATAAACAAATCAAACAAATTTAAATTTTTATTGAATTGATATTCAATTATTTTTTATGTGAAATTACTCCATATTCATAATTATAATAAATAACGCACACACACTCAACATAGCCCCGCACTAGGGAAACCCTGTCTCGCGGGTGCCATGGAAACAAATTACACCCAAACTGACACAAATATTTCTCCCGGCCCGGGAATCGAACCTGGGACCTTTGCGTAGCAATCAAAAAGAGGCAGTTAATCCAACAAATGTCAAAAAAAAAACATGGTGAAATTCTGTAATTTGTGTGTAACATGTGCCTGTGCACATGAGACTTGTCAATTTATGTCTCAGGATGATAGGCGCGGTGGCAGTGCCTCTCAAATCTTTGCAAGTTAAAGCTCTGCCTGGCACTGCAACTGCTATGGACCGGGTGGTGTCGCTTACCACCCGGTACACGACTTGTTCGTCCCTTCATTTGCAATCATAAAACAATATTAGAAGCGGATTTTGCCCCCTAATAGAATAAGAACTTTTATCCTCCTAAGACAATATAACGGAAAAAGCGCTACACGTTCAATACATTAAAATGTGCTAAATATAATTATGGTGGTGATACCAGTGACCGACAAGCACCACTGTTAGACGTATTTAAAATTAATTTCTAATAAGATTTAGGAAAAGAAATTCTATCATAGTAACACCTTTCTTATTGGTAAGTGTCAATTACTTGAGGGCCACGAGTTGAAGTCCCTGTTCGGGCGCCAGTGAAAAGGTTGTAAACCGCCAAAGAATGGTTCAAACATTCGAAAGTAAATGGACAGGAACCAGAGAAAAGGGTGATAAAGGTAGGATGACGGTGAAAAAGGTAGCATCGTCACAAGCTTAAAGTATTTGACGCCTCGGTGATACGAGCTAGAAAATCCGTTCGTTGCTAGTATGATTTTACTTTCTTGGTTTAATAAACTAGCCTATTATAACCTGAGTATAATAGACATGTACTTTTTACGTTTAAGACTGTCCGTATTGTTAACAGAATAATTCAATTCGGAGCCAACAATATGGATTCGTTCAAGCTCAATCAACTGCAGTTCAAAAGCGTCGGACATCAGCCTTATTTGAAAAAACAGGTAAGGAAGAGTTTACTTACTTTTATTTTAACGCACATATTCATAGCCCCGCACTAGGGAAACCCTGGGTCGTGGGGGCCATGGACTCACAAGACAACCACAAATTACATCCAAACTCACGAGAGAAATCAATGTAGGACTTACAAATATTTCTCCCGGTCCAGGAATCGAACCGCCGGACCTTGGTATGGCAGTCCAGCATGGTAACTGTTCGGCCACGGAGATAGTTAAGTTAATTACATTGTTAGTATGTTCCAGAACTACTACAGTCCTAGAACAGCGTTTTGTTGTTTTTTATTTAGCTAACGTAATTCGATTTAACAGTAGAACTTTTGTGAAAGAGTTCATCTAGAGAAGTTTATCTATTTTATCTTAATAAGAACGACTTTATCTATTTCTGCCGTCGAGAAGTAATGTGGGCGCAATTATAAGCACATGTGACTTGTCAACTTATACGCAATGTTCACTGAACAGGCGTGTCCTGCACGACTTGTTCGTCCCGTCGCTTGATGTTATAAAAACTAAAACAATAATAAATAATCCAACCGAGAAAAGGTCATTTTCAAAGGTGTGTATGCCAAAATACGCAGAAATAGTAAATGTACGAATTTGAGAGGTATTGGATCATTTGTGCGTAATTGAGTTGTTAGCTTGGAGAATTGAAAATGTTTGCCCTACTGAGCAACGGCAGTACGCGAGGGTAACATATAGCGCGAGATCTCTATGCCAGAATAGCAGTATCTCGCGTTGTATGTCGCTCTCGCCAGTCGCGTCCTATCGTGCTACCCTACTGGTCATATTGAGTTGTTAGGTTTTTGGCGATTGTTACACATTTCATTAAATCGCTAATAATAATAAAAAACCCTTCTTCTTATCGTATCAATGGTACCTATATACTGCCATGTCAATCGGCGTAAAGTACTCGCAGATTGTTACCCAGGCTGCGTCAGGAAAATAATGGTACGTCATTTCGTGCCCTGTAAAGGATCCAGAACGTTAGTTTCCTTGAAAAAATAAATATACGTGATTTAGGTCCGCAAAAATAGTTTCGTTTCTTATTTTTGCTGGTCGTTTTAGATAAACTAGTTTACAATAACGATTGGAACACGTACGTACCTTTTTGAGGAATGTTCTTTCTTTCTATTTACCTAGCATCTGCCTCCATCTCTCAATCATTCGCTCATTCACTCTCGGATTTTATTTTCGTTCAGGAGGGGATAGCTCCAGTGAAGCATATATATCTGTACCAATATTCAGCGCCGAATTCAAGCCGCAGTATGTGGGCACTCATTCTCGGCCCCAGCAAGAAAGCGTACTTGTTCGTACTCGATACCGTCAAGACCAATCAGGTGCCCAATATGAACACCTTGTATGTAACCGAGAGAACTGCCAAGTAAGTCGGTGCTTTTATTTATTTGTTTTTACTTCAAGTGCACATAAAGTTAAGTCTTATCGTCCTTTACGACACTAATGGATGTAACTTAAAATTTAGACAAAAATAACATAAAAATAATAATGTGTCCGACAACCACACCAATTACATGGACTCAAACTAGAGAATCCCTGTGCTATGAATACCAGAAATAAGAAATTAACTCCGTGAGCATCAACTAGATCACCCAGACCAGAACAGATTTAGAAAACATTTCCAAATTGGTCCTTTAGAGAATCGATCTCGGAACTTCAACAACTAGATGACTTACCAGTGGTTAATTTGCTAAAACGTTTATTACACTACTCGGCTAACCTCCCGTCGAGAGCTTTGCACGTGTCACTATCATGGCGACATTGAAGCTTGTATTTGCTGTTTCTCATCGAAATGTTTGTAAATTTCAAGTAAAACCTTAAAGCCCTCGTCCCGTACGTCCTTATTAATATAGGTCTTTGTGATATTTTTTCCATATATAGGGCATGTTTTTGTACATGTCTATCGGGCACAGTAAAACTTCTTTTTCTTTACTGCACGACATGACGATAGCAAAACAAAATGAAACTATACGACTGCTCGTTCATCGCGCGTCGACTGAGCTCCCTAACTACCTTAAGTGTTATTATACTGCGTTAGCTCCAGACGCAGTGAAATCACAGTCACATGGGACTTGTCAATTTATATCTCAGGGTGAAGGGGGCAGTGGCAGTGTCCCTAAGATCTTTGCAACTTAAAGCTTTGAGTGGCACTGCGACTGTTATGGATAGGCATGTCGCTTACCACCATGCACGACTTGTTCGTCCCGTGACTTAGTATTGTAAAAATAAGTATAATTTCAGAATCGGTATGGGTACAGATGAAAGCGAAATCCCAGGTCCAGAATTGTCCTGGGAAGTGACGGTAGAGAACCAGCCACGTGTAGTATACCGTTTGATGCAGCGAGCATTGCAGCGGTATCACGACGAGCGCTGGGGGCCGACGCTCTGCGCTGTTCAGGCGATGCATTCTTTTGCTGTTTTGCTGCAATTGATGCCAGGTATAGAATAAAAAAGCAATGCGATGCTTTAGGCAAAGTGCGGATGCCATCTTTGTGTTTATAATTTTTTCTACTCCTGTACTTTAATCTGTTAATTATAATTTCATAAACCATGTCGTAAAGGCGCTCTTTTTACTTCTGAATCAAAATTCTATTGTCTATGGCACTCGCCACTGAGCTGAAAAATTTCATTATAAAGTTCTGTACACAGAACTGTAAAGAGTTTCAAAGATAAGAACGTCTTATTTTTGCTAATTAAAATATCAATTAGGACTTTACTCCAACTATACTGCCTCCTAATTGGTTAAATTGGCCTAAATATCTTGTAACCGGGCCATAAATCTTTATAAAAAAAATTGGTTAAAAATGGTGACACTTGGACAATTCTATTCTATCTCTTTGGTTTTTTTGTATTTAACGCACACGCTCACACGCTCAACATAGCCCCGCACTAGGGAAACCCTGTGTCGCAGGTGCCATGAACACACACATAGACAACCACAAATCACACCCAAACTCACGAAGAAATAAATGTAGGTTATACAAATATTTCTCCCGGCCCGAGAATCGAACCTGGGACTTCTGGGTGGCAATCCGGCATGGTAACCGTTCGGCCACTGAGGCAGTTAAAAAAACATTTGTTTGGCTTTCGTCTAAATATATGAAGAGGTTGTATGGTGGAACCTTTGCATAGCGTAATTTAAAAAATTGCGTTTGTTGCCATAGATTGTTAACAAAATATAAAATATTGGTTCTGTTCATTATTTTATTTACTCTTAGAAAAAGTATTGTATGCAATCATTACATAATTAGGTCTTAAAATCTAGTACCTTTCTCGACTTGAAGAACCCTCATTATTATAACGATTGCATAAAATACTATTAGGATTAGGAAGTAGTCTACTTCCTTAAAATAAGGCAAATTTTCGCCACGCCGATTTTACACGATTTGAATTTGGTAGAGGTAAAATTTTATAATAATAGTTATTTATGCTTCTTAGTTAATTATTTACTATAACTCAATACCACATTTCCGTACAATTAAAATGTATCACGGCACGTCCACGTAAATAATTTTCATATTGGATTTAAGAATTGAATTGAAATTAAGAATGTTTATTTTTGTGTGATTTTTTTTACAATAATTCTTATTTAGTGATTCTTTTAAGTTGGTAGCAGTATCTGCATACCTGATAAAATTTGTAAGTAATAAGTTAAAAATTTATTTTAAAGCTAAAAAAATCAAAAATTCTAAAAAATTAAAAAAAGTGAAAATTATTACAAAGGTTAAACAAAAAAAAGGTAAAGGATTTAAACAATGTCTTTTAGTGTTTACACCTGAAAAATATATGCCACGCCGATTTCACGCCGCCGCCGCCAACGATTTTACGGTTAGCGTACATCTAGCATTAAAAGAAGCCCGTAACTAGCAGCGGGATGTATGTAGGTTGATACAGTCGAGTGTAGTTCAACATCAAACCAGGACTTCCTCTTACAGCATCACTTCACGACATGACATGGCATTAAAATCTTTTTTCAGGTTTATCTGACTTCCCTCTAGTGCCAGTGCACATCCGCGATGTGGACACGTTGTACAACACGTTGGAGTGGCAACGCATCGGCGCGCGTGCAGTTATTCGCCATTACTTGAACCTCGACGCCATACTCAACATCACCATCGAACAGTGCACGTTAGTAACTTAATTGTAAATTCTTACAAGTATGTCCAATGGCACACTGGGCTCTGATATTTCTTTGTACGCTTGTAGTTCTTGAATATAATCGAGGCTATCAGCGCAACAGTGGCGTAACCCATATTCAAATTTTTTTCTACAAAATTACTTTAAATAATACTAACGCACGTAATTATTTTATGTTTGGATTCATATTCATGTATAAAAAATATTTAATTTTGTTTTGGTACCGATGTTCCGGAAAAAAGACCGATCTGTTACTATTTTTATTTTTTCCTAAGTGGATAAGGTACGAAGTTACCGCAAGAGAAAACTAAATTTTTTAAATTGTGTTTCTTTAAACATTGTTTCCTCAGTTTTGAGTTTTTGACAGAAATGTACCCAATTGTTTTTCCAGGTACCTCCAAGTGCCCCTTGGAAATATTCCAGCTGACCCGACGATATTCGGCGCAGACTTGTTGTACGCGCGGCACCTGCTCAAGCACAACTTCGTGCTGTGGTGCTCTAACCTCGAAAGGCCTGACCTCGGTGGACGAGAGATTGATGACAATAGGTCAGTCAGGTTTCCATGTATCATGCACAGCTTTTAAAAATACAGTTTCATGTATGTTCACTGTCACACCCTCATTAGTAAAGTGACAAAGATAACAAAAACAATTTGGATATGCAATGGAATGGAATAAAAACGGTATTATTAATTTTATTTTGTACCAAAAATGTTATGATTTATGTATGATTTCATCATCTTTTATAATGCACATAGCCCAGGAATGAGATTTCTTGCCTGCGACTGTGGTTCCGATCACATATGTACAATCCGACTATCTTTAAGAGACGACTGAATAGGCATTTTTTTAGCAAGCTCGTTCCACCTTGTCTCTTTTCCAGGACTAGGTAGTGATCAAGAGCAAGTCCATTTACTCCTCTTACAAAAGTGCTATTACTCAATAGGAGAATTTTGAAGCGATAAAGAGATATTATATTTCTAAATTAATTCGTCGTTTGTAATAATAATTAGTACATAAGTTCATTGTTTTATTGAGAGTTTGATTTATTAAGATATTTTATTATTTAAAAGAATTTAATGATTTTGTTGTGTAATTTTTTATTTATATTCTTTACTTTGTTTATTTCCTATGTTTAATTTTTAGCTACACCCTTACAGGGTACATGTATTGTAAATTTTAATATGCACTTTACATGATGGCTAATAAATAAATAGCGAATACTTGAAATAAAAAGTTGCAGGCTGTTTTCCGCAACTCGACGTCGCAGCGCCTATTTTGCTTGTTACGTGCTTTTTTTTTCTTGGAACGCAGATTAGTAAGCGAAGTTGAAGAGCTAAGCGGCTGCAAACACAACGCGAGCGGCGCTTACGACGCAGTCTGCGTCGAATTGGAGACGGATGCTTTAGCAGTATGTGCTTTGCTGCAAGCTCATCACATATTACAACTAGAAGGCACATCTGCGGCCACTGCCTTCGGACATACGAACATTCAGGTCGTTATGGCCAACACCGGTGAGTGTCTGTTAATAGAAGTCCAAACAAGTAGTTGCCAGCGATGACCTACAATTCTGAGACGTGGTCACTTACTATGTGCCTCATAAAAAAGTTCAAAGTTACTCAACGAGCTATGGAGCGACCAATTCTCGAATCAGAACTGAGGAGATTCATAGAAGAACGAAAGTCACTGACATAGCTGAAAAAATTAGCAAGTTAAAGTGGCAGTGGACATATACCTCGTAGAACTGACGGCCGTTTGGGCAGAAAGCTTCTCGAATGGAAATCACGAACCGGAAGGCGTTTAGTTAGTGGTCTCCCCATTAGATGGACGGATGACCTGGAAAGGGCTGCGGATAACCGACGGATGCACGTCGCGTGCGATCGGCTAATCGGGATCAAAGACATCCACAGGGGAGGCCTATGTTCAGCCGTGGACGTCTTCTGGCCGATATGATGATGATGAGTGTTCATTGGAGGCATATATGTATGGTTTGTTCCACTTAAATTTGTAGGTGACAGATTCGGGATTTACCGTAAGTCAATGCCTATAGTACTTAATTTTCAGCGCCAATAGCGATACAGATTAATTGTGTTTTTTCTGAAATTGAATATGGATTTTTGAATTTCCTTTAAAATAATGAATTATTCTTAAATGTGTACAAACAATTTGCTTATTTGAGCCCTTGAACGCGTAAGAAAAGACAACATATCTTTTAGTCTATTAATCATAACATAATAATATAAAAAAAACAAAAATATTATGTTATGTTAAAATTAATATTGATTACAAAGTACAAGCTGTTTTAAATAGTAAAAGCTTTTTATTTGGTTGCATACGGGAACATAAAAATAGCCAGCACTAAATTAGTAGAAGTACTGCAAACACAATTTGAGAAAGTGACGTGAAGAACGATTATTTTATTTTCCGAAATATTATTTTTTGGTCGTGTCAATCAGTTTTAACCGACTTCAAATAAAGAGGAGATTCTCAATTCGACTGTAAGTTTTTTTTGTATACATGTTACGCTATAACTCCGGCTAAAATTTCGGATTCCGAATAAAATTTGTGAACTGATTGTGATGATTCTTTTTTGTTGGAAGGAGGGTACCTCAGTAGTGGTCCCATTTAAATTTGAAGAAAATATTCAACCTCTAAGGGTGGCAAACTAGGGATGGATTCGGTTTCGCGCAATGTCCGGTAACCGATTTCAATAAAACTTGGCAAATAGATGAAATTCCACGAACTTTTGAGGTCGGTTTTTTAGTACTGAGATTATTATTCTTGAAATCACAAAATGTTTGTACTGTCTCCCTGTTAGGCACTTATTTCCATAAGTACAAAAAAAATGTTGAAGAGAAGGCAGCGAATTTTGTAACGTAAATATATTATTGAACAAAAAAATCCATGCAATAGTCCACCTAAAGTTCTGCGACATAAGTGTGAATGTTCAATGTTGTTAGGAGCGAACGCGACAGTGAATTATGACGAGACTGCGCAGTGCAACGCTGCATTCAAAGTGCTGCGTACGATGATAGCCGCGTGGCTTCGTGACGTCACTGTCAACAAGAATGTCTTCGCCGACTTCCAGATCTCGCATTTCTACAGGTAAGAACTGACAGCTGTAATTCAAATTTATCTTTCTTTCATAGGTACAGATTAAACTCTACTACTCATTAGTAAGGCAAATCAAAAGTTTTTAGTAGCAGTAGAGCTACTTGTGAAAGAATTCGTCCAGGGAAGTACTGCCACCTTACCTATTTCTGCTGCCAAGCAGTAATGTCTTGAAGGGAATTACAGGCACATGGGACTATGTCTCAGGGTGACGGGCGCAGTGGTAGTGCCCCTCAGGTCTTTGTGATTTAAAGGTCTGAGTGATACTGCGACTGTCGAGCATAGGCGTGTCGCTTACCACCAGGCGCACGACTTGTTCGTCCCGTTATCGATTGATGTCCTAAAAAAATCCCTAAGAAGAACAAGTAAGAAACTCGCGGGGTTGCTCTTTGTAAGTAGACATTTCGATCACTTGGTTTTACATTGACGTAAATGAGCGTTTGGTCCATCTACGTAACTGTTTTTTATAACTAGTTACGGAAGAAGATTATTCCTTCACTGTTTCGTAACCAGTTATAAAAAGGAGTATTTAATCCATATTCAAAACTCCAGTTACGAAAACAGATACAGATTTGTTCTTTCCATGACCAGTTACGAAAAAGGCTTACTTTTTTCTCTTTTTGTGTCTAGCTACGTAAGTGGAGGCTTCTTTTCTTCTTTTCATAACTACTAACATGCACATTAATAGGCTTAGCCACACAGCGGTAGACGTTGAAGTTGAATGTGTGGCTACACCTGTTAATACTTACGTGTATTAAAATTAAAAGTATTTTGACGTACTTATATATTCTGTTCCATTGAATAATAATTGGCACTAATTTGTCATTTTTGACCTCCACTATTTTAGTAGTTATGAAAAGCTAAATGAGTGATTTGTACACACATTTATATCAAATATCGAGATAACCTGAAAGAGTTAAATGGGCCACAACCATAATTTTTTGTCATCCAGGTAAGCAGAAGCTGTATAATAAATAACTTTTAATATAAAGTTTTTGTTTCACTATAGTTTTTAACTTCATAAACGGCAACTTTGGAATATCAACCGGCGTGAGGTGCTTCTTTTTTCTTGAGTTGGGACTATTAAGGAGGCATCTTAGAGGGTCACCTTTCATAATATGTCACACGTAAAAGTATCGTCCTCACAAACAAAATTTGCACTACTTATAAGAAATACTGGAATTAGCTAGAAAAAAATGAATCCGTGGCTGAACGGTTACCATGCTGGTCTGCTACGCAAAGGTCCCAGGCCGGGAGAAATATCTGTATGATAAATATGGAAATGTTTATGTCTCTCGCGACTTTAGGTGTAATTTGTGGTTTCTGTGTGTCCATGGCACCCGCAATACAAGGTTTCCCTAGTGCGGGGCTATGTTGAGTGTGTGCGTTATTATTATAATTATTATATCTATTTTAGACTCTCAGTTCTTCCAAGGCCTAAAATATTAATTTTGAATTTTTAAATGGGAGCAGAGTCGGCCGGGGGTAAGGGACTCAGGTTCAAGAACTGGCGAACAATATGTGCCGTATCGAGCAGGACCGCCTTCTGTATTTGTGCGGGAAGCGACACGCCACAGAAATCCAACCGCTGACTGGAATTAATTCATTTGCGGACAAAACAATTAGGATTATTTCAGTGGAGGCCACATCCCACGTGTCGGTGACCTCGTGCGCCAGGTCGACTTATTATTAATATTATTGTATTGTTATCAACCGTCGTGACAACATTAGTTTAATATTTTAATAATGAAATTATTTCAACGCACCGTAAGATGGCTGAAAACCCCCACATCTCTCTTGTACGACCCTGCCCTGCGCCGCACTTTGTATAACCTGATGAAGAAACTGTTTCTCATGCTGGTGGCAGAGTTCAAGCGGCTTGGATCCCAGATCGTATACGCAGATTTTACCAAGATCTTACTTGCTACTAAGAAGAACACTATTATGGATGGTATTGGTAAGTACAAATAATTCTAAAGTACAAATAATGAATTAAAATTTAAAATAGATAAATACTATGTCGTAGAGATGACTTCCCTCTCGTTTTATGCACTCCTGTCAACGAAGGCGCATATTCGCCATTACGCGTTGTAACATTTCTGTTGGGATCGACCTCACTTATTCCTGGATTTTTTCCTTTAACTCCTGAATATTGTTCAGTGTCTTGGTGAAAACTCGACTTCTTAAATGACCCCAAAGAAAAAAACCAGCTGAGGTTAAATCGGGTGACCTGTATGGCCAGAATCAATGAGTTAACGAATTTGATACGAATTGGAGCTTTTAAAAGCGCCTCCACTGCGTACCTGACCACTGCGTCATGGCAACTGAAAATTTGCAATACACGAATATATTCCAATAAAAAAAATATTGAATTTTTACTTGAGACCACTTTTTTACTTTACTACCATGATATTTATTTATTCATTGTTGCTTATGGCGGTAGAAGCCGAAAAAACTCAATAAAGTACTGCTACAATCTCTTAGAGAAATTAGTAATGTCTGCTGACTCGATTTGTGGCTCAGTTGGTAGAGCGGTAGGCCTAGTTTGGCATACAGATGCAGGTTCGAGCTCTGTCAGTTCCAAGTAATTTTTCTTTGTTTTCGATTTTTATATTAATTATTGTAGCGGACTGTATCAATAGGATTCAGGCGCTATCGAAAAGTTAGCAAGACCAAAGTAAATGTAGACAATGCGAAGAGGTTATTCCAAATATAAATATCTTGCTGCTGCCTTAACGTTGGCGTTTTTGACCAATATTATCTGCCTGCACTCTTCGAAACAACTGTTGATCAACATTAGCTGACAGCATTCCTCGAAACTGACACTGGTCCAAGCCTAGTGGCTGCCATTAAGGTAATAATAATAAATACATGCTATACAGCTACGAACCAACCAGAAAACAAACAAACAATAATGACAATAACAGAGGAAAGGCGCCAGAAACAAGTACATTTAAATTTAGAATTCATACTGCTAAATAGACAATATCAAATATATGTACAAAAAGATTGGTTGCGACTGCTGCGATTCGTTACAATAATTATAATTACAACAAATAATACCCATTTCGTAATATCCATTGGATTTGATACAGTGACCGAGTGAAACTTGACTTAAAAATCGAACCACAATATCTCACTCATTTAATATCTACCTCTCGCAATGCCTCTTGAAATAGTGAAGGTTGGTCATACCTATACATGTACCAATTAACTCCTGTCCATTCTTTAATGATATCAAGCTACGCCTCTTTTCTGAGACCTGCTTTACTTAACTTGTTATCATAATTAAAATTATATTAATGACCTTGGTGGATCACTGGTTGACACTGTGCGCGCTGGATGATGAAGTCCAGGACGAATTTTGAATTTTTCTAATTGTATCTGGTCTGAATAATGCCTCACAGAAAATTCCGTTGCGCCGGCACTCAAAACACAGGGAATTTCCTAGTTTGACACGTGGTAATTGGTGTGATTGTCTTAATAGCTTTTAAATTGAAAACAAAGATTGCATTTCATTTTGTTTAGGAATACAAATGGAAATAATTTATTCCGCATGAAAACACAGCACATACCAGTGGCGTGGCGTGAAAATTGTAGTTAGTAAAACCGGAGCAAAACGAAAACACCTACCTTAAGAAAAAGTGCCGCCTTGGCGACATTTCAACACAACTTATTAGCACACAACGTATTCTACATTTAAAATTTAGCACAAGATGTAGTATTTGATAATACGTGGAAAATTTTAGGCAAGCCGGTGAAAATCAAGTTATATGGAGCCACTGATGCACACACCTACATTACTAAAAATATATAACAGTTTGTGGCTACAATATTAGATTTATTGCAAATGGAAAGCACATCATGTCTCATTACAAACTATTTAACAAATAATGAGAATGAAAGAAAAAAAAAGAAAAAAAAGAAAACTTAAATAAATAATTAATCTAACGAATAATAATTAACAAAACTGGCAGTGTGTGCGTTGTGCTGTTACGAAATCTGTCATCCACTAAGCTTGTTGTCGTTGTTTTTCAGTAGATCCGGTAATGGAAATACACATAGCACGGAACATAGCAGACGTATAATTAGATTACGTTGGTATAAGAACTATTTCACCACGAAACAATTTTATTTAAAAATGTGTGCACATACCTTATTTATTTATTATTATTTAAACACTTTATTGTACCACAAAGTAACTTACAAATTTTCAGAAACATTTTAAATATTTGTGTACAAAGGCGAGCTTATCCCATAAAGAGATTTCTTCCAACTAACCTTTTTATTTAATAATTTTTTAAGTAACTAGCTAGGTTAAAAAATCTCATTTCAATATTTAAAAATTTGATTATAATTAAATAGACAACTCATGTAACGAATTAATAAGTATTAAAATGCGAAAATATGTCCTCGACATATCACCAGCTACATTGGAGATTTTTGAATTTGAAATAAACGCCCTTTGAGTAACTTTTTAAACACAAATGTTTCATCAATAATTTTTCATTGATTCAACAATTTCATGAAATCTTATTACATTTAGGTTAAACTATATGTTAAACATTATGTACTTTTATATTACACAGGTTACGTGGAGTTTGTAGTACAAAGCATCCGCAACAAAGAGTTGTTTCACGGAATCGACATCCGCTACAAGCATTGCTGGTCGTATCTGCTGTGGCTTGACGAGGCCAACCACGCTGGAATACAGGTAACCATTTACTAATGTAGAATAAGAGTATCAGAGTTCCCTAATACTGCCCTCGGAATGAAAAAGGGCACAAAATTGAGTTACATACATAGTAGGGATGAGGGTAAGGGTGCTGGTGAACACGAGACTTGGCAACTTATGTATCAGGATGTAGGGCGCAGTAGCAGCGCCCCTCAGATGTTAGTGATTTAAAGCTCTAAGTGGCACTGCAACTGTTAGGGACAGGCGTGTCACTTTCCACCAGGTCATGACTTGTTGGTCCCGTCACTTAGTACTATAAGTACTATAAAAAATTCAATTACAATATAATAACACAAAAGGGCACAACTGAATACAATTATTGTGCCCTTTAGTTCTATTCATGAGTCAAGTATTAAAAGTCACATTTAAATTAGTTAAGCCCTTTATATGCAGTTACAATATTATATTTTTTTCTACTAAGTTAAAAGAGAAATTGTATTTTCAATGAAAGTTTCTGTATAAAACATGTGGTATGCATTTACAACGTAAATTAACTACTTAATATCAAATGTATATTTTAACTATTCGTTTTATCAGAAAAACCTGAAAATAATTTAAACACATTTATCTACGAATGTAGAATTTCTGGCTTGTGCGTTTCTTTCTTCTGAAGGCAGAACACTTCACCTGGATACCACTGACCTATTTTTACCGCAAAGTAATATTGTGCACTGCTGTGTTCCAAATATCCCATAACACACCTCGCTGGTCCGACGCAATTTCGTCTCAATGATAGTCTTTTTAACCGACTTCAAAAAAGGAGGAGATGATCAATTCGACTGTGTTTTTATGTATGTTATCTACGCGATACCTCCGGTAATTGTGAACAGATTTTGATGATTCTTTTTTGTTGGAAAGAGGGCGCCTATCTCTAAGCGTGGCAAACTAAGGGATGAACCCGTTTTCGTACTTTCCGGTAACCGATTTCAATAAAACTTGGCAAATAGATATGACTCCATTTGCCAACTTTTGAGGTCGGTTTTTTTAGTTCTCTATGCTGAGATTATTTATTCTTATGTCTATGCCTACTTGCAATGTGCACACAGTGTGTACTACATAGCCAAACGCGAGAAGAGGAAAGAGGTCAGGGAATGCATCCCAATCTTTTCCCAAAAATTCTTTAAATGGTTTCTTAGACAAGAAACCTACACAATTGTAAGTCCGTTGTTCAAAACTCGACTGTAGGCAGTATGACATTGCTGGTCTGTAGGCGCTAATTGGACGATAGTCTTTAAACTTTAATTTTCCATGTTTTCGTGTTAATTTAAACTATTAAAATATGTTCAGATTGTACACTTTATTTTTTCCACAAGGGTAAACTGCCAGAAGGATTAGAGGAAGTAGGCTCATCGCAACTGCCTCCTGACAGCGAAGAGACCAGCGCTGAAGAGGTGAGGACATTGAAATATTAATTATAATAACGGAACTGTATTCACCAATCTAGAAAATTTCGAACACGGCAGCTCCTCATCCAGCGCTCGTGGTACAAATCATGGGGCCACTGAGTGCGTTACAAATTATTACCTTCCTCTACTTGGATCCGTTAACATACATAAAGCTGGTTTCAGAGCAGTGCGGATTTATCTGCGGACCGTCCGCGCGGAGCACCGGAGCGGAGTAACACGTGTAGCGTTAGAACATCGTTTTACAGTGACGCGGATTGCTCCGTACGGAACACGCTCCGTGTGAACTCTGCACAAGCCACCCGTGCATTCATTGTAGGCGACAGTCTTCCGTGAATATCCTAGCTATCCTAGCGCTATATCAAATACTCGATTCAGAGTACTGTGGATTCTACGCATGCGGATGCGGATGGTCCGTACAGACCATACCGCACAGCTGTGAAACCAGCCTAAAGAAGGCATTACGGTCAGACTTGTTCACACACTCAGTTTTTTTGTGACCTATTCTTCTCGTTATATGTATACATTTTATTATATATATATATATATATGTATATATATAATAAATGCGATAAACGTCCAACATATACTGAAAGAACAACGTTTTCGTTATAACTATTAAAAAAGAAACTCGGTTCGGTAATGAAAATTCGAACAAAGGTATTTCGAAAAAAAAAAATTCGAGTTTGTGATAGGATACTTATATATTTCCACCAAAAATTGTCTTTAGTACCTCGTGCGTCCCATTGAAATCCCACGCGAGCATCGCGGTCTCGCACGAGCACGCGCTTTGATTGTGGGTAGTGAAGATTCAGTGCTGTTCAGTGAAATACGCGGCTGAAGTAACATGTCCCGTACATTATTATTATTAAATGTGTTAACGGAAGAAGAATCAGATAAAACCATCTTTTTTACGTCTCAAATCGTACATACCCCAAAGTCTCACGATTGATATTAATGCCATCGTGTGCTCGCGCGAGACCGTGCGGGCACTCGCGAGATATTTACATAAACAAATATTTCAATTCTCTCCGCGCCCATCCTCGTTAATCCAGACCATTTCCACCGAAGATGGGCTAGGAGAGAATTGAAATTTAATCATACAAATTTCACATTTCTCTTCCCTTTCACTTCTTCACAATTTCTCGTCACGCCTCACCTGTGGAAAACCACCTTCATATGTTAAAAAATCGCAATACTTCGAGTGTCTTTTACACGATTACACATCAAGAGTCGTCAAATACAGACAATTGTCCCCTTTTTAATAAACTTCATATAGCTCAAGATCGTTACTAAGTCCAAATAAATCAAGTGCATTGTTTTGGACATTTGAGATGGTACTTCTGAGTATCAGGCCAGACTTAGAATCTGTGTATTAGTTGCCTTCAGTCTTTATCTCGGTCTATAAAAAAATATTCGAAATCAGGGCACAGTATCAATGCAATGGAACCTGGCGAACTTCTTACCCGTCCAAGTGCGGGAAATGTTCGCGACGACGATCGCGGGCTTTCTCAGTGCCGCCTACGCTGAGCCTCAAGAACTGTCCAATTTGTTGCGCGGGGAAATCTCTCAAAAGCTATTCAAGTAAGTAACTATTTGTATTATTTTATTATATCGAATTTTTTAAGACTTTTGAACTCTGAAATGGCTTGATATTTTTTAAGTTTTTTTTGATAGCAATGTACGTGCAGTCGGTTGAAAAATTCTTTATCTTAAACTAGCTGGTGCCAACGACTTTGTCTGCATAGAATATATACCTCGAGTAGCCTACTGAACTATACAAATTTTCATAGTTTTATTGGTTCTTCATACAAATTTTCCCTTATTCACCTCCCTCATTTCCCTCACCCCCATTTTTATTTTTATGACAAGAAGTAGCCTACGTCCTTTTTCTAGGTCCCATCTATTTCTATACCAAAATTAATCAGAATTGGTTCAGCGGTTTTCGGCGTGAAAACGTAACAGACAGAGTTACTTTTGCAATTTTTAATATTAGTTTGGACATGATTCAATGACTCGAGAGGCCTGCCAAACTCCTGTTTATTTTGTATAATTCCTATCGTAACTCTGAAAAAGGTCAAAATTTTGTTTACGATGAAATATTGTTCGAGGCGTTCAATATACAAACGCCAATCGTCTTTATGCACATCAAACTGATATTTTTCCAATCGACATTGGTTTTGTATATAACGTTCCACTTGTTAATAAAAACAACACACTCACGTCACACACGCGTAGGTTTTTTTTTGCGAACAAAAAATTTAAATAAAGACCTCGTCGTCACTATTTTCCATCGGCACAAAAATACCCTCGTTTAACTATTTATTATTATGCCTACATCGCAAATATCCAGATGGCACTCATCGATAGCCTGGAAGTAGTTTATATTATGTAAATAGCCGTGGATATCAAATAATCCATCTTTAATAGGAAATATGATAAGTCAGTTTTTTCCTTGTAATAATTCAAATATAGATCATGAGCTAAAATTGTTTTCTAAACTTTGACAAATATACTTTTCAATAGTAGAGATAGTACGAGAGAATTTTCTCCGCGAGAGAATATTCTTGGTTCGAGAATATTCTGGAATATTCTTTTTAACTGAGAATATTCTGAGAAGATTGAGAATTTATAATTAGAGATTTTATGATTGAAAATAATACCTACATAATATTTTTTTTTTGAGTTCAATATCCTAAGTGTAAATAATAGTATTTATTAATATTTTGTGGAAATATCTCAACGAAATAGATACCAGGGCTTGTTTTTGGTTTCATAATTGCACTTAACTGCTAAAACGCGCGCCCCATTGCCAAGCAATAATGCTTGCGCGTCTGAAATCCACCGCAAACTTTATAACTTATAAAGGTCTTTTATAAAGGTTGTGGAAGCAGAAGCGGAAACAGGTGTTAAAAAACGTACGGAACTTCTGCAGTTGCGGAAGCAGAAGCAGAGGTCTTTTGCATCACTACTTTATTTTAGACTAATTAAAGTGTGTATTCCAAAGAAATTGTGTTTATAACGTTCTTTTTAGTTATATAATGTCTCAGCCATCTAAATTGTAAAGGCAGTTATTGTGATTGTTTTTTAAATATATTTTACATAAAAATGTAAAGTTGAATAAACGTTGCTAAAACTGATCACTTGGGTACTTTGTTTTATGTGGAAATCCTAATTTACTGAGAAAATATCCAAGAATATTCTCGAGAATATTCTCGTTCGCGAGAATTTACCGAGATTTTACGTTGCAGAGCAAGTTATATTTTACATTCACTTCATTAAACGTTCGAATGTACTCAAATCTATTAGTCTCATTCATTGACTTACAAATAAAGTCTCATTCAAAACACCAAGCTAAGAAAGTCACTCATTTATTAAATTCTCTTAAAATACAATATTCTCGAGAACTTAATAGAAAAGTTTCCGCTGTCAGAATATTCTCGAGAATATCCCATCACGAGTCAATAGATGGCATTGTGTTACAAACTAATTTATAAATTAACGCTTCCTAATATAGAATAGATGGCGCTAATCTGTAGCAAAACGCCTTTTATTTTCAGAGCATGCTTTTAAAAGGGCTTCAGTTAATGAAGTAGTTATTGTAAACGGTAAGTTTTCCATGTCCAGGATAACTGAGAAGATTAAGAACAGAATGCCGACGTTGCGCGCGCGCGACTGTGAGCCGCACCCCGGGCTGAAGGCCGACGCGTTTTCCAGCGAAGTCACGCCCGCCTTACTGTACGTCAACGCGGTGTGCAAGGTGCTCTCTTTGCACGAAGCTCTGAATGACGATGTAAGTACACTCTGTTAAGACTCACTTTTTGAAATTACAAATTGAACGATATAACCATATAATAAGACAATTTTGATAACTGCATACAAACGTACCAGCGGTATATGTCGGCACGCCCGCCGCGCGCTTTGGGTGGACGCATCCGGGCGAGGACAAAAATTATTTACAACTAAATATTTGTTGTAAATCGAGTTTTGTTCAAATTGTAAATGATATTATTAAAAAATGTTTGACACTATTCGATTTGCCATTCTATTGAATCGATCCGCTTGAATATCGGATTGAAATAATTCGATACAAAAAATCGTTAGGTCGAAAATATTTGGATCGATTTTCGGAAAAATCGAATCCGGATGAAAATTATTCCTAGTAACGAGAATCCAGAGGATTGCAAGGTAGATATTGTGTGATGTTAGTTCTTTAGCGTCTACAAGACTTTTTACACCGAAATTTGTAATAAATATGGACTTATGCGACATTCCGTATTCGCCATTTCCACCCACGATTGGGCAGAAATACATTAAACCCGTCGCGTGACTGGCTGTTTACAAAAGTATTATAGCTCCTTTACCTATAAAATAAAGATACCGGTTTTCATGTTTGCCACTTCAAACAAATGGAAGTATCTGTGGAGATATTTGTTATTTGACGACACTTTATGGGGTGGTTCTATTTTCAACAAGAATTTGCTACCCTCAAATCACATAAAACACTTGCTCGACCAACGTGCTCGGGTCAGCTGATTGGGGGAAATGAAATCAATTATTCATTGAATAAGCAACACAGTACACATGCATTTTTTAATAATAATAATACGATACGATAACGTTTTAATAACAACGTAACGATTTGGAATTAAATACAAATATAGAGTACAAAGCGTGCGTGGTGTGCTGCCAAGGAAATCGTACCCATTCAGCGTGCCGTCTCACTTAGGGTGCATCTACTCGACACGAATTTTATCGCGATCTCCCCGCGTGGTGCATCTAACTGTCATGGCAAAGTACGCTCTATTCACTTAGCATTTACGTTTAAACTGAAATGAGCATTCCGGGCACGCGGTCGAGACTGGCTTAAATTAGGTCTACGCGGCGGCCCGCGCGGTTCTATTATTCAGAGGAATTTAAATGTTGTTTCATAGTAAATAGAATTTAGATTCGCCATCATGAAGGCGTGGTAACTAAGCGATCGCCGCGCGAATTATATAGGGTGGCCGCAGTGAAATTGAAGTAAAAACGACAAAATATGTAGATAGTATAACTACTATCTACATATTTTGATATTATTAAACTTCCACAATAGATTTCTTAACTAAAGGAATTTAAACTTCGTCTGAAGTAAGGAACGTTGGGCCAAAAAGTACTTATACAAAAACGATCTTAACTAAACGAATTTTGTCTACGTCTGATGTGAGGAACGTTGGGTCGAAAAGTAACTTTAATTAACACGTAAAATAATATTTTTGTCAGCGGTCAAGTTGTAATGCACGGAGCGCATGCTTCCGCTGCGAATGCAAGTGCGTTGACCTGATGTTACAGTAATTCGCATATCAGCAGCTTGATTTTGATTGCCTCTCCCGAACGGAAACTGCGTCTTTTCCGAGTCGAGGCGCACAACTCTGCCCTCGTAACGAAAAAAGGCACAACTATGCGTACTTTACACAGCAGTTGTGCCTTTTTTCGTTCCTAGGGCAGAACTGCGATTTATAACTGGCCGATCGGAAATTTTTAACATTTCTTATCGGAACAATAGTTGATTGAACTCTCAAATTAGAAAGATATAGTATATAGTAATCAGGTTCATCTTTTCGCTCAGAAATCCATCTGATTTCGAGACTACCCTATCGGATCGATTGCGATTAGAATCAAAATCAGCACGCTGGATACATAACACGCGACGGCCGTGCTACGACGCTGATTTTCAGCGGATCCGGCAACAGAACCATGATCGAACAGTCTATTCCATTATTGTATAGGTAATTAATAAATAATATAGGTAAATAATAAAATGCTATCCCATTGCATGTTGTTGGTGTTGACAATATTGTGAAATAAAAAGTAATTATGATTGTAGGTGACCCTGGTGCGGCGTAATCTCCTTCGTCTGATCGGCGTGGGTGAATTCAGCCCGTTAGCGGAGTGGTGTGACCCGTGCACGTCATGTGTGTTGACAGAGGTCATCTGCAAGGTGTGCAACCACTGCCGTGACCTCGATCTATGTCGGGACACGCATCGCGGTTACGAAAATGATGTGTAAGTAACAGCATTTTTTTTTTTGGATTTTCGTGCTAAGGAATTACTGACAAACAGCTATAATAAGCTATCGGACAATAAAGTGTAAAAAGTCTAAAATGTAGTTAGGGGGATTGTGTAATGAAAGCGATAATTTAATCAATATTTTTGTGAAATAATATCAATCAATAAAATAGGGAAATTGTAATATTTTTAATGTTAAATACATCATGTGACCATATCATATGCATATGATATCACATGATTTATTTGATAAAGCAAACGAACGTTACCGTATTTATTGATCGCGTATTGTGTTGTGATTTTTCTCCGCTTAATCACTTTTGTCTAAAAACTGTGCAGTAGTTAAAGTCAGTCAATATGTAAAGTCCATTGACTTACAATTATATGGACGTCGGGTCCGCGCTAAAAAGTGTCCGAACTTATAGGGCGTTAAAATCGTATACAGAGCGTCATTCACGCTTTAGTCTTCGTTAGATATTAGACCCGTCGTCCATTTATTTGTAAGTCAATGGTAAAGTCAGTCAATTTGTACATTTACTTACCGATGACGTCACTTCCGAGTTGACTAAAAAAGTTAAATAATTGAGTTAAAAAGCTTTGTTTATATAAAATAATATTTAATTATATATGATATTCAACATGATTAACTTTAAATATAGTGTTCCGATTCTCTATCAACATTCGGAAAAAATTTCGGGATAACGTATCAGTTTTTTAAAAGTTTTGTGGTATTTACAGTCCAATCTGCACGTGTCCGATGTGCGGCACGGCGTACGAGAACCAGGAGTTGGAATGGCGGTTGATAGAAGTAATGAACCGACGCGCTATGAGCTTCACTCTTCAGGACCTTATCTGCACGAGATGCCATCAAGTAAATAGACAAATAAAAGCTTTAGCATTTCCACAATAACAGTATTACATAAACAAAAATCAGCTAGTAGTAACACTGTAATATGTTTATATAAAATAATGTGCTAGACAACCACTTCTATTACCTAGAAAATTTACTGTACTATGAGTACCAGAGAACGGTATTCGCTCCAGGGCATTGTCCAAAACACCCAGTCTAGAAGCAGTTTAGAAAAGTTCATTTCCCAAATTGGTCCTACTGGGAATGGACCCTTTGACCTCATCATCCAGTGCCCACAGTCCAAACCGTTGAGCCACTGTGGTCATCAGTCAAATAAAGCAGAACAAACTAAAATAATAACTAAGAAGCTTTAAATGGGAAGAATTAACGATTACATTTTGAATGTCGTTAAAAACTGCCCATGTCACTGGTACGCTGTCAGGGCCTTGTTAAAAGAGACACACCACTATATACTATTGTCCTACTTACCTACATGGCCCCAAAACAGGGTAAAACTGCATTGAATGACATAATATTTAATTAAGCCTTATCTTTAGCAGTCTGCTGAAGTAAGTGGACACTCAATGGTACTGTACATAGACTAATATGTAACCATATAATTGAGATCGTTTAATAGTCTTTGTTCACTCTGCCATCAACAATGTTGCCAGTCAATATCGCACATGATAGAATAAATACATTTGAAAAATTTTATTTTATTCTACTACTCCTCTTGGTGTAAAGATCTACATGGTCAAGGTTCACCTTGAGTAAACTTTTTCTCAAACTAAGTACTGTATACAGAAAATGCGTAAAGTTTAACCATGTATATGTCTAAGGTGGAGAAACTAGCAGCCATTGGTGAGGTGGTTTCACTAATATTGTTTAAAATGTTATGTCTATGTATTCAGGTGAAACGTGAGAACCTGTCACTGGTATGCGATTGCGCAGGTGAATTTGCTCTCATGGTATCAGCGACAGACGTGCGTGCTCAACTGGACACTTTCAAGACCATAGCTGAATATTATAAAATGCCTTTACTTTTAGAACTTATTGATTTTAACCTTAGTAATATGTGATGTTTGTAGTATATATATAATGTAATTATATACTTAAACATGTAACAATAAATAATTTTGCAAATTATAGTTTCATTCTACATTTCTATTTAGTATTTTAGGCTCTAAGTTCTTACTTAGTACAAAAAGAAACAAGACACACTTATTGTAATGATTAATTTATATTAATTAGTTAGTATTTAGAAATTATTACAAAACATTAAATTTTAATTTATAAACAAAAATTATTAACAAACTCAGAGGGTACTTCTTTCATCACTGGGTGTTTGGCCTAGTCCTTTGGCAACTTCACTGATGCAGAGCCACTGTCCATCAGAGCCTTCTCGCCAAAGACTAACTTTGTTATCCCCTCCAGACACAGCCAAGATGTTTCCAGTTAAAGACCAGCTAACACTCCAGACCACATCATCAAAAGTGCTAAGTATTGTTGGGTTCCATGAAACATTGTCATCACTGGTCCAGATGACCACCCTCTTATCTTGGGAGCAGCTAGCAATCATGGAACGTTGCAGCCCAAGAGATGGGGCCCAGGCCACATCTCTCACCCAGTCCATGTGCATTTCTAACCGGTTCTCTTCTACCCATTGATCTTCTTGTTCTCTCCATATCTGCAAAATTGAAAAAGATGTATTGTATTGCAAAAATGGTTTTAAATGCAAATAAAGGCAGTCTTCAATCTAACCTTTATCAAGTTATCACATCCACCAGATACTATTCTCTTAGGCGCCTCTTTATTACTGAGCGGGTCTAGGTTCAATTCTGCAGAAATGGCAGGACACCAGCTAACGCCATTGACACCAACGGCGTGAGCACCTGGGATCTTTTTCACATCCCAGTTACCAGTGTCTTGGGCGTACGAGATGATGGAGATAGACCCGTCAGAGCTGCAGCAAGCGAGAATCAGCCCGTATTCGGCCGGTGCCCACGCTACCGAGTTTACGGAACTTTCGTGAACAGCATGTTCATACAATTTAGTCCATTCTCCTTGTTCTTTCCATATAATAACCTTCCTGTCGTATGAGCAAGATGCTAGCAAGTTGCCAAACTTCGGGTGAGCCCAAGCAACTTGCCACACAGGTCCGAAGTGGCCTTTTAAGTCGGCAGCCAGAGTTTGTGTACCGCTTTTGATGTCGTATATTTTCACGGAGTTATCTGAAGAACAAGTTGCCAGTCTCAAGCCATAGTAATCCAGTTCGGCGTCATGAATCATGTCCTCATGACCAGTATCGATTGTATTTAAGACAGTAATCATTTTTATCACTTTTACAAAAATTATCAAAATATATTCGGTACACCTTACGCCGTTTGTCAAATATAAGTTGACGTCTCTTTGGTTGACGTGGAATCGCAGTGTTACTGTAGAAAAAAATACTAGAATGCGTTCAGATTTTTTTTCGTAATAATTGTGTTTTAAGGACAACAACACCTTTGTTAGCTTGTCAATTTTGACAAGTTATACTGTTCGGAATACGAACTACGAACCGACTTGTAAATCCGAAAGTCCTGAAAATACTGATGAGCTAATATTTGGGTAAATTATGAGATTTTATTTCGTTGGTGAATAGGAATATGGCGAAAAGCGAAGGCGGAGTTTTTCACATTGTCAAAGACTTGTTAAACCATGACTACCGCGGTGTGAATGTGAGTATATTTTTGTCTAAATAGACACTCTGAGGAGGTGTTTTTCATCAGCACCGTTGTTTTCAGATAGCGGTTTATGCCTTGGCCACTGCTGGATTGGCCGTAGCTGTGCATAAGATTCGTCCAGTAAGTATCAACGCACATAAGAGGCGGTTTTATTAAATATTACATAACTTACTAAGTTTGTATTTTTAATTAGGTTAGCAAGTTCTCGGTCGCAAGTAAAGTACCGGACCACTTCGTAAAGCAACATGAACCTCTCCGGGGAGAGTTTGCCGGCGTGCAACATAGTCCAGTACGGATTCTAGTCAACCACTGGGCACCAATTTACTTACCATTTTGGCATTCCAGTAAACCCCCTCTACCAGTCAAGGTTAGATTTCAATGTCATTAATAGATCATAGCCGATTTGACCTAGTTGTTGGTGCCAAGTTTATGAATATTTTTGTTATTTCAACAGCTTTGGGGTGTTGATGTGGCAAGCAGTAATGCTGTTAATTGGCTGGAGTGTGTAGCTAAGGGAAAGCAAGTCACCCTGAAGCCTATTTCAAAGGAGAACAATGAACTTATCTCCACTGTACTTTTGCATTTACAAGACACAAAGGTAGGAGTTAATATTCATCATCATAAATGATTTAACAATGTGTTTATTATCACTCTGTATGAGTTTGTTTATTGATTATATTTTTCTGTTTCAGACTAAAAATGTGGAAATATTAGACATTGGGAAGACATTAGTTCAACTTGGATTTGCTAAAGCGTCAGTCCCTCAGAAAGTTCAGAAAGATACTGTGGAGTCATCTCTAGCCCCAGTGCTGTTGTCAGCTGAAACCCATGCTAAGGCTTACAGAAACGGAATTTGGTCAGACCAACTCCCACCACTTCCTAAATATGTGATATACTGGAGGAAAGGGTCACAAATCACAAAGGAGATGCTTGTTGTACTAATTGAGAAAATGTTACTTCTTTTAGCATACATGTCTAGAAGTGCCTTAGTGGGAGCTAAAAAACTTGCTCTCCGCCCTTTTAGAGCCAGCCCTAAACAAATACAGGCTGCTACATAACAAAGCATTTAAAATACAAAAATTGTTACCTAATTATAAATTCAGTTGAGAGATGTATTAAAGACAATACCAGATACTGTTCCATACATTAATATATGTAATGTACAAAGGTGATTTAAATATAAATTTATCTAGTGCTCTAATTAATAATACTTTCAACTTGAATTTCTTTCCAGAAGTTCTGTATCTATTACAAAGAAAGAATAATCAATAAGTGGCATTAAAGTAAGTTTTAGCATTTAAAAATATCTCTGCAATTTCGATTAAAAGGAAATTGTTTTAAGTAAAAAACATATGCCAAATATATTATAGATAATGTATAAATAGTGCAATGTACAGAATCTGGAAAAGTTTTGGTCGTTTATATTACTTCTACATAAAACTAGCAGAAGTAACACAATCTCTTTGTACATTAGATTTCCCTTTGGGGCAACTATCTGGTATAGTTATTCTGGCATTGTAATTGTTATTAACTAGGTACAGTGTAATTTGTTGATTTTCTTCTATATTTTATAACGCATAACGCACTGTTGTACATATTATTAATACAAAATTTTGTAATGGTTGTGACTGAGAAGAAATAATGTACTTGGCCTTAAAAATAAAACTAAATTGTTGTAAAAAAAGCACTTTATTCAAATTAAATAGTATATATTACATTAAAACATATATATCTTAATTAAAATAGCAAAAGAAAAAGTACAGCTAAATAATCTATTGAAATAATATCCTTTAAACCATTATTTAATTATTATTCTTTCATTACCAACATAACACCGAGTCGCAATTTCGCTCTTAAAATAATTGTAACTTTTAATGTGAACAAAATGTCCAAGTCAGGAATACTGTTCCGATTTTATCCAAGAGACGAGAAAATATAGTTGTGGATATAAAAATACAAAAAGCAAGTCTGATCCCCCTCGGGCATTGCGCACCAATATTTTAAAAGTAGGTAAAAAAATATAGTCAAGGTGGGTGCAGGTCCACTGATCAGAGCGCTGTGCCCGGTTGTAGCGAGCGGACGCAGAGCATGGGTGCGGTGCGGCGGGGAGCGCGACGCGCGGGCCGTCAGAGGATGGAGCAGCGAGACAACCACGACGTGGGCTTGCGTTGTTGCTCGTTCGCCTTCAGCTGGTGTGCGCCGCTACGCGCTTGGGGGTTACTTGCCTCCTGTTATCACATCATTATGTACATAGTGGTAAACAACAACGCATCGATTATCGCCACACGACACTCTACTGATTACAATCTACATACTTCTTATCAACTAACTGCAAACCCACATAGGAAAATGCTCCTACCTACTAATATTAACCATAAAACGACACAAAGCTCACTATTGCAAACATTTTATACTTCATGCAACTGAGTTCCAACAAACAAAGCAATATCTAACAATGAGAATTAAGCATGCATTTATTTTTTTACGAAAAAATATTAACTCATACAATAGCAAACATCAACACCCACAATTTTTTGCTTTTACCTTCTGTTTATGAAAGGACAGCATGGAACAAAAGAAAATATAACTTTAGAATGGTGCTAAGGGTGGTTACACACGGCGACGTGGATGCAAACGCGCGTTCGTAAAACGCGCGACTGCATCGATACAAACGCGCGTTCGTAAAACGCGCGACTGCAGCGATACAAACGCGCGATTGCAATACAATGGCCTATAAATCCCAAGTGTAACGATGCAATTCCGCGCTTGCATCTATGTTTAAAATCGCGCGCGTGTGTGATCGCATCACTACTAAATACACAGAACTTTGATACAAGTTTTATATAGTATCTTACAATAGTACCTTGAATTTTAGGAGAGCTTCAAAGTTATGGTATTCCAAATAAAAGCCTATGTTTACATTAGAGAACTATAATATATATTGGAAAAATGAGTTGCATACCTGTTTTTTCTCCATTTTCGCTTTGATGTCTCTCGCCAATGTATAAAAAGCATACTCAACGTTTAATGAGTCCTTTGCTGATGTTTCTACAAATTTTATCTGATACTCTATAGCTAATTGTTCACCTCTCTCCTTTGACACCTGAAAGAGTAGTTTAGTTAAATAGTGTGGGTTTTTTTTTTCAAGCTAGGGTTCTGAATTTTGAGATTGTAGTGCTAGTCAATGTTGGTTTATTACATTGTACAGGTTCTTTGGAAGTTTTTGTTCTGTTTAGCTATTTAGTACTCAGTTATTCAGGAAGCATTCCCTAAAAATGGGATGAACACTTTCAAATTTCTAAACACTTCTTGAAAAATTTTCTTTTAAAACGATAATGCATTTAGTTGTCACTCTAGGACTAAGCTGCCATACCTGTCTTTTAGCTTCCAAATCACACTTATTTCCGAGTATCATCTTTTCAACATCAGCACTGGCATTCTCCTCAATATTTCTTATCCAATTTTTTATATTTTCAAAGCTCTTTTCATTGGTAACGTCGTAAACCAGCATAATGCCCATCGAGCCTCGGTAATATGCTGTGGTTATTGTACGGAATCTTTCTTGACCTGCGGTGTCCCTGGCATAGTAACAAAAATGGTTTACTAATCCTAACATATAAGGTAAATTAAAGGGATTTTGCCCTATAGACAATAAGTGCAGTAATCTTTATTTTTATGGCAGGGTGCAGAACTATGGTCAGTGACAAGCAATCAAAAATTAGGTCTAATTTATTAACTAAAAATCATAATAATAATAACAGCCTATGTATAGTCCCACTGCTGGGAACATGCCTCCTCCCACATTGACTAAATTTATATTAGCTGACATGGTTTTCATTCTTTTTTGTTGACATGTCACTAAATGAACCCATCTGATATCACCTGGTTTCTTGTATTGTACATATTCAATACAAAAAAGTACTAAAAGTACTAACTAAATGAGGACCTTATTTACAGCAGTTGCAATTTAGCCATCACTGGCTTAGTGGCCTTTACATATTGGATAAATTTAATTACCATAGTTATTGTTACATTTATATCAAAGGGAAGATTAGTTTCCTGTTATGTTTATGTATGAATCATACTGAATCAGTACTGCACCATAGGTTCAAGATTCCAGTTACATATTTTTTTATGTGACCTGTGAACAGCAACAGGTCATAAATGACGGAAAGGGTAAATGAGGAAATTAATGCACTTAAAGATATAAATATTGACGCCATGGGAATGTCTCAATTACATAAAATGTTAAAAATGACGTTAATAAGGAGTACAGCCAAAAAAGTACCAAAACTCACCATATTTGTAGCTTAACTTTTTTCCCGTCAAGGTCTATTGTCCGAATTTTAAAGTCGATTCCTGCAAACAAGCAAAATTTGTTAACCGACCGCCGACTAATTAAAATTAGTGTGTATGATGTCACGAACTCTTCATTGGTATAATTCGATAAGGGTCATATTTATCGTCCGCCGCACCCTATGTGCAACCATCGCGCTGCTACCCGGAAAAACATGCACAAAGAACAACGAAACCAGCTCAATGACAAATGATTTATATAAAAAAAGACAACTTATCTCATAGTAACCTTTGATTCAATAGAAAATTCAAGGCACTCACCAATGGTTGATATAAACGATATATTGAATGCATCTTCTGAAAATCTAAATAATATTGAAGTTTTTCCTACTCCGGAATCACCTATCAAGAGTAATTTAAATAAATAATCGTAAGTCTTTGCCATTTTTTACAACAATCTGATTACACAGACAACCACCAGACAGCCATTCATTTGGCATTTATTTTTTTTATTCACGTCATTTTTTTAAAATGCCTTGGCTTGTCACTGGAGGTGTGCGTTAAAACGAAAAGCACTTAAAAAAGTCTGCTTTTTAAAATAAGCACATAAGCACGCTTTTCATTTTAAGCGTAAGCGTTGGTCACTAGTCAGTTCTATACTTAGAGGATGGAAAAAATTTCCATAGTCTAAGGTTCTATAGATACTCAATAATTTCATTTTTTACAACATGCCTAAGTTTCAAGTAGCGCCATCTATGTTTCCTAAACAAATTAATTCAACATAACGTGCAAGCTTTTTTAAACATAGATTCTATGCGCTTAAACGATTTTCTAAACGACTTTTTAACCGTCAAAGTGAAAAGCGTTTATATGAAAAAGCTTTTACAAGCACGCTTTTTAAACGTAAGTTTTAAAGTTAATAAAATAGCAGAATTTGCCATTTTAACGGTTAACAAGTAAAAAAGTTAAACAACTTATGTTTTTAAGCCCAATGAACAAAATGTTGATATAATAATGTTATGTCATAAATAAAAATATAACTCGTTTTTTACAAAAAAACTTATTTATCTTAAAACCTTTAGAGGTCAACTTTTACGTTTTGCTATCAACAGAACAACGTTGTAAGCTTTTTTACTTATAAATCTATGCGCTTAAATGTTTTCTAAACGGTTTTGTTATATATGCTCACTGGTTTTGTTAGCTTCAAACTTTTTTTAAGCGTTTAAAAAAGCACACGTTTAAACGTTTAAAAAAAATTGGAATAAAGAAATACTAACGTCGTTCAAGCATTTATAATTTTACAGTCAGAACGTTGACGCAGCCAATATCAACCATAGATTCAAAGTGTATTCCATAGCATTTAAGTTTATTTGAAAAGAGCAATCCCTAGAGTTTCTTGCTCGTTCTTCTCAGGGATGTCAGCGTAGTGAACGAGGAGTAGCTTAAATGTGACGTTTTCAAGTGTAAATTTATTTTACCTATGGAATAAATAATCTTTGCCTTTGACTTTGAATCTATGGTTGATAGTGACTTTGACAACGTTCTGATCATTCATTTTTACCGCAGCGATATCTGGGAACTAACATGCCAAAACATAGCTGTCGCATCTGTTCTACTTGTCTACAGTTATCTGTGCGCCACTCTATATAAGGCTTTGCTAGATACACCAATGCCCCAGCCTGATATGGGATAAATGAATTATTTCGTTAGTTTTATTTTATTATTTAGTTAGTTAGTTATTATTATTTAGTTAGTTATTAATATAAATGACGTTCGTACGTGTACGCCTCGCTATGGTAGTAGGTTTCCATCGTGTCCCATCCCGGGCGCGGACAAACACGCTTTCCCCTGATTTAAAAGATGGTGTTAGACTGTCTGAATTTATGTTGGCTTGTATCTGTCTGTGCTGCAAGGCATTTTTAGAGTTAGGATGTGCATTATCGAGAATACAATGCCGCTGACGCCCGAACATTATTTGTCCTGGGCTCTTGCCGATGAGGAGTTATGCGGTAAGAAAAAAGGAAATTCAGTCTTTTCAGGATGAGATGATCATTTGCACTTGACAAAATTCTGGACTTGAAAGTGTGGACCAGGCGTTCGGCTAAGCCGTTTGTCCGGGGATGGTACGGGGACGATTTGATGTGTGTATTACCTTTGTCTCTACGATAGTCTTGAAATTCCCGAGAAGTAAATAGTGGCCCATTGTCAGAGACCAAGAATTGTGGTGAATATGGAATCTAACTCTTCACACAGTTTACAAGTGGTTATCTGGTTCAATGGCTTAACTTCGATCCATTTCGAGAGTGCGTCTGCTAGGACAAACCAGTACTTCCCCTCGAACGGGCCCGCAAAATCAATGTGTGTCCCATGGGTTATCAGGAACTGACCATGAGTATAAAGGCAATTCAGGATTATTTGGCCGATTCTCTTGGCATTTGCGACAACGTTTGATGTACTCCTCAATATCTTCGTCTATAGACGGCCACCATACATAAAAACGCGCTAGCGCTCTCATTGCGGATGTGCCCGGGTGTCCTGTATGCAGGTATTTCAAGGTGGCTCTTCTCAGTGTGGCCGGTATTACTATTCGACCTTGCCACAATAAAATCTTATTTTCAATTAACAAGTCTGTGCGCTTCCGAGCGTAGGGCTTTAAGTCGTCTGAATAAAGATTTTCACGCCAACCGGTCTTAATGTACTGTGAAACCTGTTTAGAGTGTGGGGTCCTTTCTTAAGGCATCTCGTATAATGTTCTCCGTTAAAGCAATGTCTGAAACTCTTTCATGTTGCAATTAGGCTACTATTCTATGTACTGTCACTTCTGCGTTAGACGGTCTTTCTTCTGGATTTGGCATCCTAGAAAGATAATCAGCCATACAATTTAGATGTTATCTATATATCTTAGTGAATATGATGTCAGTCGTACCCATCAATGATTAAAGCCTAACGTACTAGGCGGTTATTAACAAGCTTTGGAAAGTTACGCTGCAGCTCTAAAACGTGGATTCAAGGCTTATGATCGGTTACTAACGTGAATTTTGTGCCATGCAAATATTGTTCTAACTTTTGGATTCCGAAAAATGTTGCTAGAGCTTCTCGGTCAATAACTGAATATTTCATTTCCGCTGATCTTAGTTTCCTAGAAACAAAAACGATGGGTTGAATTTTGTTGGCCGCTTTATGATAAAGCACGGCACTCACGCCTTTTTCCGAGGCGTCGTTGGGTGTTTAGGGTAACATTCGGTAAATTTTCTATATTTCGCCGGCTTTGACTCGTGTTCTTTGTATAAACACTAGTGACATTTCTCTATTACTGTTTTTTAGCACCGCTATTTTTAATACAGTTTTTTTGCTATATAAAAAAAGACGGTTGTTAATTACATAATTTTGAAATGTTTTCGAAAACTAGTATATCTGTCATCTAGGTCTGAAAATAAATTTATAAGCTCTAATATCAACGTTAGTAATAACGATAGGATGAGCAGAGAACTGAGTAGCAGGCAGCGGCGGAGGAAAAACACTTATTTTGATGAAAATTTTATAATAAATTCAAAACACAGAACACACTTCACCGCGAACCAAAAAACAATGAAACAAAAATGTAATTAAAAAAACTGATTCCAAGTATAAAAAGTACATAAAAAAGAAGTAAAAATAAAATCTATATGTATGAAAAAGATCTGTCGCCAACAGTTAGCCATTATACATATATAAATATTACATTATAAAAAAGGTGACCACATAAATGTACAAAAAAAAGATACATGTATAGATATAGCCACATATCATAAGCTACAAGGAGCGAAATATAGTTGTTAAAACCACCAAATGTTATTTAATTACTTTTTCATCACACTTGCTCGTAAACAGTGCCGTGCAGGCAAAGTCGACTGTAATGTCCCAAATTATACCCACCGGCTTTTACATAATATCGCCATATGGACTTTTTATGTGAAGATTAAGCAAAAAGTTTTTATGCCCGAAAATTCTGAACGTATATTTCGTTTAAACTTGAAAAAGAATTCGCTCTGGGCCTTTTGGAGGGAAAAGTGTCGTATATGCAATAATCTATCCACATTTTATAAAATTTGTTTTGGGAATTCAAATTCTGCAGTATTTTTAGAATTTCGAAATTATTTGCTTTATATCTAATACATTGTGGCTGCATGCGTCTGTGCCTTTTATAACATTTATAGTTAGAGTGGTAAATCTATTGAAGAATGTTCAATCTGTTAAAAAAATAAAACAATAAAGCCGCTATTTGCAAAATCTGTAAATGTTGTGATTCACACTTGTGAAAAACATTGTACGTACAGTCAAGACCACGTCCATTGACACTTTGTACTTTGAACCGTTCTTATCGTAAGCGGCATAGAGTTGGATTTAAATTTTAAGTGTCAAGCTTAACGTTTTCTTGATCCACAGACGGCAAAAATTACAAACCTCGAGTCTTTAAAGCCCGATGCCTACTGCAGGACAAATCTACTGACCTAGGAAGTCGAAGTTGGATTTTAAAGTAATTCTAATGGTGATATGTAAAACAATGCAGTAGATAACTGTCCTTTTCCCAAAGCAGAAAATAAAAAATTAACAGAATAGTAAGTTTCCACCCCTCCCCAGTTTTAGGCACTCACACACTCTACTAGACACACAAGCACTCACACGCACTCGGAGTAGATAATGGTATTCATAATGATTGTAACTTTCTCGGAGTGGATAATGGTATTTATAATGATTGTGACTTTCATTTCGTAAATTAAAATCACAATAAGTATACGTAATTTGTATCGGAAATTCGAAATCCAATAATATATTTTTTAATTGAAGAAACTCCTTTCTTTATTCTATTTGGATGAAGATACATAGCCCTACATGGCACAATTCACGACCATCATAATAATAGTAAAGTTCTTTCATAATAAATAAATTTAAACAGTTTAGACATCAACGTGTTGTCCTTAGCGAATGGCTGGCTGACAGCCTTGATGCCGTTCCGTCAATGTGATCCTTAATATCTAAAGGCGCTGTGCGATTTTAAAACTAGAGAGGGGCGGAGAGTGACAATCTCGTTACTTTTATATTATCTGCTGCAAATTTCACGTAGCACCACTAGAATTACTTTACAATCCAACTTCAACCTCCTAGGTCAGTGGTTTTGTCCCTTGATGCAGTGAAAGAAATCATTTTCGGAAATCCGGAATTCGAAAAAGTAATTAGTTAATATTAAAATTTGGTGGTTTTAAAAACTCTATGTCATATTTACTGCCTCCGTGGCCGAGCGGTTACCATCATGTGGGCTGATTTTAATTCAAATCGGAATCGATCCAATCGGGTAGCCTATCCGAGCCATGACGTCACAGATGGGTTTCCGAGCGAGAACAAGAACCTGATTCCTACTATACCTTTCTAATTTGTGAGATAAATCAACTATTGTTCTGATTTGAAATGTCAAAATTTTCCGATCGGCCAGTTGTGAATCGCAATTATGCGCCTCG